CTTTCCAGTAGGTGCATAGCGGAGTACCACAGGGCTTGGTAATTGCAACTTGGCTGTTTATATTATACATAGGCGACCTTCCTGCATATCTCGCGTGTGACACCTCATCCTTTGCAGACAACACAAAGCCTACGTGCAGAGCAAGTGACCAATACCTACAAATGCAGTGCGATCTTGATAAAATTAAACAATGGACTATAACATGGCAGATGCCATTAAACGAATCTAAGTGCACTGTTCTTCACTTAGGAAGAGCTAATCCCAATCATAGGTACAGGGTTATTGGTTATAAATGTCACCCCCCTCTATCTTTTTTATTTGACATTTTAGAAAAAAGCGTCCCAAATAAAGGTTTTATGGTTGACACTAAATTTTTGGAAAAACTCACTTTTGCATATACAGGGTGTTTCAAAAAAGCTGGTCGTGCTCTAACTTTCTTATTTTAAATTGAATACCCTGGATATTATTAGATAAAGATTCGGATTCTACGTCAAATTCTGAGCAGATTTCATGTGATATACTCTATACCTAAAGTTCAACTGTTTTGGAAATATTGACAGTTGAAAATTTACTTTTTTGCAAATTTGACAGGCTGTAAAACCTAAACGGTTAACTTTTGAGCAAAACCGATCTTACATTTTTTTCTAAGATTTTCACAAGTTATCATTTGACACCAACTTTGAATTTAACCGAAGATTAAATTTAATTGGAATTTTCAATCATGGATTAAATTCAAAGTTGATGTCAAATACTGGTGTCAACTGATAGTTTACAAAAATCCAAGATAAAAATGTAAGATCGGTTTTGCTCTAAAATTAACCGTTTAGGATTTACAGCCTGTCAAAGTTGCAAAAAAGTCAATTTTCAACTGTCAATATTTCGAAAACAATTGAACTTAGGTATAGGCTATATCACATGAAATCTTCTCAGAACTTTACGTAGAATCCGATTATCCAATAATATACATACTATTTGAAATAAGAAAGTTAGAGCACGACCAGCTTTTCGGAAACACCCTGTATATGCGAAAGTGAGTTTTTTAAAAAATTTAGTCTCAACCATAAAACTTTTCTTTGAGACACTTTTTTCTAAAATGTCAAATAAAAAAGATAGAGGGGGGTGACATTTATAACCAATAACCCTGTACACCATAGGAAACACTGACGTGACTCCAGTCAAAAAACAGAAAGATCTACACTTTATTTTTTCCCAAGATAGATTTTGACATTGAAAACTTTGAAACATAAACAATAAATGGTGCATTTACATTCACTTCAAAGTCCAATTTGTCTTGAAATTGACGTGCTTGCCATGTGGCGACAGTATAGATCCATTCACATTGAAATAAATTTGAAGTTCACTTCGAAGTGCACTTTAAATTTGGGCAAGCTGAAATTTGTGAAATGTCAAATTTTTAGATTATTCATCATGATTCTCATCACATTCTGACGGTTTGACTTGACGTTTTTGTTCTGCAATGTATTGTCCGTCGATTTTAATCTGATACTCGGACGGAATGTGAGCTGGTTGCTCCCTACATTAGAACTCCAATGGTTACCTGACGTCACACCTGTTTTTGCCATATGAAACACCCCCTCGCTCCTCATACGGAAAGTGTCAGTTAAAAATCGACGAACAATAAATAAATGATAAAAAATCAAACGTCAAATTTAACTTGAAGTTAGAAGTGAATATAAATGCTCCTTAATGCTTGACCCTGATTTGTCACAAAATGAGGTATTTCTGCAGGTTGACATCAGTTTTACAACAGCGACCAATAAGCAGCATTAGTGGCATTGTTTATGTTTCAAAGTTGACAATGCCAAAATCTATCTTGGGAAAAAATAAACTGTAGGCTTAATAGTCACAAAAGACCTCAAATGGGAGTGTCACATCTCAACAACTGTCAAAAGAGTGAACACGATTTACCTTATAAGAAAGTCGTTTAAAAACCTATCTAGTGATATGATACTTAAGCTTTACAAGACTTACATAAGACCAAAACTAGAATATATGCAAAGTATATGGAGTTCTTATTATGTCAAAGATATAGTACTTCTAGAGAAAGTTCAGCGAATGGTAACTAAGATCCCTTCAGAGCACAACGATCTTTCTTATCAAGAACGTTTACAGTGCCTTATTAATCTTATAACTCTCTACCAAAGAAGACAGCGTGGAGATTTGATTGAGACATAACATAAAATAACTAGTGGTCATTACAAGTGCAATATCATTAACATCTTTATTTCTGCCGATAATGCGCACCTGAGAGGGCATAATAAGAAATTAAACAAGGAAAAATGTTCCAAATTATTAAGACACAATTTCTTAACAAACAGGGGTTGTGTATTCGTGGAATAACCTAAGTCAAGATACGGTAAATGCCACTAGTGTTAACTTCTTCAAAAATCGTGTAGACAGAGATATAAGTGAAAACAATAACCAGTTTGTCCACTATCCCCAGTAAACTAGTGACAAAATAATACCATATCTGAGATACAATGGATGTGACAATTAATTATGGACTTAAAATTGTGAACTGATATAAAAACCAATCAATAGACTCGTCAGCTTTGCCACCTTCTATTGTAAAATAATAATAATAATAAAATTATTGATGTAAAGTCCATTCCAAAATAATTCGTTGACTCTTCAAGTATCAATAAAATGTTGATGATACCCTCAACCACAAACTTCGACTACCTGTGAGCAGGTCCGGGTTGATTTTATTTATTATACCTGCCTAGGTGAGATGTACATGTAAATGTGGGTGAATGTTTTAGTTAAATTATTTAGTCTTTGTGCAGAACTAGAGCTGTTATATTGACAAAAAAAATGTGGCGTCCATGGGCAAATGATGGTAGTATTGCAACCGGAAGTGGTATTTCAAAAAAAAAACATTTATCGCTAGATACCAAGGAAATTGTGAGGAACGTTTATTTAACCCTTCTGCAGAGAGGCTATAATCATAATCAAAGTGTGAGTGAATCATCCGTTTTAACCAAAACTCCATTATCTACGGTTAAAGATATCGTAGCCAAACGCATCCAGCCAAGGAAGCAACGGTGTGACAGCGGCAAGTCAAGAAAGGTTGAAGAAGCGGATAAAGAGTTGATTCGTAGGAAAATTTATGATTTGTACAGTAAACAAATAATACCTACAATAGATTCTCTAAAAAAGGTACTTATAGAAGACGAAACTGATATATTATGTAGCAGTACAAGCCTTTGGAGAATTGTGAAAGCAATGGGTTTCAAATATCAAACCATTAATAAGAGGCAAGTGCTAATGGAATCCCAGCGATTACAAGCATGGCGTCGAGAATATTTAAGTTCCATAAAACAATATAGGGCAGAAAATCGTCCGATAATATATCTTGACGAAACATGGTTTGATACCCATGACACTCCCAAAAGAGGATGGAGCGACTCAACCTCCAAATGTCAAACCAAAGCACCCTCAAATAAAGGCCAGAGGATTACAATTTTGCATGCCGGATCAGAAAATGGTTTTGTTCCAAACTCTTTGCTGCTATCCGCAAAAAAAATAGCCAATTCATCATTAGATTATCATCAAGATACCGATGCAAAATTATTTGAAGAATGGTTTCAGAATCGCCTTCTTCCGAACATACCAGAAAACAGTATAATTGTGATGGACAACGCTAGTTACCACAGCCGTCAAAAAAATAAAGTGCCCAATGCAAGTAATACAAAAGTAGAACTTCAAAAATATATGATGGAAAATGATATGTATTTCGAAGAAAATTATACAAAGAAAGATCTTTTAAACGTTTTGAAATCATATAATGTTAAAAAAGAATATATTTGTGACGATCTTGCTAGCGCTTGTGGTCATACAGTTTTGCGTCTTCCTCCATATTATTGTATTTTCAATCCAATAGAACATATCTGGCATGAATTGAAGGCAATGGTTAGGAGAGGAAACACCTCTCCTACACTTAGTACTGCTGTAATAGATTTAATTAGAAAATGTGTAGATAATATTCCAGTTCAAAGCTGGAAAAATTCTGTCAATCACGTTATAAAAGTTGAAGAAACCTATAATTCAATAGGTATTAATGTTAAGCCATTAATAATTAGTTTAGGCATAGATGAAGATGACAGTGACAGTGAAACGGAACTAAATATAGATTAGGTTTGGTTGAATTGTGTATTGTATTATATTGTATTAGATATTAAGTTTTGGTAATTATTCAGATAGTATAAGATTATAACATAAATAAATAATATTATGAAACGCCTTTTTCGTTTTCATTATAATGGGCACAAAATCCGTACCTGTAAACCTTTGAGTGGGTATTAAGGAACCCGGTACCTACATAAAAGAACCTGTTACCACACAATAGAGGCTAATAGCTATCTAATTTATGGTAGGGTTTTATAGCCGTGAAGTCAACGAAATATTTTGGAATGGACTTTACCAGAGTGGCAGTGGTCAAGTCAATCCCGCCTACACTTAAATTCTATTAGTCAGGTGGGCTAAATGCAAAAAATATGCCATATTATTCCAGATAGTTCACCAAATTATAAAGAATTACAAACAGAAATTTGAAACTTCAGATACAAAGTCTTGAGACCACCGTCTTATCATAGTATCTATCTACAGTCTTAGCTACTAGATGAAATGCTCACATTAAAGATTCAAAGGTTGGTAGGTACTATAGTTAGGTACCTACCTGCTAGCTGTGGTTTTTGGATCAAAGAAGGATAAAGTGTTATTCAAGGGATTTTATCACAAAGTAGTGACGTAGATTAGAAGGGCATTTAAAGAATATAGGTAAATACTCGGTTAAATACCTACTTTGTCCCCAATACCAAAGTAGTGCAAAATATGTTTTGAACTATTGATATGAAAGGTCACTTTTGAAGAACAACAACATTTTTGCAAGATATATTTATCAAGGTTTGTTTTTCTTATCGGACAAGTTTTTGAACAGGCAAAATAAAATAATAACGTTCAGTTCCATTTGATCATACATTTTTTTTCTGGTGTCCTCCTAGCTTAGTCAAATGTTGATACAATTGCTTTGCTACATATGAAAATTTACACGAGTATTTAAATTGTTTAACTAAACTTACGTCATATAAAATTTATATTCAGAATGAAATGCATTTGCAATTATTATAAACTAAAAATAGAGTAATGTGTCAGAGCATATTCTTACCTTATTTTCCGCTTTTAACAAAGATCCTTTCCTATAATTAAACACCGTAACAGGATTTGAATTTAGATAATTCAAAGCCGATTGGATTATGGCCGATTTATCTGCATTTTCCTGTTTTTCATTTTGCCCCTCACTGAACACCAATAACGCACAACACAGTGATGAAATTATTGTCAATCTAAAGAATGCCATTTTCCTAGAATGGCATCACTCAGGTATACGAAAGGACTGATGAGCGACCAACACGGACGCTGACTGACTCACTTATCACTAATTTAATATTGTTAATTAGTAATTTATCGCCTCTCTTTATGCGCATTAATAATTCTTGTTTATTTTTAACACTTCATTCATCATAGAACAAAAGAATACACTTTTCAATAACAGTGGTCAGCTGATTGTGATTATTTCTGTCCTGCTGATTGGTGACAGAAGCCAATGGTGGGTATTTCTCCTTTTCAGAATCTCCTATTTTTTTTAACATACAAGTTTATGGAAAAGTTTAACGAGACGAGCATTATATTTTAATTATATATAGTATATACCATGACAATAGATGATAATATGGCTCATTAGCTGATCATAAATAATACTGAGTGGAATTATTTGGTACCTATACCTACTCACAACGTACAAAGTTCTGATTTTCTGATAACTGTTGTAGGCAATACTTTACCGGACAGCGGACCGCACGGTTTGTCGGAAATATGGGAAGTAGTACCGGACCTAACTACTTACTTAACTGCACTAAGTATTTGTTTTTACTTTTTACTGCAACTAAGTACCATGAAACAAAGGACGTTTCTCGTTTCTCATATGGGTGATATTTTCAATGCTAGCCCATTGCCGCTTATGAAGACAACTGCCATCTTATAAGACCAAAGGAACCAAGTAGGAAATACCATAATGATAATGGTTGGATAACTTAGTTACCCTGAGGACCAACACCAGGAAACTATTCAACAGGGCGAAATGCTACCAGTACCACTAACGACTAGTACCTTTTTTGTTGACAAGAATACTCAAGGGTTTTTCTTTTGATCTGCTGGTACTGGAAGCAAAATAACACAGTTAATTTTGTCTTTCTTTAAATTCTCCTTGATTTTTGCAAGAAAAATTTGGGTATCTAGAAAGGTCTTACAAAACAGCTTCGAGCCATTTAAATTGGATTTGAAAGATTGTCAAAACAACTAGCATGCATCGAAACCTCTCCAAATTTATTCATATTCTTTCATCCCTGAAAACCAACTTAAGATTTATCATTCAATGAATGATAACAAATTACACCAAAAAATAAAAATGTATTCTCAAAAAATATAAATACATTTTATTATAGGTTTCGTCTTTCCATTAATATTAAGTAAATAAAATCACCAAGTAAAGTAACAATGTTATACATAATATAATAGAAAATACATATCTGAAATTTTCATTTGTCCCCTGTACCTTCTTGACCAATGAAAAAATTATTAGAAATAAAAGACATCTTTTCCAAGTAAAAAGAGAACGATTTTTCTCAAGTCAACTCAAAGAAGATAAAAAAAAAACAAATGAAAATCGCAATAAAATTATAATAAAAAATCATAATTCAAAAAAATATATCCAAGCATAAACATTTGCTATAAAAATTGATAAATATTGATACAGAAACTACAAAATGTTTGTATTCCTCAACATTTTTATAAAATGAAGGATTAGTTCTGTATACATATTTAAATAAGCGTTTTTTAGTTTGTGTAAAAAAATCAGTTGTTACTCCAAATGGTTTAACTATCATTTACTTGTCTCCTAGCCCTAAAAAATCTACGTAACAGTTGGTGTTGGAACTAAATAAAATGACAGCCACCAAGTCAAAACCGATTGAGCTCCAGCAACAAACAACAGAAAATACAACTTTCTTTTATGCCCAACAGTATTACCTGAGCCATAATATGAATGATCTTTGGCCGACTTCTCAGCTAAAACTTGCACTTTAAGGCTCCTAACCAAAAAAAACGATAAAGCAATGTTAGTATAAAGCAGACTAATATAATATCCACTCCTGCCTGCTACCAAACTAACTAAAATACTAATAATAGTCCCCACAAATTTATATCCGGAACAAGCTAGAAGATCTAGGGTTTTCAAGCTCGTCTCCACTTGTAAAACGTACAAAATGGTACTGTAAATTGCCAATTCTATTAGGCACCAGGCCAGAGCTGAGGAGGCTGTAATACCTATTTGCTCAGGGCTGAACTTGTCTTGCATTCCTAATACAAGACCAGCAACAAGAACGTACGTTATATAGGCCATTGTTGGTATGTAGAGGTCAGGAGCGTTTATTTCGAACCTGGGCTGAACAGGACCATCTGATTCATATTTTACTGACCAATCCTGGAAGAGTTTGTTATTGTAAAAGACTAGGAAAGGTAGCTAACTAATACTTACTGTATGTGTGAATGGGAAAAACAATAAGGCCAATTTTGAAATAACATATTTGGTGTCGACGGCAAAATAATATTTTAATTTGGTTACAGGAACATATTTTTCCACTTCTTGTTTTATTATGTTTTTACCGGCTCCGGCTAACTGAAAAATAAAATTACACATTCAAAGTAGGTATATATTTAAATTTTCAAATAAAATTAAAAAACCAAAAGGTATTTATTTAAAACAAATTATTCCTGGTTTTAACTGTGCAATCAAAAATGGGTTTCTGAATGGATTTGTAGACTATTTGCTCCAATTTAGGTTGTTCAATCACTTGACACAGTTTTGGACCAAGTTGGATAGATTTTGATTGAGTAGTAGTAGTAAACAATATTTATTGAACTAATTGTTCAAAGGGCCATCGACCGAAGTCTTTCAGCCTTAGATATCTACAATTTTATATGAATTTACAAATTTGCTAAGTATAAATATATAACAGATAAATCCACATGCAATAGAAAAAAAAAAAAAATAAACAATGCAAGTATGTACAGGGTGGCCCAAATTCAAGCCTCATCATTGGGATCTCGAAAACCATAAGAGATACAGGGGCGGTTAAATTATGGCAAAGTTGCGCAATTTTATGACCAATAGAATGCCGTTTTGAAATTAGAAAGATTCCGAATACTTCCGGAGATATTCGGAAAAAACCGAAATTTTGTAAAATCGTTATTATTTTTTCCCAGGCTTATTTGGAGAGCAATTTTAGAATAAAGGTCACTTCATCATTGTCACTTTTTCCCCTTTAGGAGATGGTGTTACTAAATTTAAAATCCGACGTCTTCAGGCGGCCATCTTCAACTTAGTTTTTTCAAGTATGGACCTGGATTTTTTATTTGCGATTTTGTCATTTTTGGGTATTCTAAAACCAATAATGTTTATAATTTTTCATTAACACAGTGAAAAAAGCAGGTCTGTATTTAAAAATAAATAAATGATTCCAGAGGAACGAAACGTTGGATTTCAAATTTAATACCGCCATCTTGTAAAGAAGAAAAAGTGACAATGAGGATGTGAAATTAGTTTTTCAAAATATTTTTAAATAAAATCATGAAAAAATCAAAACTATACGAAAAAAACATGAATTTCTCGTATTTTTCAAATTTTCATTGATTTCATTTTAAAAGATATTGAAAAACTAATTTCACATTCTCATTGTCACTTTTTCATCTCTACAAGCTGGCTGTATTAAATTTAAAATCCAAAGTTTCGTTTCTCTGGAATCATCATCAATTTATTTATTTTTTAAATACGGACCTGCTTTTTTTACTGTGTTATTGAAAAATTATAAACAGTATCGGTTTTAGGATGCCCAAAGATGACAAAATCGCAAATAAAAAATCCAGGTCCGTATTTAATAAAAGTGAGTTGAAGATGACCGCCTGAAGACAAAACGTCGGATTTTAAATTTAGTAGCACCATCGTCTAAAGGGGAAAAAATGACAACGATGAAGTGACCTTTATTTTAAAATTGCTCTTCAAATAAGCCTGGGAAAAAATAGAAACGATTTTACAAAATTTCGGTTTTTTCCGAATATCTCCGGAAGTATTCGGAATCTTTCTAATTTCAAAACGGCATTCTATTGGTCATAAAATTGCGCAACTTTGCCATAATTTAACCAACCCTGTATCTCTGATGGTTTCCGAGATCCCCATGTTGAGGCTCGAATTTGGGCCACCCTCACAACAGAACTATGTACCTATGTTAGCTTTTTACGGTCTATTATTTTGTATAATTTGGAAAACAGTTTTTTCTAGATATTGTCTTTTCCTGATAAGGCCTTGTGCAGTTTCCAAATTGAATGGACTAATTATCGGTATGTTGGATGGTCTGCTGCCAAACTCGGTAACACTTTGAAATGTTTGAATGGTTGGCTCAATTCCAGTTTTTTCATACAACATTTCATTTGATGGATTATGAAGCAGGTTTGTAGGATGTCTGATTTTTGTAATTTTACGGAGACTATATAGTTCTTTCTGCAGTTTCTATTATCTGGATGACAGGTCCTCTACAAGCACTGAAAATTATTTGTCCGTATTCCAAAATTGTTCTGCATATTGTTGTGTAGATGTGACATGCAGTTTTGATGTTAATACAGACTTTGTTAATACCCTCGTCCTTGTATGTTGGGTTTCTAAAATGCTTGCTTCTTGTTATCGTCTTTTTCTTCATTGTTGACAGGTGATATTTGAAATTTAATTTATTGTCGAAATGAATACCCAAGTATTTGATGTGAGATTGATGATTGGTGAAGCTGCGATGATCTTGTGATGAAATACTATAAATTGCGATTTTTCAGGATTTAGTTTTAGTTTCCACTTATCTAACCAGACAATCACTCTGTTAAGTGCTATTTGTAGAGATTGAACAGCTTGGGATATATTCTTGTGGTGTGATATAATAGCGGTAGCGTCTGCAAATTGTATGATATATGGACTTGCAACTGTAACCTGGTTTGTTGGAGGGAAGATGTGACAATAAATATTATAAAGCAATGGCGACAGTGATGATCCCTGTGGTGTTCCCTGCTCATTAGAAAATGGGTATGAAAGGCATCCATTTATTTTTACCACATTTTGTCGATTCTCCAGTAACTCATTAACAAGCCATATCAGGTACCTTGAACATTGTAACTGGTAGAGTTTAAACAGGATACCTCTATGCCAAACTGTATCAAAAGCCTTTTTAATATCTAAAAACGTCGCCGCACTTCTGAAACCCATAACATTTGCTGACTGTATGTTTGATGTTAGAATGGATAGTGGATGAATACTGGAGTGAGTTTGCTTGAAACCGAACTGATGCCCAGGTATGTTTCCTCCTATTTCGCAGTTTATTCTGTTCCGAACAACTTTTTCAAGAGTTCTTCCTGAAACTGGCAAAAAGGTAATTGGTCTGTAGTTTTCCACTCTGGAATGGTCTACGTTCGGTTTGGGTATGGTTATAACTAGAGTCCGGATTAAAAAGCATAAAAAAAGTTGAAATAAGCGCTTAAATATAATTTTCAACAAAAAAAATCATGGAATATGCATGAACAATAAAAATTCATTGTTTATCTATAAAATAAATAATAAAAAATATAATATAGGATTTTTAGGCTATATTTAGGATGACATCACGTTTAGTAGATTTGTGCTGCCAACCTAACAAGACTAAAAGTACTTTTTAACGCATTTCAAGTAGGGGAATTTCAGATGTTTTTTGCGGTTGGCAACGGCGCGCGATGTTGCATGACTTGTATAAACATTTTCATTTCGTTATTTTTAGCTGTCGTCAGAATTATTGATACATGACATCCTGGTAAAGTATTAAAAAAAATAGGCATTGACAACATTGTCTGTCGTTGCTCGATGACGTCATCCGAAATATAATATAAAAAACCTATAAGCAAACATTGAAATAAACAAGGTCTCTAATGAATAAAAAAAAAATAGTTTTTGTAGAAACAAGCAATAACTAAATACTGACTTAAATGTTCCATAGCAAAGTTCTGTCTTCCGTCGCTTAAGAAGTTTTTGTAGTCAGAAAAACTTCTTTCTACTTACGTCGACACTTGTTATGGGCGCATATTTAAAATTTGTCACCACATAGGGGTTCATTTGTAACTTTTAGGGTCGGTTTCTCCGGGTTGGTTTTAACTTTAATTCCAAGGTAAACGTGCCCAAATGGAATGTTCACTCTGGAAATATGCTTTACCTGGGGGTGACTTGATATTGAGAAACCGGCCTTAATTCAGTACTTCCTACCTGCAACTAACCATCTAGTTTTGGGCTGGGGTTTCACACGTATTATCGATTTTTAAAAGAGAAAATTTATCAGGCAAAACTTGCGAGACAGAAGGTTTGTTCATTTGCGATATTGATATACTTTTGCAATACAAAAAATCTAAAAAAAAGCTGTAAATAAGCACAAACCCATAAAATAAGCATAAAATTTGAAAAAAAGCAAAATAAGCATTAAAAACAGTGCATTTTTGAGATTATTTTTGTCTAATTCGTCAATATTTTGAGTTGTCTTATATTTGCTTGTAATATTAACGAAAAGGATAATGCCTTGAAATCTGGACTCTAGTTATAACTATGCCTTTTTTCCAGGTATTTTGAAAGTAGCCATTAGTTAGACAGTAGCTGTAAATTTGTTTTATTCTTGTGTGGATTTCTGAGCTGAGTTGTCTTAAAATATTACTGTTGATGTTGTCGTAATCTGGAGTGGTGTTTAGCCCTTCGGCTATGACCTGTTTGTATTCATAGTATTCATAAACAGATCAATAAAAAAATGCTCAGTCCATTTATTTGCAGATGACACACTGTTGTATTTCAAGTCTAAAGATATGAATGACCTAGTTGAGAACTTGAACATTGATTTGGAACACCTGCATGTATGGTTCAATATTAATTCTCTTAAATTGAACTTATCTAAAACAAAATTTATGTTAATAGGTGGTAGAGCAGATAAAGAATCAATTACACAAAATAATCTTCATGTTAAAATCAGTAGTCATATTATTGAAAGAGTAGAGACACATAAATATCTTGGATTTGTTGTTGACTCCTCACTTACATTTGGGGATCACATTTTGTATACAATCGAAAGAATTACCAAAGGTGTAAGTTTTCTGTCTAGATTCACATCTTTTTTGTCACAATGGACCAAGCTTACTATCTATAATACTTTGATCTTACCACATTATATCTTTAGTTCCTCGATCCTGTACCTGTGTAACAAAAATGATTAGAACAGGTTGCAAAAATTGCAAAATAGGGCAATGAGAATTATTTTACGTGAAAGGCGTGAAACGCCTATAAAAAACATGTTAGGAAAACTAAATTAGCTTTCTGTTGAAAAATTTCTTATTTACCAAAATATGTTGTTAATTTATAAAATGAAAAATGAGCTAACACCTACATATTTGACTGAAAAATTGAGAAGTCATTCTTCTGTACATTCGTACCCTACTAGGAATCGTAACAATTTTTATGTTACAACAAAAAATAAAAAAGGAACTGAAAATGGTTTATACCATAAGGGTTTAATTTATTTTAATGCTTTGCCTCAACAAATAAAGGACGCCCCAAATATTAATTTATTTAAAAGAAAATTAAAGATTCATCTTATGGGAGAATAATACAGTAATACCTGTTTCATCTTTGTTGTTTTTGTTGAATTTTGTATATCTTTGATTTCTGTGTTTTTCAAGACTTGCATGTTATTTGTAAATCATTATATTTGTTGTTTACTATACACATTTTAAACTTAGGATTTTTATTTTTTTTTGTTTTTTATTATATAATATGTAATGAACATGTAGGATAATGACGCAAGTGACATATATGTATATTATTATATTTTATATTCTATTGTAGTTTTTTAAATTGTTGCTATATATTTTTATTTTATATTTTATACTGTATTTTGCATTATTGTAATTTGTATTTACTTGCATGATATTTTATTTTTTATTTTATTTTAGTAGGCGTATTATGTAGTATGTAATAACAGAGTTTCCAAATATCATGATATTTATATAAATATCCAATTATCCGATATATATCGATATATATCGGATATATATCAAAATTTGGATATTTATTTACATTTTTAATTATTTAAATTAGTTCATCTGTTTTCTGTTATCTATACCGGGTGGTCCTCCAGGAATGACATCGATTGCTTATGGGAAAACTGTGAAAGGTAAAAATTTGAAAATTTGGCAACATAGCAATGTCGATGGGGGACATCCAGGTAAAATATTTTCAAGATGGCGGCATTTCCGGTCATACCGGAAGTTGATACCAACTCGGTTATTTTAAATAGAACACCCCATATATTAATGTATTTTTGGATTCTACATAAAATTCTGAGCAGATTTCATGTAATATACCCTATACCTAAGTTCAACTGTTTTGGAAATATTGACAGTTGAAAATTGACTTTTTGCAACTTTGACAGGCTGTAAAACCTGAACAATTAATTTTAGAGGAAACCCGATTTGACATTCCTATCTTAGATTTTTATAAACTATCATTTGACATCAACTTTGAATTAAATCCATGATTAAAAATTTCAGTTAAATTTAATCTCCGTTTAAGTTCAAAGTTGGTGTCAAATGATAGTTTATCAAAATCTAAGATAGGAATGTGAAATCGGTTTTCCTCTAAAATTAACCAATTAGGTTTTACAGCTTGTCAAAGTTGCAAAAAGTCAATTTTCAACTGTCAATATTTCCAAAACAGTTGAACTTAGGTATAGGGTATATTACATGAAATCTGCTCAGAATTTTATGTAGAATCCAAAAATACATTAATATATGGGGTGTTCTATTTAAAACAACCGAGTTGGTATCAACTTCCGGTATGACCGGAAATGCCGCCATCTTGAAAATATTTTACCTGGATGTCCCCCATCGACATTGCTATGTTGCCAAATTTTCAAATTTTTACCTTTCACAGTTTTCCCATAAGCAATCGATGTCATTCCCGGAGGACCACCCGGTATTATTAAAATTCAAAATAACTCTATGGTAAATTTAATAAAATGTTACAAACATGTAAAGTTGGTATGGCGATAATAAGTTGTAGTTTTCTTGTCCTATCTCCTATCTCCTATACATTCTAGTTCTGACCGTTTGTGAGTTAACATTATTGTGACCGACTGACAAACATGCCGCCGAAGACTAGTGGAAAAGCTGCGAAAAAAGCCGGAAAGGCCCAAAAGAACATCTCGAAGACAGACAAAAAAAAGAAGCGCAGGAGGAAGGAGAGCTATGCCATCTACATTTACAAAGTTTTGAAGCAAGTTCATCCCGATACTGGAATTTCCAGTAAGGCCATGTCTATAATGAACTCTTTCGTTAACGACATCTTCGATATGAAAACATTTATGTTATTTATAACTTATGTTTGCCTTAAGCCGCGGTTCAACAAAAAAAAGAAATCCACAACTTAGGGCGGGTTATAAAACTATTTATACAGAATAACTACCTACCTAGAAGTTAACTTCTGGAATGACGTTACTTTTTATAGTAATTCCAGAAGTTAACTTTTAGTTATCTGGGAAAATATTTTCATAATACCCGCCTTAAAAACCTAATATTTCTAATCCACAAATAAAAATAAATAAAATCCCTGTGATTTCCTTCTCATAAATAAAATAATAAAACTATAAAATAGGAAAAAAAGGCCATACAAATATTATTGATATAAGGTACCTGACCCAAATAAGGCCAGGTACCTATTAAGGCCAGTGCCCTTTATTGCTTAATATTGAATCCCATTTCCAAAAATTACAATATTATTAGAAAAGAAATCTATAATGCAAATCAAAAATTATTGCAAGGGTTTCTAGCAACTCGTCATATGTCGAAAAATGGCCAACCACATATTTCATATGTCACGTTATAACTTTGAGGCTGGAACTCAATTAGCCTATATACGTGTTTATAAAGTGAATGGAACGATTGTAATTTTTTAACGGACATTTATGTATTGAGAAAGCTACAGAGTAAGTACAGAATAATATCTTTGCTAGATTTCTAGTTACAGACTTTTGTTTATCAATTTAACATGTTCCTGAAAAGGCCATCAGACGAAAAATGTTCAATTGGCCTCACATCACAGTGTTTTTCTAAAAGAATGTGTCATATTATTACCTAGTTGATGTTTTTTGAAATGCGTGGAGACTCTCCAAGCAAAAGATGCTACGATTCATTTGTCCTAGTTGTATATAGACCTATTTGGATCACCATCCCAGGAATTGGAATTATTGTTTTTTTAGGAATGCAGCAAACGTATAAGTTCTATTTTGTGTACTATTCCTCAAATAATAATATTTTTATGAATAATTGAATTTACTTTAAGCATTTTTTAATGTTGGCCTTATTAGGAGCATAGTGATCCGAATAAGGCCAATGGTAAGCCTCTTTGTTTCACGCAAAAACCACCACTTATATAAAAAAATAAATAAATTGGAAGAAATATTCAAGTAATAGAAGCAAAACACTTCACATATAAGCTCGTGATTTTTGTTGGGTTTGGTGGATAATGTTAGGAAAAAATAAAACTTCTTAATATGGCCTTATTTGGGACAGGTACCTTATATCAGGATATTTATAACATAAATATCATGATATTTATCAAGATATTTATCACTGATATATATCCTGCCAACCCTGGATAATAATAAAGTATTAATGTTTTTCTTAATATTCTGAGTGCATAATATTATATCAGCTGTTCTGCTTGGGTTGTTCGTCATGATGAATGTAGGCCTTGTGTTGATTCTAACAAAATCGGATTTTGATTGAAAAGAACGAAAAATTGTTAAAAATGCCATTGAAAAAAAAAGTCATCAGAAAACGCCGAAGGAAAACATATTTGGAACAAATTTAGATTATTTTGTTGTTTTATCGCTCCATATAAGGTGGTTCTCTTGTCGAATTCATAATTTCACACGTTCAAGACTACGCTTGGATGTATTTTAATTGAAAAAAAGTACCTAAGTAAGAACCAGCAAAAAATGTTATTAAAATAGGTACAATCATCAGTAATTTTTTGAAAATCCCAATAATAGCGGAGAAACTGCACAATAACTATCCAGATGCAGAAGTGATTATTAGATTAAGCAAACATCGTTTCACCAACCTGTTGCCCATACTGCATAGCCATATCCTGAACCATTGGCTGTCCCAACATTCCTATATTAGGAGTAATCGGAAATGGGTTTTGCTGGTACGGCTGCTGAACAGGGTTATTGAAATTAACTCCTGGCGCTGGAACATTATTAGTAAAGGCCCCATCGAGCGAAGGTCGATTGGCAATTCCATAACCTTGAACGATAAAGGCATACAATAAAGGGCCCAGTTCTGAAACATGTTCTTACCTTGTTGTTGAAAATTGCCTCCTTGCATTGATAAGTCATTTACAGCCCCCAAGTCTGGATAAACATTTTGTGGTTGGTTGGGGCTGCCATAAGGATTGTATCCCATAGCGTTAACATCGCTCACCCTTTTTATTTTTTTGCCAAATGTTGCTGAAATTCAAAAAGTAATTGTATTGTTTATGTTTGAACTGAGGAGAAATAATGTTGGAAGACAGGATTTTGTCCTTACCGTTACGAGGTCCAGTATTAGCGTTGTAGTTCATTGTTATGAATGATCTTATTTGAATTCGAGTAAATTATACAAACTGTGATTATACATTAGTGAAAATAGAAGTATTTTTTTTTATAAATTGTTTTTGGAAATAACTCTAAATCAAAATTGAAACGTCACCGTTACCGTTAGAGGTGGGTTGCGATTTCACGAACTGTGACTTTGTCACTACTACTTGTCTGTCACAGTCACAGCCTGCTCCAGTCCTAGTCAAGTAGCAGTGACAATTTTGTCACTGCCCGCTTAAAACTCCGACCGATGCAGCGCGGACAAAACTGGAGCTGTGATGCAAATTTAATAATATAATGTTATAAATCGCATCGCGGTCACTCTAAATAGAAACTGTTACTGCAGAGGGCAGGCTAGAAACTGGAACATCTCTCCCGGCCGTGACTGCGGACTGCGATTATGCCATATTGCGATGTAGCATTAACAAATATTAGCAGTACGGCCGCCAACTAAGGTAAAACTGCTCCAAAAAATCACTGCTATTTGTCACAGTGATACGACTGGAGCAGTCACGTCTTGTCACTGCTTGCTCCATTAAAATCGCAGGTTGGCCCACCTCTAGTTACCGTTGTCAACGTCAAACGTGACCCAAGAATACAAAACATTCCGCATTCGAAGTGTTCCGGTTATCCAACTCAGAATTAGGGTGGAGTCAGAGCAGTTTTTTGGCACGTGCTTTTAAAGTGAATAGAGCGTTGGCGTTCGAAATACAATCCAATCCATGTTTTAAAACCATTTTCTCGCGCCGAGAAGATATGACGTCAACAGTTTTGAAAAACTTTACCTTTGTTCGGGTTTGAAAAAAGAACGGCTCTAGAACGGTTCAAAACAATCGCACAGTTCACCGTTGAAATTTATTGTGATAGCCGAGCAATAACTATGGTATTTTTAATACCCATTTAGAATAACCCCATCCTTATTTATCAATCACGAATAGTGAAATGTCAAGCTTCCAAATTTTTTATGTAGAAAAGATGCTTGTGTTGCCAACATAGTTACTAAATTTTTGACTCGGGGAACTAAAGTCTTTTTTTTTTTTAAAGATAAAAGTCAAAATGACATTATGTTGGCAATACAATGTAAAATTGTCAATGCTTTCAAATTTTTTATGTAGAAAACTAAAAGGCTTGTGTTGCCAACGTAGTTACTAAATTTTTGACTTGGGGAATTATCTTTAAATAAAAACAAACTTTATCTTTAAAAAAAAACAGACTTTAAAAACTCTATAGCCGAGTCCGTCATGTTGATTGATAAACTGTGCGATTGTCTTGAACGGTTCCGTTTCCGTGAAAGTTGTATTACTTTCAAGAGTTTAGAACACTAGAGCTACTCGCTCCGGTGTTAGTAGTCTTGGGGTTCTCCAGCCAATATTTTTTTAACTGCGTCTATTCTACAAAAAAGAGTACTCAGGTAATGTGAAAGTAAAGGCCCATTACCCACTGCAAACCCTCGTGCAAACCTCTATTCTTAGAAAAGAAATTATTAACTCTACCATGTATTTTTAATTTTGGAAACTGTCACTTTAATCCATAAGAAATATAGACGACATTTTAATAATGAAGTAAATCATTATTTTCGATGAAATTCCAATAATTTGCCGCTACCCATTCCAAAAACCACCCTAACAAAAAACTCGATAATGTACGAGAGCTTGAAAGTTTTCAATCCTGCCTGTGGAACTAAAAAAGATAATTTTTCCAAAAAAGTTTTAAATGCAAGGTAGAAAGTCGATTAACGACTAAAGCCTAGTACTCATAACTGCGAAATTCGCATTTTTTTGACATTGCTTCGACAATTTGACGTTTGATACACGCATAAAACGTCAAATTTTCAACGCAATGTCAAAAAAATGCGAATTTCGCAGTTATGAGTACTAGGCTTAAGGGCGGGTATTATAAAACTGCTTTGACAGTTAACTTAAAGTTAACTTTTTGAATTACATGTAATTCCAGAAGTTAACTTAAAGTTAATTCTCAAAGTAGTTTTATAATACCCGCCCTAAAAAGCATACTACAGTCTAGGAGAATACTTTGCAGACTCTCTTTAGTTAAAAGATTATTTTGTTTACTGCTTGTCTTGTTGAATGGATCATTTTGTAGATTGAGGATTTTTATATTACCTTTTAAGGCCGGTTTCTCAATAGCAGGTCACTCCCGAGTTAAGCATAACTCCAGGGCAAACAATGCAACTGGATCTGTTTTTTTTTTTAAAGATAAAAGTCAAAATGACATTATGTTGGCAATATAATGTAAAATTGTCAAGCTTCCAAATTTTTTATGTGGAAAAGGCTTGTGTTGCCAACATAGTTACTAAATTTTTGACTTGGGGAATTATCTTTAAAAAAAAACAGACTTTACATAACAATAAAGCATTTTGATATGATTTGATTTGACCCCGATTTGAAAGGAACAGATGAGCTGGCTTTCGTGCATTGAATGGTTCAGGTTCGGACTTGACCACTTCGGGTGCGTGGTGCAAGAAACATTTTTTGAAAGGAATGAGCGCGTTACGCCCCGGAGCTGTTCCAGAGCTCCTCTTAGGTGTGAAAGGAATACAACTATAGACATAGCGTTCAATTCATGATATTCTCTCTCTTTCTGTTTCTCATTACACTCGTACACTTTCTCTCTCTCACGGGCACCGGCTTGCAAAATCACTCTCATAAGTCATGCAGCATGCACCCAAAGAGGTATTTACTCCCTTCAAACAACACTACTACATAGGATTACTCATCGGCCTCGGTTTTTGGAATCAAGATGATATGTGGTGTTGCACCGCTGCCGTAGTGTCGTCGACTATTTGCGCTAGCGGTCGTAGTTTATTAGAACATACATTTATGATGAAAAATATTCAATTTTGATTAACATAATAGGCAAAGACGAAGACGCAAACGACATAGAATTCTATTTTCATGACATCAAGTTGCCAAGCAACGAAGCAACCGTCATCGTACTGTACGCGCTAAATAAGTCGAGGGTGACGTAATGAGAGTAGAATTCTACTGTTCATGATTCCAGCCCAACGGGGACCCGGAATAAATAATGGCGTTTCCGATTGGTAAGTTCGGGCAGTGGCAGCACTAGGGCAACCTTCGTACAATTTTTGTGTTCCGATTGGGAAATCTCGAGTGGTTTTTTGTGTTCGAATGGGAAACTGGGTAAATCTGTTTTGCCCTAGGTGCATATTCATTAACTTTTCTGGACAAGGTTCAAGGGCTTGTGCTGGAATGAGTGCATATGTCAAACTAGAAAAAATCAAATAAAACCAAGGACAATACACAATACTACATCGGATTGCTTATCGGCCTCCTTTTTGGGAATCGCGGGCATTGTGTAACATCATTGACGACGTCAGCTCTTTGCGTCAGCAGTCAGCGGTCGTAGTTTAGAATATGAAATGATGAAAAATATTATCCAATCTTGATCAACATAATAGGCAAAGAGGAAGATGCAGACAAGATCTAAAAAAGCGTTGTTTTAGAATGTTAATTAATGCACTAAAACCGAGTATGCATAAAGCAGAAGCCCACGGAATCATAACCTGTGGTGCAAACACCCTACGTCAAGGCGAGGAAACCTTGGCGAGAAACGACACGCTACCTACGTCATCACCGGTTCTTAGGCGTGGTAGGGGCTTGATATTTGATCTACAAAGGCCTTATGAGGATAAGTTATCCTGTAGTAGTAGTGTGTTTTATTCTAATTATTCTTGAAAAAATGGCGAAATTAATTAAGAATCTTAAACCAAATTTCGGCGATTTTGGACTTTCTATCCTTATCAAGCAGTGAGGATGATGAGGAAATAATTGTCGCACTAGCCATAGACCGTAGTAGAACAGAAATACCTTAAATCAAAAATTTTATCAAAAACGTGATCCACGAGTTCTCCGAAACAGAAAGTCAACAAAATAAAAACCCACAGCACGGCATTCTCGGGTCTCGAATAGTCTCGCTACATAACAGAGATAAATACTATATAAAATGTGTTTTTTTTTAAAGATAAAAGTCGAAATGCATTATGTTGGCAATACAATGTAAAATTGTCAAATGCTTCAAATTTTTTATGTAGAAAAGGCTTGTGCTGCCAACATAGTTACTAAATTTTTGACTTGGGGAATTATCTTTAAAAAAAAAACAGACTTTTTTTTTAAACTGTGTGATACATACCAAAAATTTGATACCTGTCAAAAAGCTAAATTCAAAAATTAAATTTACCACGATTTCAAAGCACCCGCATTAAAAAATCATGTTCGATTGGTTTTGCACAGGTAGGAAACCAGTGCAAAACTGACTTTACCAATCGGAAACTCTAGCTGGGTTCGGCTATTCAGCGCGGAGTTGGAGTGGAGTGAACAGAGCTAATGGAGTCACCCCTAATACGGTAAAAAGCAATACCCGAACGTTAACCCGAACGGCTGGAGTGCGAATGGAGTCACTCGGAGTGCACGGAGTGAGCAAGCCGAACCCACCTTCTATAGCTGGGTTCGGCTTGCACACTCCGTGCACTCCGAGTGACTCTGTTCGCACTCCAGCCGTTGTCTGATTCGTTAAAACGCAATACCCAAACGGCTGGAGTGCGAACGGAGTCACTCGGAGTGCACGGAGTGTGCAAGCCGAACCCAGCTTATAAATAAATACGCACTAATTCGAAACTCATATTTTCAGCTTTACTGCTCCCAGAGCACTTCTCATCTGGTCGGTGACGTCACATATCCCTGCGGGAGTGTTCCGAAAGCGATTATTATCCAATTTTTGAACCGAATTTTCGCGACGAACTTCTTCCATGATTCCATGAACTCCAACGCTTTCGCGAGGACGACATGACGTCACAATAAACGTAGTTCGCCGGAAGCATTGACGCAACTTCAAGCCAGTGTTCAAACTCATGACGTCACAAATGAACTATTGATGACCTACATAATTCGGTTTATGGCACACAATTTAAAATCAATAGCCGAATGATAGCCCAACGTACTTTTGTTTTGATAAAAAATCAAATTCTTCGATCCATCGAATTTGCGGAGCAAGAAAGAGCGCTACGTGCGAGACTTGGGAGCGTACTATTGCTCAAGTAGAACACGTGAATCCAGCCAAACATGTGAATTTGTTTTGAATTGCTTTTTGATCAATCGGGTGCCGGTTTGAGGCAAATTTCTTTTATATGTGGTGGCGTTCATCTGGACATAGCGCTGCTGATCAATTAAAAATGTTTTGAGTGTAAACACTCTGCTCTTGCTTTCGGTATTTTGATCAAAGAGCAGAGCGTGCTGAGCATCCTAATGGTGCTGAGCAAAGCCGTAATCACATGGAGCAGTGGAACGCTGTGTGCGAAATTTTATTAAACGAACGCAAATGAACCTGCACCGAGTACAATTTTTAAATAAACGCATGGTAATTGAAGCTCGGAGAACTCAGATCAAAATACCGGACGTATGATAAGCGTTTGATGAATGATTTTGAGGTGCGTACAGAACGGGCCTACGAATGCCATCGAATGGGTTGGTTCGAAGAATTTTTGTTCAGTGTGGACGGTTTAACGAAGAACAACGACGATTCGTTGGAGTTTGCTCGCAGCCCATATAGGGTGTTCATTTGTAAAGTTTTTTTTTTAAAGATAAAAGTCAAAATGACATTAGGTTTTTTTCTGCAGAAATCACAAACCAGTCAGAGTGAATTTAATTGGTTGAAACTTGTTTTCTGACTGTTTTCAAACAATGAAATTCGCTCTGACTGGTTTGTGATTTCTGCAGAAACAGACCTATTATGTTGGCAATGCAATGTAAAATTGTCAATGCTTTCAAATTTTTTGTGTATAAAAGGCTTGTGTTGCCACATAGTTTTGACATAGGGAATTATCTTTAAAAAAAACAGACTTTACTGCTTTTCTTGCTTCAAGCAGATCTTAGCAGCAGATCGGCGTTCACCTGTTCCATATATAAGCTTATAAATAGCAGCTCCTAGCAGATCTTTTTTATTTTTCGAGCAGGTAGAGCAAGTACAAATGAACAGCCTCTAGAGTGTCGGTAACATCAAAAAAAAAATAGAGGAAGTCGGCGAATGCGGTGTGGACGGAACATTCGGTATCCAACTCCGAATCTCATTCGTTGGCGATAGTTGGCCCGGTCTGCACGCACCTTCAGATGATGCCACAAGAGGTGGGTTCGGCTTGCTCACTCCGTGCACCTAGGAGGAGCTCCGGAACAGCACCGGGGTGTTACGCGCTTATTCCTTTCGAAAAGTGTTTGTTGCATCCCGAATCTGTTCCTTGCAAATCGAGGACGACTAACACCGGAGCGAGTAGATCGTGCTTTAAACTCTTGAAAGGAATACAACTATAGTTCATTGAATCGATCATAACGATGTGACAAGGAATTTATGTGACAACGTGTAATTTGTATCGACATGCGTCAAGAAGGATCGAGTAGGTTAATATCAGCTGATCGTGGTTCTCGTTTTCAGAGTAGAATATTCAACGTTTCCGAACGTTTGGGATCGACGATCGCCGGCAACCGCGTTTGTTTTTCTTCAATTTGAGGCGGTCTTTAACTGTGACTTTTCAAAGACACTGCAAACCACTCAAACTCAACAAATCACGAAAAGAGCAGGGTTAACGAGATCACAAACATATGAGAAAACCGAATCAACAAGATCACTTAACGAACGCGAGTACTCGATTTCGGATCATATCACGAACGATGAGATCACTAATCCGATCGAACCGATTAATCGGATCACACTTTCCGAAAGCGGCTAGTGTAGGTAATTGGGGACGTATCGATATTCATATCGATATCGTGTCGACAAGCCCATCTAATGTAATGAAGTTGGCGGTTGAATACTTGTCCTTGTCATTTGTCATATGACATTTCTTCTTGTTCCTCTTCTATCCATCCTCACTTCCTTCGCTGATATTTTTATGTTTGTATAAGTTTCCTTGCTTCATCTTTGCGGACCTTGTTATTTTTTCCAAAAAACATCATTTTTATAACAAAAATATAGTATTATTTGTGATCAATCGGTAAGTCGAAGCCTCATAATACATAGTTCCTGCGGTTTTAACAAGATTTAACTCGGCCACTAATTATACATCGGCCATAACTTTGCCTTTGCATTGTTGGATTTTTTGTATTGAAAGTGGTTGCTTCTTGTTTTGCCTTCTCCTGCCTGCGGTAGCTTATTTTGACTTGTTTCCATGTATAAAAATCACCTTTAACTGATCACACATTTCCTCAGCAATAAACTAAACATTTGCCGAAATATTAACAGACCCATTCACTTGTGTAATTTCAGAAAGCAGCAATGGCGTAGGTGAGAATGCATCCATGTAATATTGTCCTTGTAACTTTTGATGCATGTTTCTATCTGTAAAATAATGCTTTTATTGATTTGAATGGAATAATTTCAATTCTAACAGTCTAAAATCTAGGATTCTAACATTTTGCTGCATTGATTTTGTAGCTCTATTGATTTTTTGCTCAAACCTCTGTGTGGGTGCTTACTGCTTACTTCATCATTATTCTTTGTTCTCTTCATGTAAGTAGAAGATTTTTCCTAAGTGGTTTCAATTTTAATTGGTTTTGGACAAACCAAAGGTAATTTGAGAACATCATAAAAGTTTTTAGTCAAATCTGATACAGCCTGTATTTGTGTTTTGCCCACTATTATCATTGAAAAAGTTAATCTTCATAGGTACATAAAACTCAAGTGATATACTTAGAACATGCTAACAATTTTATCTTAGATTAGTACTATCGGAAGTAGTTATGGTTGCAGTTAAAATGGAAGGAAAATCTAACTGATTAAAAGCTAGTTGAAAAGTAGTATGTAGATTTTTGCATAGGGCACTCTTTTGCTAAAACTTGACTAAAGATGCCTATAAAAAAATGGGTAGCTACTGCTACTGCTCCGTAAAATATTTTACTTTTTATGTCTGTTTCTAGAAAGACAAATTTCTATAAACTTTTCTTTTTGGTCCCTTATTTTCTGTCTAATATCACTGTACCACTTGTAGAATCTAGGAATTCACTTACTTACATTATTAAATGCACTAATTTAATCTGCCTTCTATTCGCTTTCCACATTGCTCTGCTTTCAAATGTCAATTATTATTATTATTTTTAATTCTAAAATTATTTTAATAGCCTGAGCAGATTTTAAAAAAATGGTTAACACCCGTCGTTCTGAGTCACATTCTACTCGACCTCACCAGACTAGGGTAGGTTATATCCTATATGTAAGTCAATTAGAACAATACATAATCGACATATTCTCCCAAATTGAAATTACTTACATAAAAAAACTTTTTCACATTCAAAAAATAGTAAATAGCATTGTGATTCTTTAGGGTGCAACAAAAGAAGAACAAGATTGTAGTTCCTCCAGCACAAAAGAAGAAGACAGTAACAGTGAACATAGTGATGACGATTCATCAACCAACACTCCAATATTAGAAGCCCTAAAAAAGAAAGTCGGTGGAAAAGTTTCAAAGCTTGTTACTCTAGAAAGAAAATTTCCTAGCAAATTTGATCAACCACCTAAACGCATATCTCTAGAGAGGCGAAGACTAGCAGTTTATGCTAACAAAAAAATGGATGAGGATTTCCTCGATGGGGATTTTTCAGAAGAAGAATATTATCCTAACAGGCGCTTTCGCCAAAACCGTCGCCAAAATCATCTTACAACGAAGAGGCGTATGCTGCGTCGTTCTGCCTTGTCTTTGCGTCCTATAAGTCAAAAATCGTATGCAGATCATTCTCCCATACACTTTGACACAGACAGTGATGGGTTTCCCAAAAGGGAGACTCGTCATTCAAGGAATATGGAAGGAAGGAGTTGGCTGGGAGATAGTCAAATGCATAAAGTGGGATATCCCAATTTGAATGCTGGTTATTCAGAAGAAGATAGTAGAGATGCCGCTGATGTTCATGCCAATATGGAAGTAAGTAGTTTTTTTTTTGCTTGATTTATATTTTGTTTTTCTCGCATCATCATATCATTATGCATCAACATGCAGCCGTATCATAGAACAAGATACAATCGTTCACAAAAATACATTTTCTTGTAAGAACCTACTTAAAGAAACTTACAAAACAATTTAGAACAAAAAACAGTTGATTGTTTCTCTACTTATAATCGAATCAATGACCCGTTAAAAATAAGATACACTCTTGATAAGCCCAACAAGTAGTATTCTACAAAATTGGTACACTTAAAGAGCCATTCATCAATGTGAAAGTCAGTTGAGTTGGTCCAGAATAACAACCCATACGACATCCTAGACTCAAAAATACCCATGTATGAGTTTCAGTATTTCAAACAAGGTGATCCATCAAGAAGAGAATAGAGGAGTAACCCTCAATTAATTCTCCTACAAGAGTGTTTGTTATCCAATCAGACCCCAAAAATTCTGCTGCACTCTCTCTCTCTCTCTCTGTCAGTCTTTTTCTGGATTTTGAATATTTTAGAGGTCAAACTCGGCAGAACACAACGCCTGGGCCCTTTGTGCATCCTCGTCCTGCAAATACATTCAGACTATTTCTCAAAGCTTTTAAAATAGACTCCCCCAGATATGAAACAGTGACAGGATGCTCCACTGTTTTGTGCTTTTGTTCACAACCTCTGCACTAAGATTTATTTATGTATTCATCATTTGAGAGGTTGTACCCAATCGTACATACATAATATGTACAGGGTGATCTATTATAAATGTCACCCCCTTCTAACTTTTTCAAGTGTCAAATACAAAACTTTCAAGAAATTGTCAAAAGTTTTTAACTAAGTAAGTTCAGGCATACAGGGTGCGTCAAAGGAATGCAGCAGTGTTATAGTTTTTCAAATCGAACACCCTGTTTATCGTGTGCTTATTTGCTAGTACCTTTCAACCTGATGTCAATGATATACGGTTTGATATGTCTATCTTCACTAGTTATAGGGAAAAACATGAAAACCCCTTTCAAGGTTTCATATTGAAAAAAGATTTTTTTTTTTTATAAACAGTTTATTGTTCATATTTTATTCATTTATATTATGAAATATTATAATGAATCCAGATGTTATTATTATTATTTAAAAAATAAATAAAATGAAAGACCTACACCATTTCCAAATCCAAGCGGCAGTAAATGACAAACTGATCATTTTCATTACGACTTATCAAATGTCCTCAGTGCATGCGCACCGGTCCAGGTAGGGCAATTCAACCAATAGGAAGGCTGGTGTTTGTTGACAATTTAGGTTATTTAATGTCATTTACTGCCGCTTGGATTTGGAAATGGTGTAGGAAGGGATTTTCGCGTTTTTCCCTATAACTATTGGAGATAAACCGAGAGATAAACATATCAAACCGTATATCGTTGAAATCGGGTTTAAGGGGATTAACAAATAAGCGCACAATAAATAGGGTGTTCCATTTAGAAAAATATAACTTCACACTGCTGCACTTTTTTGACGCACCCTGTATGCCTAAAACTGACTTAGTTAAAAACATTTGACAATTTCTTACAACTTTTGTATTTGACACTTCTGTCAAAAACGTCAAATGAAAAAGTTAGGAGGGGGTGACATTTATAATAGATCACCCTGTACTTAACAACATTAAAACTATTATTATTAAAATATTATCATTATTGGTCAACGACTTCGTTGAAAAACATAAAACTTGAAGTTTTTTGTCTTTCTTTCTCTTTACAATTGTGTTGCGAAGCAAAGAAATGAAACTCAATAATGAATTATGAGTGACTCAAGTGATGTAGTATTAGAAGCTTGGGTGAGGAATCCACGAATTTTCAAAGAATAAACTCCCTATTGACCCTATTTATACATGGAAGAAACTTACGAGTTTAATGAAAGACTTACGTTGTCAATAGAAAAATTTAATTTCGTTCTTGGCCGAATTGAGCAAATTGTGAAAATCTCACACCCAGCTCTATTAGAGATAAAATTCAAACAAGAAAGGTATACAAATTATTCTCCCCTGCGATCCTATTGGACTAGAATAGTGTATATAACTTTGATTTTTTGTTCATTCAAGAGGTAAACTTGGTCTAGAGGTGGTCAGGAAGCTTGTTTGACCCTCTCACATTCCCAGCTTTTCTAGAGCTGAAATTCAAACTAGTAAGGCATAAAATTTCTATTCTTGGTGCTCCTAATGCCAAATACTGAAATAGAGAAAACTAAAACTTAGAGTTTTGACCATTCAAGAAGTAAACTTGGGCAAAAGCTGGCCAAAAAGCTTATTTGACCCTCGCAGAGCTAAAATCCAACTGAAGCATTGTGAAATTCTCAAAGGGCGGGTAACTTCCGAAATCGCTGTATGTACATTTTCATCCAAAATCCTTCGGAAATCTGAAAATCGCGAAATCCCCTGCCATTTCCAAAATCGATGTACAAATTGTGGAGAGTGAGCTGCTCCTCGGTTGATTTGTCAATGTTAATATCTCCTATTAAGTTCAATAAAAATAATAAATAAATGTTATTTTTTAAGATTTCTCCACCCTCAACTAGACGACTTTCTGGAAGACGAATGGTAAAACCTGTATACTACTACGAAGAGTATGACGATGGACCTCGAATTTCTAGAACACGCAGGACGGTAAGACGTGTAGTTACAGAAGTCACATTGGATCATAGAAGAAAACCTGAGTCAAATGAGAAAGAAAATAGGGAAGAGAGTGGCAGGAACCTTCGAACTCGTAGAGCGAAGGCGCAATTGAACCAAAAAGCCAATACGGAGGATGATGAGAATAAATCTAGCAAGGAGAGTGATGCTGAAGAAGCAAAAGAAGCAGCAGAAGCGAAAGACACATGTAAATATAAGCTGAAAAACAATTAATGTATTTTTTAATTTGTGTTAATTTTTCTAAGCTGATGAAAATGTTGAAGAACAAAAACAAAATATCCAAAGTCAATCGTCAGCAGGTGCCGAAGAAGTTGTACCAAAAAGAAGCCCCAGGCAATCAAAACGATGTATACCAAAAGTAGCCGATTCTGAAAGTTCAGAGTCAGAAGAAAGTGGAGGGAAAAAATATTCTTTGAGAAATAGACCAGCAAAAGTAGCACCAAAAACTAGTAAGTTGTATTTTTTGTATAAGGGGTTATTTTACAACATGACATGTATGTATGTATCTATAAGAAGAACTATTTGAATTATCCTAATATGTCTAAACCAAAAAGTGAGTTTATTATTTATTTCAGTGCAAACATCTGTTTTACGGCCTACAATGGAAAGAAGAACCAGACGAAGGTTTACAAGAAGAAGAAAAAGCTCGAGTAGTTCAAATACAACATCAAGTTCGTCAGACAGAGTTCGGTAAGTGATACAAAGTTGCCAATGCATGTTATTGAAAGTTACACAACTCTTTCACGTTTATAGAAAAACCCCAAAAAGCCCGCACTCGAAAAATGTAATGATGAAGACAGGAGGCAGCAGTACTATAGCACCAATAAAACCTGAAACTCTGGATCAATCTGTTAGATTCAATAGTATCGGAGGTTTGAAAAGCCATATTCGGTGTCTTAAAGAAATTATTTTGTTGCCAAAGATGTATCCAGAAGTGTTTAGAAAGTTTCAGGTAATCTAGTGAGGGTTTGTCTCAATAATTCTTCTTAAAACTATTGTTTTTTGATAGGTCAAGCCTCCACGCGGAGTACTTCTGCATGGACCTCCAGGTACAGGTAAAACCTTAATCTCAAGAGCTTTGGCCAATGAATGCAGCTTTGGAAATCAGAAGGTGTCGTTTTTTATGAGAAAAGGGGCAGATTTGTTGAGCAAATGGATTGGGGAGTCCGAGAAACAGTTGAGACTTTTATTTGAACAGGTGAGGCATTAAAAAACAGCAATTTCCCCAATAAATTTGAAGTAACTCCTCTACTAGTCCTAATCTTATTGCGACCTATAGATATTATTAGAACAGTAGATTATTTTAAAAATCCGCTTCACACTAAATCTAAATGTTGCTGCTCTCATCAAGTGAAATGAAATAATTTCTTAAGTCGAATGTAAGGTTAATTCAAGTTTGAACGGACATTTTTGCATCAAGAATAACTAGAATTTATTTGAATAAGCTTGGTTCTAACTCATTCCAGGTTTTCACTAGGGACTCTTTCATTCTTGAATATTTTTTTTAGGCTGCTGAAATGAAACCGTCAATTATATTTTTTGATGAACTCGATGGTTTAGCACCAGCCCGTTCGGCTAGATTAGACCAAGTTCACGCTAGTGTAGTGTCCACGCTGTTAGCATTAATGGATGGCTTAACTGATAGAGGTGATATTATCGTAATTGGAGCTACTAATAGAATTGATGCCATTGATCCTGCTCTAAGACGTCCAGGGAGATTTGATAGAGAGTTGTTCTTCCCTTTACCGTCAAAATCAGAACGTGAAGAAATCCTGAAAGTTCACACCTGCATGTGGGCTCAAAAACCTAGTGCTAATCTACTCGACTATTTGGCAGAAAATACTGTAGGATATTGTGGTGCTGATTTGAGGGCTTTATGTTCAGAGGCTGTTATTCAAAGCTTCCAAAGGACTTATCCTCAAGTGTATGAATCAGAACATAGATTACTGTTGGATGCTGATACTGTTAAAGTGGAAAAAGTGGATTTTTTTAGAGCAAAGTCTATGCTAGTACCATCATCTTATAGAGTAGCTTCAGGATTTGGCAAGAAACTACTTCCGATTCTAGAGCCATTATTAGGAAATGATATGAAGAAGATTTTCAGTCATTTAGAGAAGAGTTTTCCACATGGTCTCAATGAATCTTTGTCTAAGTACGTTTGGGGTTTCTATTATATCAACTATGAAGTTAATGCATTAATTTTTTTTAGGGTGAAATTATCAGCAAGTTTATATCCACCCCAATTTTTGCTAACTGGCAATGGTTCTGAGCATGGCCAATCCAATCATATCGCACCTGCCCTACTTTTCAGAATGGAACATATTCACCCCTACCTGTTAGATTTGGCTACCTTATTTAGAGAGCCCGGAAGGACTCCAGAAGAAGTTTGTTTCCAGGTTAATATATATTTTTTTTTTTTAGTTAACTTCAATTTGATCAATGCTCATTTTCTAGGTTTGTACTGAAGCTAAACGGAACGTTCCCAGCATAATTTATGTGCCAAATATTGACCATTTTTGGGAATTAACATCTGATGTTGTTAAAGCTATTTTTCTGGCTCAGATTAGAGACATAGGTCTCAATATTCCTATTCTGGTTCTCGCTACTTCAAATGTTATTTATCGTGAGCTTCCAGGAGAGGTAAGCGTTTTTAAGATTGTTTTTCAGGAAAAAGATCAGCAAAATCTTCCTTTCAGCTACAAAAGATCTTCTCAGATCACCGAAAAGAAGTCTTAGAAGTTCACCCACCAAATTCTGAGGCACGTCATCTTTTCTTTAAAGGTCTTCTTATTGATACTTGCCTGAAACCAATGAGACAAGCTAGAGAATGTCCAAAAACCCCTCCGCCTTTACCAAGAGCCCCCACTCCACCACCAGCACCACTAACCGAAGATCAAGCTCAAGCAGTTTATAATGCTGAAGAACACACGTTAAGAGAATTGAGAATATTTTTGAGAGACATGTGCAAGAAGTTGGCTAATAATAAATTATTCTTTATGTTTACTAAACCGGTGGATACTGAAGAAGTCCCAGACTATACAGAAATCATTAAGGAACCAATGGATTTGGAAACTATGATGATGAAAGTGGACTTTCATCGATATGAATGTGCCAAAGATTTCCTTCATGATATCGATTTGATTTGTCAGAATGCTCTAGAATATAATCCTTCGAAGTAAGAACATAGTGATAATATACCAAGAAACTTGATTATTGATTTTTCCTTTTCAGGACTTCTGCAGATAAGCAAATTCGTCACAGAGCTTGTTCTTTACGAGATTATGCATATACCTTGATAAAGACTGAAATGGATAGTGATTTTGAGGATAAATGCAAGGATATTAAGAAGAAGCGAAAGGATCGGAATGCATGTGTAAAGAAATATTTGCCTCCTTATATTGTTACTCCTGGTAAGCAACTAAATGTTATTTTTAGTTATTTACACCTTGAAACTGGAAGTTTTCAAATTAATTTGTACACCTGAACATCCTATATAAAATTATGTTTATAAAGTTGTTCTAATTTCTTCCTTTTTAGATGTTGCAGCTAAGCATATAGAAAAAAACATAAAACACGAGGAACAACCTAGTACTAGTAATGGTAACATCAACTTCTTGGATAGTAGTATTCCACCAAAAACTATGGAAAGGAATAGGATAAGTACAATAAGGAAGAGGAAATTCAATAATTGGAGGCATGGATATTTGAAAAAGAAGAAAAGGCCAAAAACTGATATTCCTAATAATCTGAATAATTCCAGTAAAAGTGTAGGTATTTTTTTTATACGTGTATAAACACACCTGATATTTATTTTTCTTCTATGTTGGTTTCTAGAAAGAAAAGCAATCGAGTGATGAGTCTAAAGAAAATGATCCTGATAGTAGTACAATGGAATTGCCACTGCCCGAAAATGATTCTCCAGGTACTGCCCATATACATACTGCCATAAGCGTTACCTGTGATAGTCCAAAGGCGATTTCGTCAAGCTCAGAAAGGTAAATAGCTCTCTTATAATGAGAGTTTTTATGTTGTGTTGTTTATACACCAAGTGTGATAAAGCCACTTTTTGGACATCAGATTGTCGACTATATTATATTCTCTTTAACTGGGAGATCATTCAAAATTATTCTGGATTGCAGTTCTTGCATTGCACAAATTTCTAGATTCTATTATTTCATTATACAACTCAAGAGTCTTATTTTTGTTCTGTTTCAGAACTCCCAACAGAGTGAAGGCCGACCTATTAAGCCCGTCAGAACTATTAGAAAATCCATTATATTTTGATGATATTGATTTGGCCTTAAACGAAAATGGTGAGTAACTTTTTATTGATTTTTAGGGCAAGGAACAATAATCGTACACTTAACTCATTCAAGCACATTATTGAAACTTATTTTTTCCAGCGCTTGAAGTTATGACACCAATTGATTGTTCTGCGAATGAACTTGAAAATGTATTAGATGAAACCGTTCAGATGACAAATGGTTTTTCATTAGAAAAGCTTCTGAATCTTTACAACCAGTTCAGTTGCATTATCAAGAAGTATTCCAAAACGCATCTCAGGCAATCTTTGCCAAAGGTAAGAACTCAATTTGTTTAAAAAACGTCAAAAAATAAGTGGAACATAAAATGTGTACATTACCTGTGCGGTAACGCTTCTTACTCGACTTAGTCTAAGACCTCTATTATACTAAAATATGTGAATTTTCCATTTTTTTTTAGGAATTACATAAGGAACTAATACAATTTCGAAAATCTCATACCCAGTGATTAGTCAGCAAAGCTCGAATTCGTCATAACTGGTTTAATCACTGCCACAATTTTCAGTTTATTTAGAATATATTTTTTTGTCCTTTTACCAATAGGTGGTTAGGTATGGAAGTTTAATCTCTCCACCTCTTATGTTCTACTTTATTATACTTATGTTTTAATAAAAACGCGATTATTTTTAAGTGTTTATGATTTTTATAGTATTATGTTCTTAATTTTGTGAAAAAATCCAGGAATTTTACTTCAGTTTTTACAGTCTTGCCTGTTTAAGTGTATCCAAATTACTCATTTAAAGGCTTTTCTGTTACCATTAAGGAATTTAACGAATAAATTATCTTACATTTATTGTTAAAAAAAAGCACTCCTGCTCCCTGTAAGTTTTTACCAAAGAATATTTATCGGCATTTATGTGGTGATTTTTATGTGCCTTTGTTTTTTAACAGATAAATTGTGTTACAGATACATTTAATTTGACAATCAAATTTGGAGAATAGGATGTTAACAGATTTATTAATATTTTCATAAGACATTATCATGTTATTTAAACCTAACAAATTGTCAAATAAATGTTGCCCCTTTACTCATATACCTTGAATGATCCCAACTATATTTTAAATAATACAATTTCTATTTTGGTCTCCTGGACAACGAATTTTGGTCTTGAGACTAGTTCGGATCAACGTGGTTCCGACGAAATTGTGCACCACGAATTTTCATTGTAAATCATATTTTATTTGTAATTTTGTTTCAATAAAAATCACATTAACTGATTTAATCTTGATTTTATTTGCCACACAATAAATAAGACAAAAATTAAATACTTAAAACATTAAGTTTACACAACAGTAAAACCGTTTTGCGCTATTTTAAAATATAAACAATCTAAAATTCAAATAAGGAATGTAAAAATACCACAGACGAGTTAATAAAGTACTAATACAAAAACACGTAAATTTAAAATGCGCTCAGATATTGTTCAGATCCTTTAAAAATTAAATGAGTTTTCTAGCAATTACCATAATTTCTAGAAACGTTCGTTGTATTTTATTTTAGCCTATAAGCTAAAACTAGAGAGCAGAGAAATAATAACTTTTACTGAGCAACTAAGTTATTAACATGGTCTTTACTCTGTATACAAAATAAGCTAAAAAACAAGTGGATTTAATGAATATAAAATTGAAATATTGCAATCTAGAGATTCTAAAATTTTAATCACATTTAGGTACACCAATGGGCAAGATGACAAATGGAATTTATTGTCGTTGTAATGATATTTTGAAATGGGATATGTACTTAGCTTTTTTTAAATACTAAACAGATGGTTAGGTACTTTCAGCCACAAAACAAACAACTTTAAAACTAATGTAATTCTAGAACATCATTTCCAAAATTCACCCAACCCCATTTCCAACATTTGGCATACATACTAATACTGGCAAGCGCTGTAGTAAAGCTAAAAACCAAGAAAATAAAGTGCATTAAGCTGTACCGTGCAAACTATCATAGGCCTTGACTTTCTCGGGAATAGCTGCCGCTTCTAAAGGAACTCTTGACAGAAGATCTCGCAGATTTCCGATAAATGAAATTTTTCTGTAGAATTTTGAACTGAAAAAAAAAACAAAAATTCTATTGATCAGGACAATAGAGGCGATTATGTTATTGACAACACATACATGATGTCTATGCAATACATTAAAATAGAACATAATTCATACCTTATAAATGGCTTTGACATATACAGCATGGTCTTAATCCAAAGCGTTGGGTGAACAATGTAAAGGTGACTCAAATTTTTTCTTAATTTCCTACCGACCATCTGGTAGCATCTTTTCAACCATGTAAATGACGGTAACTTGGTAGCGGCGCCGTGAAGGTACACCATGACGTAATCGTCAGTAACCAGACGTTCCAATGTCCATAAAATGTATCTGAAATTAAGACCTTTCAATTCAGTACTGCAGACAAAATCCATCTGACATAAATGACCACAAAAAAAACTTATCAAGCATTGCTGATGTAGTGATTGAAATAATTATTATTTAAATATCCCAAAAAAACTTGCCAGTATGTACACAGAAGTTTGGGGAAGCTATTGTACTGGATCCAACAAGAAAAGTAATAATTTGTGTCCAGTGGAGACAGCAAGCTTCTATAGCGGAGTTGTGGACAAAGCTCGAGGATTGGAGAGAGAAAAGATTGAAATTTGGGTAACAAAATAAAAAGTCTGCTTGCTAACCTACAAAACCATTGAGGCTGCATTAAAACTATCAACTAGGGATTTCTAGAGGATTTAATTGGCCTTAAATTTGGTTTCGATTCGTCCGAAATTAACAAAGTTGTGAGGCAAAATGTGTTTCGATGTCATTTCGGGAAGACATTGGCTTCTCAAAAAATGATAAGGGACTTTGTTTATTTTTTGAGGTACTTATTGCATTGAAATTTTGCATATGGATAGAAAAAAGTTTGAAAGGACCCCACATACTTATGGGATTTCGGACCGCGGTCAAATTCAACCAAATTTTAGTATGTTATAGATCTCACCTTTCTAATGAATAACTACCATGGGCACAACTTAATCCTATGACTAGTTTTTGAGATACAGGTGGTTTCATATCCAAGAAATGTACTCATTTTATTTGCATTTACCTATGGCATTTACATCTACCTGTCCCCTAATAATATAACAGGATGGACAGGTATCCTCACGCTCAGGTGACAGTACTGACAGGTAGATGTAAATGCATATAAAATGGGTACATTTCTTGGACATTAAGCTACTTGTATCTCAAAAACTAGTAATAAGATGGTAGTTATTGGTCAGAAAGGTGAGATCTACAACATACTAAAATTTGGTTAAATTTTACCACGGTCAGAAATCCCATGGGAAGTATGCGGGGGGTCCATTTGAGAAAAAAAAATCTTTCTACTCGTTTTGTTTGATCATATAAGACTCTGAAGCATTGCTTCTACAAAACTATTCAGACTCTTAATTTTTTTATTCCAAGCTGTTGAAATTTCTTTTTTTTATTTAAAGAAGGAAAATATAGAGAAAATTCAAGAGCTGGAAAAAAAGAAAAATGAGAAATACAGCAAAAAATTAGAAAAAGGAAAAAAATAACAATGGTGACCCGTGCATTAGAAGTTGTCCAGTATGCTGGTGGATTAGTAGAAATAGCATCTAATCCACCTACAAGCCAATGCACGGGCTATTTAAATCACCCTGTATTGACACCCCACCTACAGTCTTCTCAGAAGAAAGGTGTAAATAAAAAAAGTTTTGAGCTGAATTTGCAGAATCCGTTGGCAGAAACAAAAATTGAATACATTACATTCTTGAAACCAAATTAAAATCTCAATTAATTAGGTTTGTGAAGAATTTAATTGGCTTTAATTAAAGCGTATTTACACTGAAATCGGATGGAAATTAACGGAGCTGTGAGGCAATAACTCTGTCTCAGTGTCCTTTGTGGAAAATTATCAATGTTCAATAAACGCAATGTTGAAGCTTCTGAGTCGCAAAACTGTTGATTGTGTTGAAATTGGATGAAAATTACTTTGAGGCAAAAACTGTCTCAGTGTCATTTTTGGAAAATTTTCAATGTTTGAGAAATTCAATTTTGAAGCTTCTTAGGTGCAAAATTGTTGGAACCAAATAAAAATCCTAAATAATAGGTTTGTACAGAATTTGATTAGCTTCAGTTAGAGCTAAATTGCGTTTAAATCAGATGAAAATTAAAGGAGCTGTGAACCAAAAACTGTCTTAGTGTCATTTTTGGAAAATTTTCAATGTTTGATAAATTCAATTTTGAAGCTTCTCAGGTGCAAAACTATTGAAACAAATACCTATACAATTTTGTCTAGCTGGTAAACACAAAAACCCTACAAAAACTAACACAATAACCCGCAAAAACACAATAGAAATTTTCAAAAACCCGAGACACGGAGTGCCCCAGGGCTCAATTCTATGACCTCTGCTTCTTCTAAATCCCTAATAGTACTTATTGAAATTTAAGCCTATGAATGTGGACACCCTGTACACCAGTACAGCCGCAGACATAAAGTTATGAGCCTGATAAGTGCCAAATTCAAGTAGATATAAAAAAAAAATGAATTGAATCGGTTAAAAAATTAAAATTTTAGAAGGGTGGTCAGGCCTTAAGCGGGACACACTGTATATGCTTATGCTTACCTGGGGACAGACACTTTAGTCATGCTGATAGGGTTTTCAGCCTGCAGCGAGCATTCAGGGTTATCGCTCAGAAGCCCGATCCTCGGGCCAGGGAGAAGAGCTCCCCGATAGAACGAATGTTTTGTCTTTGTCAACGTAATCGAAAAGTAAATGAGAATGATAAAGACGAAAAATTTGTTCTCCTGAGGAGCTCTACTCATTGACTCGAGGATCGGCCCGCAAGGCTCAAGTTGGATATGGTGATGATGCAAAGCCACTTTTTGAAAAACTAACTGTCCTAACACTAACTGGGCATTACATTCATGGGTTGTTATATGTATGTCATGTAGGTACATATTGAAGTTGTTAAAAGGAGGAGAGACTCTAGAGCTGGGACTGTCGCACTGTTTGTGCACCAGAAATTCTGCAATCAGGCACGGTCAATGGATGGTGTTCCATCTCTTGAAGGGAACTTAGAAAGTGCCGCAGCAATGATTGAAACCTTCAACAATACCTGTTTGATAGCTTGCGTATTGTACCGTTCTCCGGGTACAAATTTTGATTGTTTTTCCAGAATCTTGAAAAATTATTAGTTTTTTTAACTAAAAATAAGCTACTGTTGATTGGTGATTTTAATTATGACTTCAAGTGCAAAACTAAGGAAATTAAATGTATCAAGAACGTTTTCAGCTCGTATGGTCTTCCACAATCCTTCTTTCAAGCGTCAAGGATCCAGTATCTTAGCTTAAATTATAAATAAAATCCAAAGAAATTTCATTAAGATTTAAATGTCTTGACATCCTTATGAAATTTCTTTGCAATTCATTTATAATTTAAGCTGAAATATATCAAAAACAGCTCACTCAAATGTGATCAACATATATATATATATTTGGAATCAGGAAGAAAAGATCTTTCATTTTATGGCAAAATATACAGGGTGTTCCATTAGAAAAAATTGAAGTTGTCTACGTTTCTCCATTTTCCGATGCGATTTTGTTTTTTCTGATAACGTTAAAAGAAAATATAGAAAAAAACAGTCAAGTTTTGTATTTAAATTTTTTTTCTATATTAAATAGTAAAGGCTGTAGGTATGGGTACAAATATAATCAAATACCCTGTACATTTTACACAGTGCATGTAAAGTCTTTGAAAACCGACACAGTTACATCCCATGTGGCATGTGGGGACGTGAACAGGTACCACACAAGAAACTCAGGCAACATTTACATACCCAGTGCAAGACCGACCCAGATCCAGGACGGTCCTATGATAACATCTTTAAAAATCTACAACCACCTACCACAAGACATAAGAAACACAAATTCTGTGTGCGTTTTTTGGTGGAGACTGAAGACCATACTGGCTGCGAACCCCTCTTATTCATTGTGAGAGTACTTCTTGTTTGTTTCCCAAAGCAGCAGAAGGTATTCTCTTAATTTATGTTTTTACTGGTATATCATTGCGCATATGTTTTTGTATTTTTTGTGCTTTGTTTTTATATGTCGATGTATTTTTGCTGGATAGGACTGGATATATTATTATCATTGTATTGCTTACTTTTACTTTAACGTCCTCACTTTTGGATTTTTTATTTGTGACAATTCCAAAACCTGTATAATGTCTATGGATATAAACTATTTGTGTTTGTAATGTTGTGAGGCGAAATGTGTTTCAATGTCATTTTGGGTTAGTTTAGGTTGGAAGCCTTACTGATGGGCCTGAAGAGGAAATAGGCTCATTGGATTTGAAAGATATTACAGAAAAATCTTATGTTAGGGTAAAGCTAAAATTAAAGTCCTCATTTTAGGTTGGCCTCTAGATGAGTCCTTGGGAAAAGTATTGCAAACATTCTCAGAAACTTACTAAGAATATTGGAAAGTCTCCGAAATTTATTTACTGACTATAGACTATTTACCAATAAAAACACTTATTTAAACTAGTAAAAATACTTGCATAACCTTGTAATTAGGGGCTTTACGGAAATGTTGATCCGATTAAGCCGATCACCAGTTGTTTGTTTTTTATTAAGACGATTAAAAAAAGATAAACTACATAAGCTAGGGATTGGGTTAATCGAATCAGCATTTTTGTAAAGGCAGTTAGACTGGGTTTTATCCACATGAATTGAAATGATGTCACTGAGACCTTGAATTTTCAATAGTTTCCCATTTTTATAAAATTCTTTAACATTCTTGGGATCATTCTTAACGTTCTCGGGAATATTCTGGAGAATTTCCAGGCATATTTGCATTCAGGAGAACATTTCCATTTTTTTTTGGCAAATATTCTTTAAGTATTTCATTTTCTGACATTTATGCTGAATACATATCGAATAAAGGATTATCAGAATAATATAATGAAAGCGAATTGAGAATAACACTATTTTATATGATACATTTCCTTGTTGACTATTGAAGCTGTGGAAACGAATTCTATTTAGAAAAAATACGGAGTCCTCTTTTTTCTTATATCTTATAAGTGTATAAATGCTTTACTTACAAAAACAAATTATCCATTACATAATCATAATCCACTCTGGACTTATCAGGAAGGTGACAGGCAGCAAATAAAACAATAGCAGTATGACCTCCTGCTCTTAAGTAACCTCCATGCGACAGTACCCTTTTGTAAGGCTCTATAACTCGCATATCTATAGTTCTGTGTTCGCCTCCTGGAAGAATCATTCTTTGCCAATTGCGAGCGTGCCGTCTTTCTTCATCTGCACTAAGAGGTTCTATAGGTTCTGAGGAAATGTTATCTGGAAATAATAATTACAAAGGGTTTTATAAAATGTTTTAATAATTAATTATACCTTCATCCAAATCAATTTTAGTTTTTTCTCCATCCTCTTCAAAAATATCCGATTTAAGGCTCTCATCTGAATCACTGTCCAAAGATGAGACATCACTTTTTTGGTCTTCTTTAGGTAATACCCTAATACGTCTTAGTTTATTGCTTCGTTTATTATGAGAGAGGAAATTCAAATTGCCTAAGATAATTTAAGTTAACAAAGGAGATTCATTTGACATAATATTACCTTCTTTTTCATTCATTGTTAGAGAGACATTTTGTAAATTTGAACTTAGATGAGCTTCATAAATAGATTTATCATTTTCAGTATCACTAGTGGGCTCGTGAGAAGTTTCACCAGGTAGATCATACATTAGAAGTTTTTTGAGAGCTGAAGGACTTTTGGGAAAATCTTTAAAAAAATTGGTTGAGTCAAATTAAAATTATGTAAAAATAATAATTGATATACCAGGTAACTTTTCTTCATATTCCAATATAGGTTGATTGAGTTGCCTTTCAAATGAATCGCAAGAGTCGGTGCTATTCTCTAAAGCTGTACTGTGAGCTTGAGGATTAAATTTGATTTCTTTGTACTTGTTTTTTGCCTGTTGAGGAATCAAGTCTGGAAAATCTGGGGACATTGCAGAACCAGGTGAATACATTAAAGGGTGGGAATTCGTTGCATTTTCTGTTAAAGGTAAAGTTCGGTTTAAATCAATCTTTTTCGTTTCGTCTACGCCTTTTTCGTTTTGGTCCTCGAGATTATCGTTATTTGACGATTCCATTTTTTAATGATAATTTAAAAGTTTCACTTTTTAATTCTAGCCTTTGATTTGTATTTAAAAATTGATGTGTTTTATATTGCTTCTTGCTCTAGATTTTGTGATTCTATTACTTACAGGCGATTAGGAAATCCCCACTCAAATGTGTGTCTAGTTTTCTTTTTAGGTAATTTCCATTTAATTTTGACTATTTTGTTTGAGTTCTATTTTTTTTTTTTCCTATAATTTTTTTTATTTACAATTTACATGCAAACCGCCATTTTTAAATACCTATTTAATTGTCAAGTGTCATAATGCTTCGTTCGCGAATGACAGACACCAATAGCGTTACCTTCTATAGACCTTGCATTCGGTATTTTGCTCAAAGAACAGAGCGAGCTGAACGGAGCCGTAATCACGTAACCAGCGAGCGAACAGAGCAGTTGAACGCTGTATCAGAGTGCCTGAAATTTTAATAAACGAACGCGAATGAACCTGCACCAAGTACACTTTTTAAATAAAGGAACGGTAAATTCAAGCTCTGAGAACTCGGATCAAAATACCGAACGCACGGTGATAAAAGGCAACGCTTTTTGCCCTGAATTACGACAGAAAAGTTTATCTTCATGTAAATTAATTTTATTTGCAACCATATATGTAATCTCGACATTATGACTTTTTAAAAATTTGAAAGTGACACTTTACCTGTGTCACTTCCCTCTTCGATTTCCCTCACCGATTTCCCTATTCGACTTCCCTCACCGATTTCCCTCACTCTAATTTATTTACCTTTGCTGGCAACAATGAGAACATGTCAGGTAAAAACGTCAAAACAGGTGTCTGTGTGTGTGTATGTCTCAATGACTCTGGCGGAAGCCAACTGGCCAGCGTCTCTCATTGTATTATATTTTATTTCACTTTTTATTTTATTTTTTATTTGAATGAAATTTTTTTTAATTATGCATAATAAAAATGTGGAACGCTTCACGATTTTGCGTGTCATCCTTGCGCAGGGGCCATGCTAATCTTCTCTGTATCGTTCCAATTTTAGTATATGTACCGCCGAAGCGAGTACTCAAAACAGGTGAATGACATATTTTGGCATGTTTATAATGCTTGAGGTATATAATGACTTTCTCTACCGAGGAATATATAGAATTTTTTTTACTACTGCTAGTAGAAAATAAAAAATTTGTTTAAAATCTGTGTTCTAATTATTTTTTGTGAACGCCCTCTTGATAGTGCTGCCCTCTATCAACAGCTTATATAACTTCCTATGTACCTACAGAAACCTGTATTTTTTTTCAAATTGACGTATGAAATTGAAATTGAACCAATAGAAACATGACAATATCCTTGCGTCATGACGTCATTTTCATTATTGACCTAGGTATTTTTTCATTAGTTTCATTATTAACCTAGGGAGAGAAATTCAATTTTTTCTTAGAAAAATAGATTGAATAATGTCTATTTCTCAGGTTAGTAGTAAAAAAAATAGTATACAAACCTCGGAGGAAAGTTTTCATTTCTCGAGATTAATAGTCAATCTCGACACTTCGCGTCTCGATTTACTATATAAATCTCTCGACAGTAATGAAACACTTCCCTACTCGGTATGTAATATACTATTATAATAATTTTATACAATTTGAACTTTATTGTCGTCAGCACTTGATACAGAATTGGTCCATTTGACGTGTCTGTTCGTTTAAACGAGCTTTCATGTTCGGAACAGTAAAATATGTTCCGAGTGAACTGATTCTGATTTAGGGCGGCTATTATAAAACTATTTCGACAGAATAACTAAAAATTAACTTCCTGGAATGACGTTACGTCTCATATTCCAGAAGTTAACTTTAGTTGTATTCCTTTCAAGAGCTTAGAGCTCTAGAGCTACTCGCTTCGGTGCTAGTCGACACCGATTTGAGAGGGACAGATGCGCTGGCTTTCGTGCATTTAAATGGTTTGAAGCCGGTCTCATGCATCCGTTTTCCGACGAAAGATGACCGAAAAACCTTCTATTTTGACATATTTTCATACGATTATGTCAGAATAGAAGATTTTTCGGACATCTTTCGTCGGAAAACGGATGCGTGAGACTCCGGCTTGATTCGGGCTTGAGCACCTCAGGTGCAACAAACACTTTCCGGAAGGAATAAGCGCGTAACGCCCTACTGAGACTCTTTCCAGTATGCACATTGGCGCGCTCTAGAGCACCTCGGGGGCGCCACGCACTATACTTTATTTTTTCCCAAGATAGATTTTGACATTGAAAACTTTGAAACATAAACAATAACGCTTGACCCTGATTGGTCGCAAAATGAGGTGTTTCTGCAGGTTGACGTTGACATCAGTTTTACAATAGCGGTCAATAAGTGGCATTAGCGGCATTGTTTATGTTTCAAAGTTGACAATGTCAAAATCTATCTTGGAAAAAAATAAAGTATAGATTTGTACCGTTCCAGTATCATGACGTGAGACGCCTGTCTTAGTGTCAAATATGTCAAATTTTAAAAATAATCATTTGTTTGTTTGTGCAGTTTCTTTTTTTATTAATCAAAAATGAAAGAGAATCAAAACTATACTTTTTAAAATGTTCAATCTTGAGATATAACAAGAAATAAATAGATAAATAGCCACCCACGGATGTGACAGCTGATAGGTTGACGCGTACGTACAGTTCGGGAGCTCAACGCCCCGAGTAGCTCCGGGCGTCACACTCCCATAATGGAAAGCGGCTCTTATTGACCTCTTAGGGCGGGTATTATAAAACTACTTTGAGAGTTAACTTAAAGTTAACTTCTGGAATTATATGTAATTTAAAAAGTTAACTTCAAGTTAACTGTCAAAGCAGTTTTATAATACTCGCCCTTAATATTTTCGGACAAACTCATAAAACCTAGTACTCATAACTGCGAAATTCTCCTTTTTTTGACTTTGCTTCGACAATTTGACGTTTAATACACGTATTAAACGTCAAATTGTCAAAGCAATGTCAAAAAAGTGCGAATTTCGCAGTTATGAGTACTAGGCTTAACTGCGAAATTCGCTTTTTTTGACATTGCTTCAACAATTTGACGTTTGATTCACGCATAAAACGTCAAATTGTCGAGGCAATGTCAAATAAGAGCGAATTTCACTGTTATGAGTACTAGGCTTTATACGGCTCGACTGTTTCCATAGCGCTCCCGGTCTGAGCGGCGACGTCACAGATATCTGCGGGAGTGCTCCGAGAGCGATTTCAATCCAAATGAGGGCATATCATTCGAAATCAATAGACGAATGTACTTTTTTCGATCAAACTCCTTGATCCATCGAATTTGACGGAGCGAGAAAGAGCGCTCCGTGCGAGATTTGAGAGCGTTCTTTTTGTTGCTCAAGTTGAACACGTGAATCTCGCCGAGAGCAACGCTCCGTTTTAAGCCGAACATGTGAATCCGTTTCTGATCGCTTTTTGATCAATCGGGTGCGGTTTTGAGGCAAAAGTCGAAAGCGCTATTAAATTATTTGAAAATTGAATCCAGTGACGAATTTTAAGGTGCTCCACACCCGTAGTTTCACACTCTGGAGCTCCAACTGTTGTTTCACTGGAACGCATCCTACTTTAATGGCGGGTATTATAAAACATGTTGACAGAACTAAAAGTTAACTTCTGGAATGACGTTACTTCTTATGTAATTCGTTACTTCTCATGTAATTACTTTCAGTAAACTGCCCAAGTAGTTTTATAATACCCGCCCTAAGTGTCGTGTTTCGATGTACCCATAAAATAGCAGGTGCTTGAGAGGACAGGGGAGAGGAAAAACGAACAGTTCAGTTGCACGAAACTCTTAATGCACTGGAACGCCTATAAACAGCCTGAGGCGCTCTAGAGCAGCTCAGGAGTGATTAAGGGCCGAACTTATAGTCCCTGTTTGAAGTATCCTCAGACCTTAAGGAACCCTTGAACATTTAGAATTGATATGACTAACTTGTCAAATAGTAGCAAATGTCCAAGTGTACTCACGACCTCCAAGGAAGAATCAACGACATTTGGTCTATTTCTGCAGAAATCACAAACCAGTCAGAGCGTATTTCATTGGTTGAAAACAGTCATGTGATTTCTGCAGAAACAGACCTTATATAAATTCGGCCCTAAGTGCGTCACTGGAAAGCGACTAGGCGAGTTTTTGAACCAACTTTTCGCGACGAATGTGAATGTAGTTCATCCAAAGACCATAGTTCGTCTTGTGACTTAATGAGTTTGAACGCCGGCTAGAAACTGCATCCATCTTCCGACAAACTAGTTCAATATGACGTCATGAGTTTCTCGCGAAAGCCTTTGTGTTTATGAAATCATGGAAGTAGTTTGTCGCGAAAATTGGGTTTTGGTTAATTCTCCGCGAGCTAAAAGGTTACATTGTTGACAGAAGCTTAGGTGATCTTTCATTTGAAGTTACAAAACTCGCCTGGGATCACGACGAGTAGAAACTTTCATTACGTCACCCGCAGTCTATTTACCGCGTACAGCACAGGCAATGATGACGGTTGTGGTCACATGTGGTTGTCATCTTTTCGCTTGAGGAGAATTAATCGAACTCTACTTGATGCGGGAGGTGAAAAATATTAAGAAGAACTAGGTAGAATAGGTATTGTTCACTTGGAAAACTTGTTTATTTATTTATTGAGCGTGGTACACTACAGAGTCAAACTCAAAATTAATGTTCTATTAATAAAATAATGGATCTGACCTGACCAAACCATCAAAATCAAAATGCACCACAAAAAATTCTGTATTGCGTTGAGGCTGCTCTAAGGCATGTTTGACTGAACTGGTCGAGTGACAGTGCAGTCTGAGTCAGAGTGCAGCAATATGTCTGTTCCAACTCTAACCCGCCAATAAACCGTCCAAAGAACGGTTTTGGAACCACTATGTATACGAATTTCGGACTCTACGCGGAAATTAGTTTTGTGCGCAGATCCTAAAGCCTAGCAAGGATGATGCACACTACTTTTTTTACGCTATGCTATATTTAGAATGACGTCACATTTAGTAAATTTCTAATGCCAACCTAACAAAACTAAAAGTACTTTTTAACGCATTTAAAGCAGGGGAATTTCAGATGTTTTTGGTTGGCAACGGCACGCGACGTTGCATGACTTCCCCCCACAATCCATGCCAAAATACCAGTTGTGACGTAGGCAGCATGTCATTTCTCTCCTTGACGTAGGCTGTTTATGGCCGTTTCCACCAACTATTTTAGGGGAGCCCTAACGATAAGTATTCCCTAAAATGACATTTTTACATGGAAAAATGTCAGTTTAGGGCATACCTATCGTTAGGGCTTCCCTAAAATAGTTGGTGGAAATGGCCATTAATCAGCTGACGACTTGCGGATTTTTTTCTATTGGTCGAATATATTTAAACCTGTCAAATTTAAATAAAATTGACCAATAGAAAAAAATCCGCACAATAAAAATCCTCAATTCGCGGTTATGAGTACTAAGCTTAACGGTGAAATGTACGGTTCCCTGCTGGCATAGAACAAAGCTAATGGTTCGCTTAGTTCTCGGTTCAACTAGAATCATTACGGGTTCGATTCTTAACTAGTTCTACCGTGACATTACGAGTATCAAACTTGTTCGGAATGTGATGCGTCAATAAAGCAGAAGGCAGTGTCAATTTGCAGCGTTGCCAGATTGTTTGGGATTTTATGATGTTTGGTCCAAGGTTGTTTGAGGGCCGGTTTCTCAATAGAAAGTCAGGGTATACATTGCAACTGGACACGCTTACCCTGTAGGTGACTCACTATTGACCGACCCTGAAAAAGGTAGGTTGCCTGACAAGTTTTATGACGTCAACTGCGGCGCCCCAACAGAATTCAATTCTCCATTAGGCACCCCAGATGCGTCATCAAGTTACCCATTACCAGACAACCTATTTACTTTAAAAACCTTGGGTTTGATCAAGAACACCCTAATAGAACTGCTCATTGAGCTGAAAATGTCTGCCATGTCCACGCGACCACTCCCCATTATTAGCCTCAGACTTCAACTCTTAGCCTAAAATGCATTATCCGAGTTTAAAATACTTTAGGCCAAAAAAACGTATTCCTAAACGTTAAAATCACCTTTTAACTCACCACAAGCACAGCCTGAATCGCAAGCATTCCATCAAGGTCTGCGGGTGACGTCACTACTATTAGCTGCTGATAGTGGTGACGTTTTTCGCAGACCATCTGCCGACTCGAGAACTGGCGAACGTATATACGCCTTATTAGGATAAGCAATACTGTTTGGTGGAGTTGTTCTTGGGTTTTTATTTTATTTTACGTTTCCATTATTTCTGGTTCCTAAATCAAAAAAAAAATCGCATCTATTGAGAAAGAATCAATTCATTTTATTTGCAATTTCTAGTAGTTCCAGTTGAAAGACCACTATTTCAATGCAGGACGATGTAATTTTGGCTTCACATTGAAAACATTTTTTTCCCAAGAGCGCGCTGAAAGTGCACTACCGCATTTATTTGCAAGTGGAAAGTAGTACATCACTGCACACTATACGATAAAGTAACTTTACTGCATAGTGTGCGGTAAAGTAGACTGCATAGTTTGCGGTAAAGTAGAATAATTGAAAATCCCTTCTCTACCAGAAAAAAACCGCCCTCAACTGCCGTTACGTGCGGTAAAGTATCACTTTCCGCATTCGTTAGGTCAATAACTAATTCACAATTATTGTCACAGAAAAGGTGAATTCTGAAATTAAAACCAATACTGGTTTCATTCCTAACAACTTTTTCATTGCATATCAGTTTCCTTTTGCCCACTAGTGATTAATTCATTTTCCTCGACCCCTTTGATGGAAACTTTTTGTTTTTAGCCATTTTAAAATGATCGCCAAATAAAACCTCAGAAATAACATACTGTCACTCTTCCAAGTTTGCCAAGTAGTGCCGACTGGATGTCCTGACGGGTAAGCGTTATTAGGCTTGGTGAGGGGCAGAACAATTAATTTAATATTGTTCAAAACTTAATATGTAATGAATTTTCAAAAAGTAAAGTGTAGTACGAAATAGAACCATTCTTTATAACGTTACATGGCTTTAATAATATTAATTTTATTAGTTGTTTATGAAAAATAGAACTTTTTATAGAATACATACTTGAAATTTAATTTAATTGACATTTTCCCAAAATATGTTAAAGAATAACAAAGGATAAGAAAAAGCAAGCTTTATTAATCAGTAAGAAAGGCAGCAAATCACCTCATTATTAACAATCCATTAAAAAAAAAACCTAAACCTAAAATATATACATTATAGAGAGAATATTTTGAAAATGCAAAAATCAATTTTAATTTCTAAAACCTTTGCTTCCAGATTTGTATGTAGTTTAAAATAAAGATCACAAAATCCATTTGAAAAAAATAATATTTTTTTTGACCCAAAGCAAAGAATAGAGAGAAATGCTCTTTGGACCAAAATATATGTATAGGCACATAAAATTTACCTAATGTCTCACCAATCAATGTTATCAGAAATTTCAAATATCTATAGGAGAAAATAATCAAGTACTTACATATTTGTTTCAGTAAAGATACAACAATAATAAATTAAAAACAATAATATCTACAAAACCCAAGTTCAATACATGTAAAAAGCACTTTGAATTGAACCAATCTCTACAACTGCAATTCAATTTTTTAGAATTTTTGTTCACCACATTAAAATTTTACGTCAGTCTCCAAAATAACAAAAAAATTTCAAGGCAGATAGGGATAATTTTAAAAATCAGTCTTGATTTACGTGTCTGACGCGTCTGCGTTCGCTTTAAGATCATTATTGAAATTGGCAGTGGCATGGCCATGGGGCAAATCATCCTCGTCTGGCAACTCTAAATCTGATACCCTTTCATATTCTGAAGTTCTTGCAGTATCAGGAGAGTCGCTTCTCGGTTCTTCTATGATAGGCTATTGAGAAAATAATAATATATATTATAAGAGCCTTCAAATCTAATACTATTTACCCTTGATTCCGAATCAGAATCATTCCCTGAAGTCCTTTCGGAATCGGATGATTCTGCAGTTCCGCTTGTTATTTGCATGGGAGTAGACGCGAGTGGTCCAAATTTGGGTGCATTAGGTTTAGTTTTCCGAGCCGGATTGAAAAAATTACAATAGCCGCAATAAAATGCTAGATAATCGAATTCTTCTTTCAATGCCATGCCTAAAAAAAAAATGACCATAGAAGTCCATGTGTAAAATCAAAATACTACTAACCATTATGCCTACTGCAATTCTGGCAAATTAGTGCGAATCTATTTGAGGGACCATCGCCCACTAAATAATATACCATTTTGTCTAAGACTGATTGAGTTGTCGGTAGCATTGTTCTTGGTAAAACGGGTGAACTTTTTGGAGAGCTGACTACCATAGATCTATTAGGGGTGGCTATTACATTTATTGACCTAGAAAAAAAGTTTTAAAAAAAATTTGTTAACTTGATGATGAAACCATTACGATTATAATTTGATAAAATAATAATTTTAGTTTTTTGATAAAAGGAGACTCAAAAAGAAATTACTACTAATAACATTTATGCGAAGGAGGCACAAAAAATCTACTAGGTATAGAATATTTGAACAGTTAATAAATCAGCCTTGTCCCTTCTGGTCTTAAGTATGCGCACTGTGCAACCTTGTCATTGAATTCAAAAGAGTTGCGTAATCATCAGAAAAAAAAATAATCAAACCGGAAGGACATATTCCAGAATGGGTCTCTTGAAATTATATTTTTAATGTTATATTTGAAAAACTATTTGCCAGTCTGCAAATTAACCCCAATGTCATTTAGTTTTTACATTTTTATCAAGAACACAACATTTTGAGATTGTCTGGACTTTTTTTTGGGTGTTTCAAATATATAGTGAATAATAAATCTTTCAGAATTTGCACAAGTTGGCCTGAGCTTTTTTTTTATTGAGATGCAAAAAGGGAACTATTATTATTGCAACTATGGATATTCGTAATCGTTGTAAGACAAGTTTTACCTTTCTCTTAGTGCAGGGAGATGCATCTGATGCTGGGGTGTAGTTGGAGTTTGGGGTGCACCACCAAAAGAAAGTCGCCCTGATAGTGTATTTTGGGCTGTCAGTGTCCTTTGCCTCAAAACTAAAAAAAGAGCATTGATATTAATTATTTTTATTTTACATATAAAAAATTATGTCTATAAGGTAATACTAATAACCAACATAGCTGCCCAGGTGGTTTCTTATAAACTTTTTTGTCGGGCCAAACAGAAGAAAGTTGTTGAAGGAGCGATCAAAAGCTGTTTGAGGAAACCAAGGAGCTAAACCGAACAATTTGAATCCTCCACAGAATTGATTTGCTTTGAATTTTAGAAATCATCTGAAAAGTGAGAAAGACGTATATTTCTAACTCATGACAGCTTCTTGACTGAGTGCGTTATTATTATTGATATTATTATTATGTACAACAGTAAGCGGTAATGACCAATGAAACTGCTGTTTTATTTTCCATGGTTCTTATTTGGCTTTTCAAAATATTCAGCTTGTTTATTTATAGTCCAAAATGAATGTTCACACTAGTCATCATCACTTCCCGTTTGCGTTCTTCTCCTTTTCCATTTTTTTGCTGTGTCCTCGAAGGACTACGTTTGCATTCGCATGGAAGATAGTTGTCAATTTTAGTCTTTGTAGCCTTGTAGTATAGTCTAAATGTGATAATTCTGGTGGTATTTTTGTTACACATCTTTGAACTTTTTCTAAAAGGTCGATGTCCTTTACAAAGTAAGGGTTACATATTATTGTTTCGCCGTATTCAAGTTTTAGTCTAATATAAGTTTTATATAGTTTCAATATGGTGTTCATTGATTGGTCTGAAAATGCTTTTTGGATACAATAAATGAACGAGTTTGCTTTTTTCACTATCCTATGAATATGTGGTTTCCATTTGAGGTATGTGCTGATGATGACGCCTAAATCACTCTGTTGATCGACGTTATTTAGATTGGTACCATTTAGTGAATCTTGCAGCTCTTTAGACTTAGTTCTGGAATTTGCAAACAGCTTAGCGTCATCGGCAAAAAATATTATACATGTCATGTTTTTATTCTCATCGCTAAGTCGCTGATATAAACTGAAAAGAGCAAAGGACCAAGCACTGTACCTTGGGCTATCCCGCTGAGAGCCACATGTACGTCAAAAAGTACTCCATTTATTCTTGTTTGAAAAGTTATTTTTTTTCAAAAAGAAGGAGAGCCAACCAAATAGATTACCACCAATACCATAGTGGTCTACCTTATGAAGCATTTTATTGAATGGTACTTATCAATAAGAGTTTTCGGATGTTTTTTTCAATTCAAACGAAAAGCAAACTAGGAAACATTTAATACTTTATAGCAATAAGTAACATATTCGTTTACAATTACCGCGACTTCTCTCACAGCATACAATTCTCTTGCCAAAATTTTGGATCACATCTGTGTACATACATTTCTGGTGGTATCTCACGAATAATGCGCCGAATCTCATCTTTCAACTGATGAATTGTTTAACATACGCTTCACTTTTGATGTAACCCCACAAAAAGACGACGCATCATGTCACACAGCAATAGAAACCATCGAATTATTAAAAACACGGTTTGAAAGTAAACTTCTTTCTAGAAATGGGGATGTTAATTGGCCGCCTAGATCTTGCGATCTAACACCACTAGACTTTTTTTGTGGGGTTACATCAAAAGTAAAGCGTATGTGAACAATCCCCAAACATTTCAAGAGTTGAAAGATGCGATTTGACGCATTACTCGTGAGATACTACCAGGAATGTGATCGAAAATTAGGGCAAAAGAATTGTGTGCTGTGAGAGGAGTCGCGGTGGCCATTTGTTGGATATTGTGTTCCTCGTATAATTATAAACGATCATGTTACTTATTGCTATGAAGTATTAAATGTTTCCTAGTTTGCTTTTCAATTAAATTGAGAAAAACATCAGCAAACTCTTATTGGAACACCCTTTACAATGTATTTCCAAATTCTGTTCATTGTAGTCTATCTGGATAAAGTTTTCTTAGTGCTTGTTGGTAATTTTAACTGAGTCTTACTCAGTATTACTACATGGCCACTTAGAATGTCAAACATAATATGCTTCTGGTTAACAAAGATTAAATCAAGCTGTGATATTTCTGTAATTTAGTTATTGATACTTTAGTTGAAGCAAGCAAGACTCCATGAAATCCCAATGCAATGCCCTTAGCTTAGCACACAACATCATCTTCATGGAAATTAGGTGATAAATTAGATGCAAACCCTGATAATGTTGCGATAGGATTTTTAAAGAATTCAGTGCATATTTTCTCATACGTCTTGTGTAGTGTAGTTTCATCAATCTTTAAATAGTAGTAGATTTCCTGAGACTTGGAAGCAGTCATATATTACACCAGTATTTAAAAGTGTGAACAAGTCAGAGGTTTCGAATTATGAAGCTATCACCAAGTTCTCTTTATTCCCTAAATTGTTTGACTCTATTATGTACTTGAAATTAGTTTCCCAATTTCAGGGAATTCTAGTAGAACATCAGCATGGGTTTATTAAGGGCAGATCAACAGTTACAAACTTACTTCTAAATGAATCAGAGTATACAGTCACTGGAATAATATATAAGACGGTCGAAATTTGATCGTGGCGCCATCTAAGACAAGGATTCAACACTAAACAGCAATTTTTGCTGTATTAGTGATGCCATCATCTAGCCATACTGATGAGACCTGATACAGGTCGAAACGCGTCTATGGATGGAAAAGCAAAGAAAATGAATCCAAAATTTTCTAATCAGTATAATATATAATATATAATATATATATTATATATTATACTCCTCCATACAAAAATTTGGCAGAAAAAACAAACCTAATGAATGCCTTTATTGGAACAAAAATAACATCAGGCCCTTCTTTCTGAATATAAGTTCATCAAGAAACCCACAAAACATTGAAAAATCGAGTATAAATGCGGTAACTATGCGTAACAAAAATACCTAAGTGCGCAAAGAGTTTCCGTGCGCAAAGTTCAACTTTGCGCACGCAAATAAGTGCGCAAAGTAACAACTTTGCGCACGCTCGTAGAAAAAGTTCTTTTCTGCTTCCGATCCCTAAGGTTCCCATCCCTGAGGAGTTGAAGGATCTTAGACCCATAAGCATTCTGCCAACACTTTCGAAGGTCCTGGAAAGAGTGTTGGAGAGCCAAATTCGTGACTTCATCCAAGCTCACCAGTTGCAACCTTCTGTTCAGTCTGGTTTCCGTAAAGACTACAGTTGCGCAACAGCACTTCTAAAGGTTACTGACGATATTCTTAAGGCGGCTGACTCTGGTGAACTCACTGCTTTGATCTTGCTGGACTATTCGAAGGCTTTTGATTGACTGGACCATGAGCTTTTCTTGGCAATTCTGAGGTATCTCGGCTTTGAAAAAAACGTCTGCCAACTTATTGAAAGTTACCTTTCTGAAAGAACACAGTCAGTGAAGGTTGGCCCTAGCATGTCGGGATCTTTGGATGTTGCACGTGGTGTTCCTCAAGGATCGATTTTGGGGCCTTTATTTTTTACTTTGTACACCTCACAACTAACTAACAGCTTGAGGCACACCAATGTGCACCTGTATACAGACGATATCCAACTTTATATGTCATTTCGTCCAGAAAACATGTTTGAAGCCAACGATAAACTAAATGCAGACCTAGACCGGCTGCTGAGGGGTTTCAATTAATCACTGCTTGCTGCTCAATCCTCAAAAGTGTCAAGTTTTGCTCTTTGGACGTGCGCAAAGTCGATCTCAATGTCAGGACATGCTTCGAATCAGCCTTGATGGTCAGGCTTTGAGTTGTTCAGCGGCAGCTAGAAACCTTGGACTTTTGCTTGATGTTAATCTTAGGTTTACAGAACATATAAATAATTGTATTAGAAAGGCATTCGCTAAGCTGAAGGTCATTTTCGATGAGAGATGTGACAGTCTGGTTCTATCACAATTCACATTTTGTGATCCTCTGTACCTCGAAAGAGATGCCAGACGTATCCAACTGATTCAGAATTGCTGCGTGCGTTTGGTAGGTGGCATAAGGAAGTATGACAGAGGAGTGAGTGATAAGATGAGGGAAATAGGGTGGTTCAGCATGAGTGAGAGGAGACTGGTCCATAGCTTAGTAATGTAGAACAAAATAATTTTTTAAAAATGTCCGGATTATTTATATCAGAAAATAAAATTTAGATATGACTCTCATGCTCTGGATTTGAGGCATAAACTAACCATCACTCCTCCTCTACACAAAACAACTCTATATGAAAGGTCATTCACTTATCAAATCTCGCTACAGTACAATAAAGTTCCTGTTAACTTGAAATCTGCTCCCACCCAATTTTTCAAAAATGCAATAGGCCATTTGATTAAACAAATTAACCTATTAGCCTATCCAGCATTTCCAATTTTTTCCAATTTCTTTTTTCAAATTTATTTTTTCTATTCATTCGTATCGGTTAGGTTTAAGTTATTGTATTAGGTTAAGTGAGGAAGCCTAGCTTCAACTTCGCCTTTGGAATTTTATCTCAAGATTGCAATAAAGACATTATTATTATTATTATTATTATTAAAGTAAATCACGAAGTGTTAATGTGAAAGCTGCCAGTTTTGGGATTTTTTGGAAGTATGGTGGCGTGGTTTCGTAGATATCTTGGAACTAGATGCCAGTTTGTTAAAATGAAGGGTGCTCTGTGGAGGAAAATACATGTAAGTTCCTGAGTCCCACAGGGAGCTCAGCTCTCTCCGTCACTGTTCAATATCTTTATCAATAATATCTGTTTCGATATCTGTAATGTACAGCACTCTGACATACTTTTGTATGCAGTTGATCTTAAAATATATAAATGCATTGAATCCATGGAAGACTATGAAAAAGTTCAGGTAGACATTGATAATTCGATTTCTTGGTGTAACCTAAATGGGATGGAATTTTATATAAAAAAAAAGTATAGTTATGTGTTTCTATTAAAAAACGAACATCATTCAGTTTGAGTTTGAGCATAAATGATGAAATCCAGGATGAAATCTTAGAGACAGTGTGTGGACTGTATAAATGATCGGAGTTTCCTTTGACAGAGAGCTTTCATTCAATAACCATAATAATTGCATAACTAGCAAGGCATTAAAGGTTTTAGGATTTGTTGAGTCTAATCTGCAGGATTTCACTGATCTGGATTTATGCTGTGCTTATGTCAGGTTTGTTCACCTAGTTATAAATAAATAAATAAATAAATAAGCTTTTATTCCCAACAGGTAAAACCCACTTACAGGAAATTCACTAAAAATAATAGTGTAAGAAGAAGAACAAAATTAAACCTAAACTAAACTAAAGAAGGCTTATACTTACTAGTCTAAGGCAAAAACGAGAGAATTTTAAAGATTTCAAAGATTATCAGTTATTCATAGTAACTATCAAATTTATTATATGACTGACAGGGTCAGATTTTCCTGCAAATATTCGCAGTCCACGGGTCGATCTACCCTATTGAGCAACTTCAAATCATCAGCATACACAAGTTTGTTGCACTTAATAACATTAATTAAATCATTAATAAAACACAAAAATAGCAGGGGTCCTAAGTTAGAACCCTGTGGTACGCCCGAACCAACGATAAATGATGACAATCTGAAGTGCTCATACTCCACATACTGGGTGCGTCCAATCAGGTAAGATCTAAATAATGCTAACAATCTCTGTGACACTCCAAGGTTCTCGAGTTTCAAAAGCAAGATAAAGTGGTCGATTTGGTCAAATGCCTTTTGAAAGTTTGTGTAGATAACATCAAGCTGGCCTTGAGAGTCAAGTGTTTCGCAGGCGATGTATGATAGTGTGGCCAAATTCGTCATACATGAGCGAGAATCGAGAAAACCATGTTGACTAGGCGAAAGGAGACCTCTGATTTGAGGATATAGGCTGTTGTAGATGATTATCTCCAATATTTTTGAAAAGTTACAAAGAATAGAAATAGGTCTGTAGTTTTTAAATAAAGAACAATCGCCCTTCTTTAATACTGGAATTATTTTTGCTGTCCTCCATATATCTGGAAACTGACCTTTATCGATTACAAGATTAAAAATATGAATTAATGGAATAACTAGTACACGAGCAGTGTCTTTCACAAGCAACAAGACAACGAAGCTAGGAATGTTGTCGACGCCTGAGGTTAATTTATTTTTAAGCTTTTTGCTGGCTTTAAGAATGTCCTCAATCAATCAAATCAAATCAATCAAAATATGCTTTATTGTCATAAAAACAATTGTTGTAGACAAAGCCTAATACTAAAAAATAAAAAATAGAGAACAAAAAATATGTAGGTATAAAAAAAGCACTTACAACAAATAAATCGAAACTTATAATTTAAATACAAAAATATCTTAAAATCAAGAACAAAATTCACATTAGTATTTGAAAAATCAAAAGTAAAGCCATAAAACCTAATCTAAAAATTCCATGAATATTCACTGGGGCATTAGGAAAAATTAGTCAAACCTGTCAGCATAAAATTCGCCTAGGCTGTAGTAGGCTTTGGTCATTAAAGTCCTCCTTAAATTATTCCTAAAAATCCAAAGAGTGGGAGATCTCCTTACAGTCTGCGGTAAATGGTTGAACATTTTGACCCCCTCATAAATTATAGCCTTCCTAATAAGAGCCGATGAGGGTATAGGAAGTCGCAAGTGCATATGCTGACGGGTCACATATCCAGAACATTGATTGGCAAATTTTTCCCTATTCGCAAAAATCAGACAGGCAGTCTCCAAGATATACAAAGAAGTGAGCGTTAGAATTCCATTTTTAACAAAAAAGGGTCTGCAGGATGTTCTTGGTGATACCCTGTAAATATATCTCACAGCACGCTTCTGAATCACAAACAAAGAGTTACACAGTTGTTTACTAGCAGTTATACGTAGAATATCGATGTTGCTGCAACTGAGTACTGCAGTTCTAAAATCATTGATTGGTGCCGATTCGATGTAAACACTGCAAAAATAGTCAGCAAAAGCGTTTACAACGGCCTGAGGTTTGCCACTGTCATCCTTTAAGATGCCAGGGCAGTGATGTTAGTGGGTCATGACCAGCGCGCATGACGGCGGGTCATGACGGTCATGACCGTCACGTCACATTCAATGTGACCGTTAGTCATGACCGTTTTACTGCATAGTACCCTAAAAAATGCATTTTGACTTACCAACACAAGCACACTTACGTGGGCGATATTTCTCAGCTGTATCATACCTACATGTGGTTTGCTGAATGCTGTTCTAGAGTAAAACAGTATGCGGAAATGTTCAGTAACGTAGACTGCATAGTATGCGATAAAGTAGATTCGGTGTTCAGGTACACTCAAAAATCATTTCTCGTTTAGAAATTTCAATAATGTCTTCTTTTGGAGATAAAGATGCTCATAGGTATAGTTTTGTACCTAACACATGCGGAAAGTGCCTTTACCGTACTTAACGACTGCCATTGCATGCGGTAAAGTATCACTTACTGCATTTGTTAGGTGAATAACTATTATTTCTGTTATTTTATTTTACCTGCTAGGCCTAGGATAGCTTCTATTCACTTATTTTGTAATTTGTTGAAATTTCTTCTGTTCTGAAATCCTTAATTATTTATCAAAACTCAATCAATAATTGACTATCCCTATTTTAAATCTATTTGCGAGTTTATAGAGCATAGACTGTGGGTAGTGGCATTTTAAATTGAAATAACTACTATGAACTATGACCATATTCATGACCGTCATGACATGTCATGACGCAAGCAAATGACCGTCACGATTTTAAATGACCGTCATTTTACATCACTGTGCCACGGATTCTTGTTTGGGCTTTTTTATATATACACATGTCGTTTTAGAACATCTTTCTTCGTTGTCCGACACCTAATTTCCATCATCTTCTTCGTCGCAATCCTCTGATGAGAGATTTCTTTCACTCATGGACTTTTGTATGGTCTTCTGCCATTCCAGTTTTGGTCTTCCTCGTTTTCTTCTACCTGTTGGTTGCCAGTGCAGCATTTTTTTGGGCCACCTGTCATTTGGCATTCATTCCACGTGTCCGTACCAGGTAAGTTGTTTCTTTTCAATGTCCTGGACTATCGTACCTTCTATACCCATTTGTTGTTTTATATTGCCGTTCCTTATTCTGTCTCTTCGTGAGATTCGCATGGATCTTCTAATAGCATCCATTTCAACTGCTTCCACTTTTTTCTTTTGTCTGTCTGTAATTCTCCAAGTCTCGGCTCCATATAGAAGGCTGCTCTTTATCATTGTCTCGTATATATTAAATTTTCTCTTCTTTGTAATTTCCTTGCTACATAATATTCCATTTAGGCATCCTATTACTTTTTTAGCTTTAACTATTCGCTTTTCTATTTCTTTCACGTCTGTTTTGGTGTTGTCGAATGTGATACCTAGATACTCATATTTTTGACATTGCAGAATTTCCTGACCATCGTTGTTTGGGCTTTTTTGCTGCTAATAAATGACCAAAATGCAGATGGATCGGAGCGGATATTGAGTTCAGCATTACTTATATACTCCTGATAGGCAGTATTGGTTTGTGTTTTAATTAGTTGCCTAATAGTATTAAATTTTGTCAAATAGAAGTCGGTTTTATGCAACTTGAAATCTCGATAGGCCTTCTCTTATTTAAATATGTTTCTTATTATTTCACTCGAGAACCAAGAAGGAAAGTGTCGACAACGTTTGATCTTTACAGGCATACACAGTTTGAAAATATTATCTGAAATTTGATAAAGGGCTTTACAGGAATCATCTATACTTGAAGAGACAAGAGCGGGCGACCCGTCGGCGTCAAAAAACAAGTTGTAGATCAGAGGAAAGTTCGCTTTCCTAAAGTTATACTCCTTTGGAGAATTTTTTTAGTTGTAAAATATATGTACAGCAACTCGAAAGACTCCAACAAAAATGTATTAGGTTTGTAGCTCATAAGATGAGTGTGCCAGTCAATCATATTATCAACTATACTGATAGAATGAAACTTCTAAATATACCACCACTTGAGCAACAAATGTTTCTAGACCTCCGTTTCTTACATAAATCAATTAATTGTAATAATGATCGTCCTGATTTGCTGTTTCTTGTGACTTTAATGCGCCACAAAGGAATCTGCACACTAATAATCGGTATAGTATTCTAGCATGACTAGATCCTGTAGTTTGGCAAATAGAGTATGCAGGGACGTTTTTCATACCAATAGTTTTAGGGAAACTGGAAAGGGTTAGATGGAGCATCTTTTACACAGACTTACACCTCACATAACTGATTTTGAATTGTTTATGCTGGGTTTTTAAAAAAAAAAAACTTTTCCATAACATTTTACACATGTTGTAAAATAACACTTTCAAACAGTTTGGCTATGAAACTTGAAGATAAGTTGACATTTCCCAACAATGGATTTACTACTACCCTTGTGGATAAGTGTTAGGAAGCTCCTTTTCCACTGTTTTGTAACTACTCCTGATATGAGAAGAGAGACTTGAAAAGCATACCTATGCAACAAAGGTTTAGCCAGTGAACATCTACTAATCAATATTGATATCAAATGGAAATAACATGCACACAAAATGTTGTGGTAATTAAACAGGATATATGTAGGTACACTTGGCCTAGATTTTAATGAATCTCATTAAATCTCTAATTGATTGCACTAACATAGACAGGAAAGTAGAAATCTAAAAATAAATCAATTTGAGTTATTTTTAGCACACACATATTTGCTAACATTTCCTATACAGTTGAATACATTTTCCGGTCAATGAATTTTACTTTAATTGAAAGGCAAGGAAAAAAATTACTTACCTGATTCATACATTTTTGATTGCAATGGAACAAAAGGAGTAGTTTTACTTATTTGTAGCTGTGAAAGAGGAGTAGCAACAACTGGCTTTTTGTTTTCATTATCGAATTTATCTAAAATTTGTTTTGCCACTTTGTAGGTTTCAGTTTCGGCTACATTTTCCAATATTTTTTTCTTCTTTTCTCTCAACGATACCAGCTTTTTTCCATTTTTAATGATTTTTCTGTTATAATACCATGTCAGGATTATTTTTATAAACCATATACTAAAATACAATAGTTGTCATAGGTTGTATATTTGTGGGTACCTATACTTACACAAATGGTATAGCTATCAAAGGGATGGCCCATAACAACTTATGGTTTTGAGAAATTTGTGAAAAATAGAAATACCCCAAAACAACTACCAGACAATAAATAAGTATTCCTAATAACAGAAATCTGAATACAATTTTCCTTTGTGTCTGCTGGGTTCTAGTCTGAAACTCTTCAATAGAAACAATTTCATTTTGCAACTTTGTCAGTACATCAAACGTACTAGTTTTCTTCTACGAACAAAAAGCGAAATTTAGGTTCCTAGAAAAATATGGAAACCAGTAAATATTCTTACCCGGAATTTGGAGATAATTATTCCCATTTCTATTTGTGCACTTTTCTATTTCTATACCTTAACCTCACACCTTACTTTAAATCGAAAAACCGTAGTCATTTAACATTTCCATTTTCGGCCTGTGTTTTGTGAATTTCAGATATTCGCAATACTTTCCCCTGACTTTTGAAATCAATGAATAAATTATAATAAATTAATCTAATTTTATCATTTCAAGGATCCTTTTTCCGCAAATCCGCCAACCGCGCCAACGTACAGAAATGTCAATGTCAAATATCATCATCAACGATCAACGTCAACTAAATAGCAAATTCCATTGGCAATAATAGTGGCACTCACTATTCAGAGTAAATAAAAATATGCCCTGGTGCAAACAAAAAACTAACACCACATTAAGTTTATATTTACAAGGTCAGTTCTAATTTTAACAATTTGAACGAGCGGGTTCCGATTTTTGTCACAGTGCAGTTGCACTTTCGGTTCGAAGCTACCTAGAGCAGTGCCATAGAATAGCCAGGGCAAAGGGCAAGTATAACTTTCATGGCGTTCCAGTGCGGCCAATGGAAATCGCTATTAGTTTGTTCTAGGCAGGCGTCCACGTAACCAAGGCTAGGCGATTGCGCATTGCGATTTTCTGCTGCTGCTTCTTGAACAAATTCAACTTTCAAGTTCAGTTCTATAATCAAATTTTATTCAATCATCTAATTCTAATTCTCATTATTCCTTTATTTCCTTTTAGTATGCACAGCTAGTAGGCAAGCTTCTTTTGCTTCTGGTCTAGTGCTCTAGTAGCTCTAGCTCTAGCTGTTCTCCCTTGTAGCTGTTTGAGTGGTAAAAAAAGCTTATTATTGCATTGAAAAGCAATTTGTTTATGACTAAAATGGTAAGGCAAATCCAAATAAGTTTATTGTTTGCTAGATTAGCATTTAGACATTTAGAATGGGTTCACCCATCACTATTCCTGCATGCTATTCCTGATCTAGGTAGAACGACAACGATAGAATATGATTCCTTTTTTACCCAAATTATTGGTAAAATATTAATTAAATTTCCATTATTATGAAACCATGACATTTATTAATTATCTATATGGACTTTTCAGCCGACCACTCCACCCCAAATATCACCTGTTGAAGAACAGGAGAAATTCCTTCATGATGCTTTGGGAGTGGTAAAGGCGCAAGCATTTCATATGAAAAGAGCCTTGGATAAAAACAAACTGATGGATGCACTTAAAAATGCCAGTGCAATGCTTGCAGAACTACGCACTTCGTTGTTATCACCCAAAAGCTATTACGAACTCTGTAAGTGAAATATTTGTGCAACAAATAATGATAATTTTCAATAACTTTGTTTTTTGAACAGTCTCATAACAAAAGTTATTGGAAAAATAATAGTTTCAGAATTTTCTCTTTCAACATTTTCAAATTTAAACCTGATCTAAAATTACAGTTCGTTTGCCCATGTTTGCCCACCCTTGAAATAAAAAATAAATAAATATATTAATTTGAAATATCGTTTTTTTGATTAAAATCAGGCCTGATCCTGATGAGATTATGAGAAGTATTGACTAGTACAGAGTACAAAAGTGTCCCAAATGGTAAAAAAAACCAAAAAAATCAAAATTGTTGTGTCCAAGTTAAAATATGAAAAACTTCTATAAGAAATATTAACACGTCGCGGTGTATGTCACAGTTACAAATGCCTACGCTCCAGCATTGCAATACCTGAACAAATCAATATGGGCACTTTCCAAATTTCACCGATAAATTGACCGGTTAAATGAGCCGGTAGCTGTTAAAAAATTCCGGTGAAACTTAGGTGTAAATCCGGTTACAAGATTTTTCTGATGCATTTTGGAACGCTTTGGTGTGTAAAAGTTTGGTTGTGACGGTTGTGCTGCAACAATTTAATGAAGGACTGCCAATACCATCATCCATTGGCCGAGTTCGTTTTTGTCATCTTTTTCGTCGATTTGCTCCGAAATTTTGACAGGCACGTGACTGGACAAGAAGGTTTCAATTTACAAATCATGTGTCGACCATTTTATTCATAGTTTGACAAATATTTAACACTAAAAATCATATATAAGAGTATAAGAGATAATATGTTGCTGTCCCAGTTACTTTTTGTGACGATGGTAGCTACCTACGCCAAAAAAAAAGTGTCAAAAAATCTCCAACCGAAAAAACCGACAAAAATTCCCGGTGGATCCGGTGCCTCACCGGTTCCAAACAGCTGATCATTCTGGTCAATTTTGGAACGGACGATTTGGTTCAACCGGTGAAAAGTCGGTACATTTTGGAACGGTTTGGTGAGTAAACCTTCAAACCGGTATCGCATCGGTTCAGAAACCGGTGAATTTTGGAAAGTGCCCTATGTAGTTCGTTTGCCCATTGAATGTCCATGTAGGCCCACCAGAAATTTTTTTTTTGCCCACTCCCCAAAAAAAAGTCAGCACCCCAAAATTAATTTAACCCGGCATTACATGCGCCAAAAAACTTATGTCGTTACACGCGTTCGGTCAAATCGACCGACTGCCCAAAAATGTACATGAATTATCAGCTTTTTTCGTGGAGACGATCCAAAACGTATCCTGAACGTTAAGACAACCTACGCAGGTTTACTAATCAATAGAGACGTGAAACTCTCAAATATTACCTGTGTAGTCATGCCTTAGCGTTCAGGATACATTTGGGATCGTTTCCGCGAAAAAAGTGTACAAGCACTATAATTCCTAGAATTCACAATCATTACAAAGGGAATTATATTATGCAGTATAGTTACCGTATTATCGATATCCGAAAGTACTCTCAATATCAGAAAATACCAATTTTGAACACAAATATTTTAGATACACAAGTTCACGCGCCTAGTCAAAAGCACCGACTATGAAAACAACGAACTATAGTTCAACCAAAAACCAAAATATTTTTGGACCAATGGGTAATGGAAAACCTGCATCAAGCATTCCTGGATGGACAAAACTGCTACCCTTGTACCAGTGGCGTAATTACTGATTTTATCAATAGTCGGTCTTTTTGACCGACACGCGTGTAATCCCGGGTTAAAAAAAATAATTTTAAATTAGTTTGTTTCCCCAATCATAATTATAGTTTGATGCGGCTCTGAAAAGTGCATGGGCGTCAAGGTTTGTCCAGTTATTATGGAATTACTTAACATTGGTTTAATTGAAAAAATAAAAAACCTAATAATTATCCCGCTGACAAAGTTAATTAATTACTTAATAACAACTGGATGTTTCCCTGCTGCTCTAAAAATCTCAAAAATAATCCCAATTCCTAAAGAAAGCAATGTAACTAGTCCAAATGACTTGAGACCAATCGCTATTATCCCGGTTATATCTAAAATCTATGAAAATATCCTTATATTACAAATAATAGCACACTTTGAAGAAAACTTGATGTACATGCAGGAACAGCATGGCTTTCGAAAAAAACGTTCAACCACCCTCGCTGTGACTAGGCTAATTGACAAAATCATTGAAGGCTTTGAAGAGAATGTCTACACAGGCACAGTTTTCTGCGATTTGCAGAAGGCATTTGACTGTGTCTCACACTCAATTATGATTGAGAAATTACAATACTACAATATGCAACAGCCTTCTGTAAATCTTATACAATCATACATGGAGGGGAGACTTCAATATATTAAGTTAGATAAAAAATCAGAGCAGAAATGTGTTGAGTGTGGTGTGCCTCAGGGCTCCGTGCTGGGGCCTATCCTTTTCTTGCTCTATATAAATGATATAAGGGCCAGCGGTGAGCTGCTTTTGTTGCTGTTAGCCGACGATACATCTGGTACAACTACAGACAGCGACTTAATACCCTTGCAGCAGAAGATGGTTGCAACACAGGAAAACTTAAATATCTGGTTTGTTCGAAATAAACTAAAACTGAACGAACAAAAAACAAAAACCTTTTATTTCACCTTTAAGAACATGGATGATGGGATTGTAAATGTGAGTGTTGAATGTTTGGGATTTCGGTTGGATCAAAAATTGTCATAGGAGCCACATATAGAATATGTATCAAAAAAGCTAACCACTAGCATCTACATTATCAGATCACTGAGTAAAATTGCACCTGAAAACACTGTTTTAATGGCTTACCACTCCATATTCTTGTCTCACTGTTTGTATGGACTTCTATTGTGAGGTCACTCTTCACATAGCAGCAGAATTTTCAGCCTGCAGCGAAAGGTCTTGAGGATTGTTTTTGGTCAAGCACTTCAAAAGCCTTACTGCGATGAAGGTGAATTAGGGCAGATGTATTTCCTTTGTCAGCTTCAGTCACTATGTCATCAAGAACTTTTATGAGAGTGGAGGCAGTGCTATGATCTTTTCTGATTTTATGTAAAAGTTCTTTATCAATCGTAGAACGTTCTTGTCTTGAAGCATCTTTATTAGCTTACTGTGTTCGACACATTCGAACCTTTTCAGATTATCTACATGGAAACGTCCTTAAGCTGGTTTCTGCATTTCTGAAGTTACAGTTGGACTGAAAAATGCTTCACGAGTACTGAAGCCTTGTCTGAATCCTAACTGAGTAGGGGCGGGGTAATGTCTTTTGCATCTGTTGTGAAATCTCGTATGGATTATCTTTAGGAACATTTTCAAGACTTGACTCATCAAGCTGATCATTTGAAACTGATCACAGTGGTTTGCGTTTGGTGTTTTTGAAATCGGTACAAAAATTGACTGTAGCTACATAGTTCTGTGGTATCTTGCTCGTCTCATTTATGTTGTTGAATATTTCCACCAGGGCGGGAGTCTACGTTCTCATCATTCGGCAGCTTTACTATCTCTTTATATACATCGTCTGGTCCTGCTGCGTTTCCTTGTCTGCTTTGTTGAATTCCCTTGAAGACTGATTCCAGTATTTTTGGAGAGGGTTCACCTTCATATTCTTCAGTGAAATCTCTTGGTATTCTCCGCTTGAGGTTATTACGTGTAGTTCTTCCAATAAATGTTATAAACTCAGTTATAAATTAAAATATTGTTGGGACTTTTTTCAATATAATCAGACCTTAACAGGATGCCTATTTGTCCATCCAGGGCTACGCAATAGCCTAACTCGAGGCTCCATTGACTGTTTGTTGTCGTCTATGTAAATACCCTTGCATATTCCTTGAAACTCGATATTAAATAAAAGTCCGGTGGTCAGAAATAGAAATTGTAAAAATACTATCCTACTGACTTAGCTTTTGTGAACCATTCTACCTCTACCTGAAAAGGTGAAAGCTGCAGGCGTTCACTAGGTTTCTCTGATAGTATTTGTAAAATTTTTAGAGCCAAATATGTTGGAAACCGAATAAATGACAAACTATATATTTCTGGAATCAGAAAATTATTGTGCTCTTCAAGAATACAGAACCAAATATAGGGCATTTCATTCGGAAAAAGTTGAAATTATGCAAAATTGCAAATTTCTGACACACAACTTTTGTATTTACACCTATCGTCTACCTGCAAAGGTGAAGGCTGCAGGTGGGGTATCAAAATATTGGGAAACACCCTGTATATGTTATTTTTATTTATCTTGTTATGTCCATAAGACGTTATTTTAAGGATCTAGTGAAGTTCTGATTCCTTTATCTGTTTTAATTTATTACATATCTGGATTGCTTCTATACATAATGACTTTTGACTTTCAATTTTTTGAAGCTTGATTGAGTTTTGCAATAATTAACAATAAAACAATCCTAATTAGAGCAAATATTCATTGAGATTTATTCGAATACGTAAAAATAGTCGAAATTAGTTCCAAAGGTGTTTTCTTGTGGCTTTTCCTATTGAAATGTCCAGAGAAATTGGTCCTAAAACTCCTAAATCGGTGCAAAATTGCATTTCATCATTTCCTGCAATTTTCTCTTTCTTTTCAATCAAAATTTATTCAACGTACTTAATCTTGAGAGTGTTTATCAGTTTCTTGCTGTATTTCCAATTTATTACTTAGATATTTCTGAAGTATTACCAGTACTTCCGATGTATTACCAGGTATTTCCTGAGATATTACCACATTTTTCAATTAATACTAGTATTACTAGATATTACCCCCATATTTCATGTATTACTAAGTATTTCTAAGGCAAAGTGTACAATGATTTCCTAGGTGGTACGCCCCTCCGTAACAGCTAACCTGAATAAATTTAAAAATTAACTTTGTTTTCTTTTTACCTGTGATTTCTATGGAAGGGCTTAGGTAAAACTTGCTGGCAACAAAAAATATACAGGCAGCATCCCAGAAGAAATTACTGACCTGACTAGTTTGGGTTACACATTATTCTGCTCTAGTAGCTACCTGGATATCATACTAATTAAGTTTAACATAATAAATAATTATTCCTGTCCCTAATAACGGTTGTAACAGGTATACTGTATTTAATTTCATTTCCTATAGATATGGCAATCACAGATGAACTCCGCCATCTAGAACTCTACCTAGTTGATGAATTTCAGAAAGGCAGAAAAGTACCAGATCTGTATGAATTGGTCCAATATGCTGGTAATATTGTCCCAAGGCTTTATTTATTGATAACTGTCGGCTTGGTTTACATAAAAACCAATACTTCTTTGAGGAGGGATTTGTTAAAGGACTTAGTCGAAATGTGCAGAGGTAGTTTTATTTAAAAAAAAATATATCACTATTGAATATTTGATATATACATTCTTTAGGAGTTCAACATCCATTAAGAGGTCTATTCTTGCGTAATTACCTATTGCAATGTACAAGAAATGTATTGCCTGATTCATCAGAAACTGATGCTGATTCCCCTGAGGGGACGGTGAAAGATTCTGTAGATTTTGTTTTAATGAATTTTGCTGAAATGAATAAATTATGGGTAAGAATGCAACATCAAGGACATTCCAGAGAAAGACAGCACAGAGAAAGAGAAAGGGAGGAATTAAGGATTTTAGTTGGTACAAACTTGGTTAGGTTGAGCCAATTGGAGTCAGTTACTTTGGAAAAGTATCAAAAGTTGGTATTACCTGGAATTTTGGAACAAGTTAGTAATAAAAGCTTTGTGAAGGTTTCACTTATTATTAAATTTATTTTTTTGTATAGGTAGTCAGCTGCAGAGATGCTATAGCTCAAGAATATCTAATGGAATGTATTATTCAAGTGTTTCCAGATGAGTTTCACATTCAAACTCTAACTCCATTTTTGAAGTCTTGCGCTGAATTGGAGCAAGGGGTTAACGTAAAAAATATTGTAATAAGTCTTATGGAAAGACTTGCTGCTTTTAGTCAAAGATCTGACAGTTTGGGTACCGAAGGTAAAAACACATTAAGTATTCATTTTAATGAGGTTTTAATTTTGTTATTTTATGGTCAGTTTACCTGAAATTAAAATTTTGGTGGAAAACTTATTATTAAAGTTTGTTATCATGCAGAAGTATTTAACCTCTCCACCAGTGTAAATGTTATTTAGGTTTTACATAAAATTCAAGCTTTAAAAAAATTTACCCAAAAGAAATTGATATGTTTAAATTGGACGAATTTGTTTTCGGACACAAGAAACCTCCAAAAACCGCTATTACACAGCTAGTAAAAAATGTTACCGGTTATCTATTTCCAGGAGCAAATATTCTTCAAGAAGTGCAACTGTTCGAAGTGTTTTCCGATCAGGTTTCTTCTATTATTAGTAACCGGCAATATTTGCCTCCAGAAGATATGGTTGCCCTACAAGTGGCCCTCATTAATTTAGCACTGAAATGTTATCCGGATAGGATTGAATATATTGACAAAGTGATGTTGTCGAGTGTTGAGGTAAGTTTGAAATTTCAGTAGGGTTATATTGTTATAGTTAGTTTTGAAGAGTTCTTTAATTATTTTTATACAATAAGCAGTCTTGTTCTTAGGGGTTTTAATTTGATTAATTACCAAACTAATTGATTAGGAAATATTGTGAATTTAGAGGATGTTGGGGTGGGTATTGTGAATTTGCAATTCGTTACTTCTTTGGAGGTAATGCATACATAATGTTATTGGAATGGATGATAAAAATCAGTCTGTTATAGTCTCAGCATGGTTATTTTCACTCATCACTCTCATGGATGTATTTTTTAGATGTTCCAGCGGCTTGGTTTAGAACACCTGGAATACCATTCGTCAGTGGCTAAAGAATTGCAAAAATTATTAAAAATTCCTCTGGATTCGTACAACAATGTTTTAGTAGTTCTTAAACTGAAACATTATGCAGGTAAGCAATTGAATAGCAATTTTGTTAGCTTATCTACCTAAAATTTTTATTCGTCTCTAGGTTTGATGCAGCATTTGGACTTCAACGGTCGCAAATCTTTGAGCATTTACATCCTAACCAATGCTCTAGAAAATGAAACAATTATCCCAAGTCCAGATGAAACAGAACAAGCTCTAACCTTACTCGGCACTTTGGTTTCTGAGAAAAATGAAAATCCATTGGGCGAGGTGGATTTGGAAGAACTAGCCGAAGAACAGTGTTTATTGGCCAGATTTATTCATCAGTTAAAGTCTAATGTTGCTGATGAACAGTATCTTATTTTAACTATGGCAAGAAAGGTAATATTTTATAATTTTTTTTTTTAATTTTTATTTTTGTAATTTTGATTATTTGTTCAGATTCTTGGAACAGGAGGCCCCCTACGCATTAAATACACTCTTCCGCCATTGATTTTCCAAGCCTATCAGCTGGCTCACAAGTACAAGAACCTTAAAGAGGAAAATTGGGACAAAAAGTGCACAAAAATATTTCAATTTTGTCATCAGACTATTACGGCTTTGGTGAAAGCTGAATTAGCCGAGTTGCCTTTACGATTATTTTTACAAGGAGCCTTAGCTATTGATCAAATAGGTACATTTCAAAATAAATAATTATATTCCGAGGATTAATAATGCTAATAAATTTTTTTCAGGCTTTGAAAATCACGAAACTGTCGCATATGAATTTATGTCACAAGCATTTTCTTTGTATGAAGATGAAATTTCTGATTCTAAAGCCCAATTAGCGGCTATAACTTTAATTGTAGGGACCTTGGAACAAATTAGTTGCTTCTCGGAAGAAAATTCAGATCCTCTGAGAACTCAATGTGCATTAGGTAAGAAACATTTTCTGGCATTGTTTGTATAATAATATGTCTCATTTTTCAGCTGCAAGTAAGCTTTTGAAAAAACCAGATCAGTGCAGAGGTGTGGCAACGTGCAGCCATTTGTTCTGGAGCGGTAAAAGTTTGGCTAGTAATAAAGAAGAAACTCATGATGGAAAAAGGTAATTAATTATTAATTATTTGAAATTTATATTAAACAAAATATTTTCAGAGTGGTGGAGTGTCTCAAAAAAGGCCTAAGAATTGCCAAACAATGTATGGACGTAAGCGTTCAAGTGCAACTTTTTGTAGAACTTCTAAACCATTACATTTACTTCTACGAAAAAGACAATGATCAAGTGAATATTGAGATTTTAAATCAAGTTATCAAGAAAATTAAGGAAGAACTCCCGAATTTGGAAAGTTCAGATGAAACTGAACAAATAACTAAGCACTTTAATAATACTTTAGAACATATTAGAGTTCGTTTAGATTCACCGGAAGAAGGAGCAGTCTATAAGGGAATTGAAATTTAATAAGTCGAATAACTATATGTCATTTAGTATGGTAAGCCTAATTCAGTGGTTAAATACTTGAGGGTAAAAAATTAGCTTAGAAACGATTTTTATTATAACTTTATTTCAAACAATATATTCAATATACAATTTTCCATAGTGAAGGTTTTTTGCATTTTTTCTTGTCCTTGCACAATACATTAAAAGTAACTTTGGTAGGAAATCCTAGAATTTCCCTCTCTTCTTGTATTCTAAATGAAAAAGTGCTTTCGCTAGTCCCAATAAAATAACGAGCATAGGAACATATTATTTGGTCTACAATCGCTACACCACCCGCAGAATATTTCTTTTCTACAGTTTTGCTGGCTGTGTATTTATAGATTTCATACTTTGGCAATAGAAGAGAGTTTAATTCATCGTATTCTAAAAATGTAAGAAATTGCTATGTTACTAAGTTTTTTCAATAGAAGCACATAGCTATGGCAAAGCAATACTTAATACTTTGGTGTCTCGACATGTTTCTATTGAATACCTACTCATCGTATATTGAGCAAGTTATAAATTACCTTTTTGTGGTGCATCAGTAGCAACAAACACTTTGCTAAGTTCAAGTTCCTCTAACTTTTCAGTTATTTGCTCAGCTACTCTTTTTAAATCGGGAACATCATCAGGCCGGCCTCTCAAAAAATCTCTTCTTCTGAGGTGCACTGCTAGGTAGGGCCCGCCAATTGCATTTCTTTTAGGCTGAAGATAAACATTCTCTCAAAATTCATTAATTAGGGGTCGGTTGAGATTTCCTACAAAAATTTTAGTCACCCTCAGGACTCAGGCGAGAAACTACTACAATTTCGTCCCTTACTCTTTCAACCCCCTCTAGAGTCTAGAGGCTTAAAGCAAAGGGTTGCGGTGCAAAATTTAATATACAGGGTGTTTCCTAAGTACGGTTCGTAACTTCGGTATTTTATTCGTTACAATATTTTAAGAAAAAAGTTCCCATAAACATGTGTCTAGAAATGTGTAATTTCTGTGGTGTTTATTTTACAAAATATAACTTAGTACGCCACTGTTTTTTATACAGGATGTTCCTAAATATAATGTACAAACAGAAGGGAGTGAGGTGATTCTTTGGTTTATTTTATGATAAAAATTTCTAATAAACATAAGTCTGCAAACACTTTGTTACTGATCTACAGGGTGTTGAAATTTTAATATTTTTTTTTAGTTTTTTCTTCATAGCTCCTGCAATTTTTGCGGGATTTAGCTCAAATTTGGAACACAGATTACGCAATAGGAGCTAAATGATTGCACGTGTCAATCGTTTGTGAAAATCTACAGGGTGATGTTTTTTCAGGGGTCATGCCCCCTTTTCTGCCCCTGAACTTTTTTGCGGTGCGCCGCTGATAGATTCTTAAAAACAAAATAGCCTTTTACCTTATTTAAAAACTTTCTGTTCTCTTGTAGTTTACCGACCCTTATCAACAACAAATCTCTGTAATTAGCTAGATGAAACTACAGTGACTCAATTAACCTTTTCTCCCTACAGTGGCGACAATAGAGGTCCCGCCGCCATATTCTTGCTTCTTTTCAATAGGAAATAGGAATCTACAGGGTGTCCCAAAAAGATACCGACAAACTTTAAAGGGTAGTAAGAGACATCAAAAAAAGGAATTTTGGTTTATATAAACACATGTTCACAAATGAGCCATTTGGGCTGTAGAACAAAAAAATCGTTTGGTACTTTAATTCTTCGCAATATTTAAATCACTGTTTGTTTACAATAATTGTTCAAAATATTGACCATTTACTTCAATGCAAAGATTGCACCGTCGGGTCATTGACTCGCGAACCCTTTGGAATATTCCGGGAATAGCTTCTACATGGGTACAACTCACCTCAAATGGGTACAACTCGCCAGTATCCTCACTAACAGATCTTCCTCATTATAAACAGGTATTTCGTAGACTAAACTTTTCAGTCGATGACCCGACGGTATAATCTTTACATTGAAGTAAATGGTCAACATTTTGAACAGTTATTGTAAACCATAATTTATTTGTTAATAAAGCAGAATTAATGAGTAAACAGTGATTTAATTATTGCCAAGAATAAAAGTACCAGTTTTTTTGCTCTACAGCCCGAATGGCTCATTTGCGGACATATGTTTATATAAACAAAAATGCTTGTTTTGATGTCCCTTACTACCCCTTAAAGTTTGTCGGTATCTTTTTGGAACACCCTGTATAAGCAAGAATCCTTGGAACCAAGACACGGTCTCGCCGCCATATTCTTGCTCATTTCCAATATCAAGACATTAAAATTTCAACATCCTGTTGATCAGTAACGAAGCGTACGCGGACCTTTGTTTATTATAAATTTGTCATAAAATAAACTAAAGAATAACCCCCTTCTGTTTGTACGAGATATTTAGGAACACCCTGTCCTGTATAAAAATATCAGACGCTTTAAAAGGCAGTGGCGTACTGAGTTGTAAGTTGAAATATTGAAAAAAAAAAACAATATATCTCAGAAATAACGAATTTTCGGTTTATGGAAATGGTGCAAAAATACTTGAAGAACAATTTGGGCTATTTAAAATTAAAATTTGGCGTATGGCATGGGGGTAATATGGTTAATTTGACCCTTTCCCCACAGTAATATTTCCAAGTTTTTCTCTGGAGATGCAACATTTTTGATTGGATTTGGAAATATGGGGGTTAACTTAACGGACCCATTATTTGGGAATCCAAACCACGGGACTTAGCCAATCAGCCGGCATTTTGGAATTTTTTATATGGGTCGTGGGTGACGACGAGAATATTACACACTACTTCTCATCGGCCTCGATTTTTGGAATCAAGGCCATATGGTGTTGAACCGTTGTCGACGTCATCAACGGAGTCGTTAGCTGTTTGCACCAGCGATCGTAGAGAACATACATTTATGACACGGTTTTTTGAAAGAGGTAGGTTGCCTGATAACTTCTATGACGTCATCTGCGATGTCTAGGGTGCGTGCGAAATCACCCTAGGCGTCACACCGAATTATTCATGGCTGGGGCGAGTTCAGGAATGGACACACCCGGTGTGAGTATGACACCGGTGCGACGCCCTATCTGTTCAAAAATGCTAGACGGTGCTATTAGCCCAATGGCCAATTGTTAATTCGGGGACACCCATAAAATCACACTCGCGCCCTGTGCGATATTTCTGAACTCGGCCGTGTGCACTCGATGTGACGCCCGGGGTGATTTCGAACGCACTCCTAAAGTGTATTTTCTCCAAAGATAAATTTTGATATTGGCAAATTGGCAAGTTTGGAACATAAACAATGCCGTTATTGGTTGCTAATGTAAAAGGATACCTCACTTGCATGGACACGGCATTTTGGAATCAATCAGAGCCAAGCGGTATGTGTTATGTTGTCAATTTTGTCAATGTCAAAATTTTTCTTGGGAAAAATTCAATGACACATAAAGCTACATTTACATTCAATTCCAATTTGAATATCCGTATGGCAAACTGTACTGTCGTCTTTTTTGCAAATTATTTTGAAGGTCACGCCCACTTTCAATTGAAATTGGTGCAAGCACAGATAGACCGAACAATAAACAAAATTGAAAATTTTCGTATGACAAGAGACAGAGAGATGTTACATCTCTCTGTCTCTTTTGCAATGACCTATTAAACACAGATAGACAGAACAATAAACAATAATATCGGTTGACTACATGCCAGGAACCGCATCTCTCCCCACTACTTATTAATCCTTGTGTTATTTTGTATCTTTCTCTAACACGTGGAAAGCGATTATTTTTCAATGAAAATTAGCAACGCTGCAAAAAAATAAATCCCACCTCGAATTCCACCTTTCCACCAATCAGCGGCTTATCGAAATTATTTAGGCTCTCCAAACCACGTGATTTTTCAATATGGCGTCTGGAGGAAACTTGACGTTGTTTTGTTATCTTGAGTTAGAATATTTTCCAGCTAATTACAATTTACTTTGTTAATAATATATTTTTCGGGATGCAGACTGAATATTTAAAGAAATGCAGGAAAATCGGGATGTGGGCGAACGGTTAGTTTGAAAAAATGTCTAGTTGACATTTGTTTACATTTTGACCTACAGTTTTCACGGCAATGAGCAAATGAGGGCCTACAAAAGCTTAGATCCTCACAAGTATTTCGAGTATAGCTTTATTTTAAGATTCATGGTCACCAGGGAGAGTGGTACTGAATAATTTTCGCCAATTCAGTCACAAAACAACCACAAAATGCACTTTAAAAAGCTTTAAATTCTGTACTCTCCTATACATTTATTGCGGCCAGTCGTTCAACTGTCAAGTAATTTGAAGGAAATGGATTTGAACGTAGCTTCATGCAAATCTCCGTTAGATCCTCCTGATGACGTCATATATAATTTTGATTAATAGGCAAAGAGGAAGATGCAAACGATATCTAAAAAAGGGTTGTTTTGATGATTGTTGATTAATGTAATGGAACCAAGTATGCATAAAGCAAAAGCGCAGCGGAATCATAGCTTGTGGTGCAAACACCCTACGTTATCACTGGTACTTTGGCTGACGACTTTAGTTATGATGTCGGAAACACATCCATATGGTGGCGATTACCAAAAACGAGGCTGATAAGCAATCTTGTAGGTGTGTATCATCCTTGAGGCTAATTGGCATTTTTCGACAAATTTTCAACCTAGAAGGCTTCTGATGACATTATTTTGGCATTTTTCCACCCATTTTTAACCTAGGAAACTTTAAAATTGACAGCAATATTATCTCGATGGTTGCAGACGTAATGGCAATCAGCAAGATTGCTTGAAAGAGGTAGGTTGCTCATCTGCCGATAACTTTTTTGACGTCATGTGGGATACTTAAAGTGTGTTTTTTTTTAAAAGATAAAAGTCAAAATGACATTATGTTGGCAAAACAATGTAAAATTGTCAATGTTTTCAAATTTTTTATGTAGAAAAGGCTTGTGTTGCCAACATAGTTACTTAATTTTTGACTTGGGGAATTATCTTAAAAAAAAAAACAGAGTTTATAAACATAACGAATCTCCATTAGATCCTCCTGATGTCATGTGTTCACCAATATCAGACAACCCATATAAGACAACCTATGACAATCCAATCAAAATGGCGGCCAATGCCAAGCGACAAGCAATGAAATTGGCGTCATAAATTTAATTCATGCAAACGTGATGTTTTTTTTTTTTGTGTTCTAAGGTGATTTTTTAATGCTTATATGTACATGCTTATAATAATTTTCATATTTTAAGATGGAGAGTTTCTATTTCAAGAAGTTATTAGAGAAAAACCCGAATGTTGCCAAAGGCATAATTTCTTTTTGACAAACCTTTTCTCAACCCAATCCTGAATCGAATCCTGATGGTTATTGTCTGCTATTCAAGGTATCATATCAACACAAGTTGAGAATAGTAAATGGCTTGGATCCATACACCGTTTATGTGGAGAGCCTTTTTGATTTTTCAATATGGATTTCGTCAGACTTTTTCTCTTTATTGCTGCAATCCATGAAGCCCTATAAAGATAAATCGATCCTCTCCGTTAAAAACCCTGTGTTTTGTCTCTGGAGGAACGGCATGAACCGAGACTTTGTCGCAATAAGAAGGGCTCCCACAACCAAGTTACATTACATAAAATAGTCATTTTTCCAAAAAATCAACACTTCACAGACTTTACACAAATCAAAAATCGCAATAAAACGCAGTGTATAAACACCTCACAGGGTATAGACGTTCTGGTGGCTAGGCATTGGCCGCCAAATTAATTTTTTTTTTCTGGATAGGTCATTGGATTGCCTCAATGGATTACCGGTCAACTTGAGGAGGATCAAGGAATTTAGTGTTGCACCGTTGTCGACGTCATCAAAGTATCGTCGGCTATTTGCGCCAGCGTTCTTGATTTATATATTTATAATGAAAAATATTATTCAATTTTGATTAACAAAATAGGCACAGAGGAAGATGCAACGAGATCTAAAAGAGGGTTATTTTGATGAATGTCAATTAAATGTACCAAAACCAAAGGCGTTTTCTCGCGTCTCAAATGTTTCAAAACTGGTTTAATTAATGTCACCATGACGTCAGAATTTCTCGGTGCGAGAAAATGGTTTGAAAACGTGGATTGGATTAAATTTCGAAATGATTTGAATCAATTTTGACGTGACGTCATGGGTTTATCGCCAGAATGTACTGTTTCAAAACAGTTTTGAATCAGTTTAAAAAAAGTGGACGCGAGAAAACGCTTCAAGTATGCATTAGCAAAAGTCAGCGGAATTATGGCCTATGGTGTAAACCTAAGGTGCAAATCATTGAGGTAGAATAATAAGGAGACGCTGTCATCATTTGAATAGTGCAATAGAAAACTTCCAAGACCCAAAATAGGAATTCTGGGCTTCAAAAATTTTTCGCATTCAAAAAATCTTCGGATGGAAAATGCGGCCCTGATGCAATTCTGACGCGTTGCTATGACAAAAGTGACAGATTCTCAGACAGAAGTGTCGTAACAATATGGCGGAAGTGGGTACGCTTTTTTCTCCTCATGTCGCCTCCTTATTATTCTACCTCAATGGTGCAAATACTTTAACGATACACACTACCACTACAGGATAGCCTATCCTCTTTAAGTCCTGTGTAGAACAAATTTAAAGCCCCCTTGCACGTCAAATCACCTGTTGTGACGTAGGCAGCATGTCGTTTCTCGCCTTGACGTTTGCACCACAGGTTAGGATTTTGCGGGCTTTTGCTTTAAGCATACTTGGTACATTAATTAATATTTTAAAACACGCCTTTTTAAATCTCGTTTGTATCTTTCTCTTTGCCTATTATGTTAATCAAACTTAAATAATATTTTTCATCATAATTTTTAATTCCAAACTACGACCGCTGGCGCAAACAGCTGACGGCTTAGTTAATGACGTCCGCAATGGTGATACACCGAATAGGCGGCGATTACCAAAAACCAGGCCGATGAGCAATCCTTAGTAGTGTGTATTATCCTTGCAAATACCCTACGTCAAGGCAAAAAATTACACACTAGAAGTATTCTTTCGATCTGAACAAACTGATCGGTCACTAGAGGTTTGTTTCAAACATTCTCATCCGGTGTTATAACGCTTTTATTGGCCTCAGCGCTGTTTTTTTGACGCTCCAGAACAAACCTCATGGTGATCACAATCAGTTTTTTCAGATCGAAAGAATACCAGAAATGTCTACGTTATCACTGGTAATTTGGCGTGGTGGACCAAATTAAACTAACCGGCCCAAACAACGACATTTGCTTGTAACAGTTGTAACCGACCGAACTCTGCCCTGCCAAGGCGGTGATTTCCGAACAAGGAGAATACATACTCTAAGGATTGTTTAATGCTTATCGGCCTCGTGATTGGTAATCGCCGCTATATTGATGTGTCACCATTTCCGACGTCATAACTGGAGTCATCAGCTGAGTTGTTTGCACTAGCGGTCGTAGTTCAGAATTTAAATTTATGATGAAAAATATTATTTAATTTTGATTAACATAATAGGCAAAGTGGAAGATAAAAACGAGATCTGAAAAATAATTGTTTTAGAATGTTAATTTAATGTAGTAAAAGTAAAACCAACATCGATTAAACGCGATTAACCGATTGGTCATAAATGACAGATAACCAATGAAGCAAACGTCATTTGTCAACCAATCGGTAATAAATGACGTTAAATGCATTATTCATCTGTCAATATAACCGCCTGGTTAATCGCCTTTAATTGACTCAAGTAAGCATAAAGCAAACGCCCAAGAAATTATAACCTGTGGTGCAAACAGCCTAAGCCAAGGCGAGAAAGGACATGCTGATACGTCACAGTTGGTGATTTGGCGTGGTGGGCGCTTCAGATTTCTTCCACACAGGATTTATGAGGATAGGCTATCCTGTAGTAGTAGTATGTATTATCCTTGATTTCTGATTTGAGGTTGAGAAATTTCTAGGTTAAAACTACAAAAACATGCCAAGTCAAAAATATTTTGATTTTGATTACTACAACTACAAATTTTATAATTGATCATCAGATGATGCCTAATAATTTATCAGGTAAGATAATACTCATTCTTCTAAAACCTTACATTATTTGAACAAGATTTTTTCTAGCAAATGCCCCAGAAGTAGACATAAACGATGTCTTTGACGATATCTTGTTCAGCGAAGAAAAAGTAATTGAAAAAGGCTATCAACAAGGCTTCGCCCAAGGAGCTTTAGAAGATACAATCGAAGGATACCATTTGGGCTATCACAGAGGAGCAGAATTAGGATCAGAAATAGGATATTACCAGGCATTTGCTCGATACCATTTACACAAAGCTGAAACATCAAGTATACAAGAAAAAGTACTTAAAAATTTGCAAAACCTTCAGCAAGGCTGTAATGAATTTCCTAAAACAAATTCTGAAACTGTTGATTTATTTGAAGCCATAGAGAAAATTAGGGGACTTTACAAAAAAATTTGCATGCAATTAAAAATAAAAATTGATTTTAAGAAAGAAGGAACACAATTTTAAATATGCTACCAAACAAGCTTAAAGTGATCGAACAAATTAAACAGATTTCAGAGCATTTGGAAATGTATCTTCCATTAGCCAATGTGCACATGGTAGATTATTTCACTAAACAAGTATTTTTTGAATATACACCAAAAAATATAAGAGAAGAAGCTTCAAATTATGGATATAAAAATATAATTGAAGCAATTTATTCACAAGAAACTGACATATTTCCTTGTATAAATCAATATATTGAAAAAAGTCAAGAATTTACCTTAAAAAATACCAAACTTTGCATGTCTTTTGACCAATTCAAAGAAACTCTCCAAACATTAGGCTGCAATGAAATAACTTCATTAAAGCTAGACATATTTATGAATGCAAAAAAATCTCATGAAGTTGAAATATTGAGTGGTATAGCTGCAGCTATAAAAACTCTATCAAAAACTTCACATTTAATTGATATAGGCGATGGCAAAGGTTATCTAAGTTCGATGTTAGCTTTGCATCATAAAATTCCTGTTTTAGGTGTCGATGCCTCAGAAATAAATACAAATGGAGCTGTGGATAGAGCTAATAAATTATCAAAAGTTTGGAACGGAGTTGTTAGTGATGTTAAAACAAGAGAAACTAGTATCAGTTTCTACAAACAAGTTACAAAATTTGTTGATGAAAAAGTGAATTTTGCTGAACTTATTGAAAATATTTTTCTACAAAAATCTAATAGATTAGGATTGGTGGGCTTACACACATGTGGAAATTTAACACCGAGTTGTTTGAAAATCTTCAAAGCCTCTGATGAAATAAAAAGTATTTGCAATGTTGGTTGCTGCTATCATCATTTGACTGAAGAAGGGCAACTTGGATTCCCTTTGAGTGAGTTCTTGAAAAAACAAAATTATGTTATTGGAAGAAATGCTAGGATGATAGCTGCTCAATCAATAGAAAGAATTTTGCACAAAAAAGAGAGGCCTAGTAGAGCAATGTTTTACCGAGCCTTATTCCAAATTATTATTGAAACAAACTCTAGGAAAGATGAGCTCAAAAACAAACAAGTGGGAAGATTCAGAAAGGAGAGCCCCAATTTTTTGGATTATGTTAAAAAAGCTTCTAAAAGGATTAATATGAATTTGGAACTTTCGGATGATGATATTAGAGATCTTTATTCACAATACGAGCATAGAATTGATGAAATGGATTTATTTTATTTAATAAGAGCCATGCTGGCCCCAGTAGTTGAAAGTTTAATTCTCTTAGATAGACTATTATTTCTATATGAAAATAGTTTTAAAAATTCCTTTTTGGTACAATTATTCGATCCTGTTGTATCACCTAGATGTTATTGTATTGTTTCAATAAAAAACTGAAAATAAACTTACTTTGTCATCTTTCCAATCTTTTGCTAAATACGTATTATCATCTTTATCACTTGAATTCAAATAAAGTTGTCTAAATTCATTAGCTATTGCTCTTAATTCAAAATTAAATCTCATACTTCTTCGTGCTTGCCAATAAATTTGACTACCAAACATATCGTGTAAAGCTACTTCAGCATGTTCTAACATAATTGTTCTAAAAAAATTACAGATAAAAATGTGTTTTCTTAATATTGCAATTGAGCATGCCTTGACTTGTCTTGCTTTAAAACCTCAGACAATTTGGTCGCCGGTCCGTGAAAGGACAAACATTGGACATTATTTGAGGTAATATTAGTATAATGAAAAAATCTGAGTTTAGGAGGCTTCTGGCATTTTTCAACACTCCATTTATCCACAAAATTACCACTTTCAAACATATCTTCGTAATGCTGAAGTATGTAAACCTTATCGAGGATACTTTTTGTGTATTTATTATTTTTCAAATCTAAAACCAATTGTTAAAAATAATATTCTCTATGTAATAATAGTTATTATATTTTCTCACAACTAAAGTATTCATGTAATTCAATGACAGGAGCAAATTTTTGTAAACTGCTAATATCAAAAAATGTCGACCATGGAATTTGTTCGGGGTCTTCGCTGTAACCCCAATGCATGAGGTGAGACCAAGGGGGTAAAACTAATAGAAAACTATTCAATATAGGATCATTTGAGTGTTTCAATTTATGAGCCAAAACTGCCATTCGCATGTAAACATCTCTGCGAAGATTAAAACCTTCCGATGGATTGACATCATAGAATAAATATCTAAAAAAGTAGTGAGATTTGCTGGACATGATTTGAGGCACAAGAGTAATTTTAACACAGAAAACTTTTGGAAGAGAGGTATATTTACCGGAAAGCTGGCATTTTTTTGGTATCACAATTATCCAATTTATTTCTATAACAGACTTCTTCTCCAAATATAAGTACTGGTATCGAAATATATGTAAAAATAGTTAATACATTCGGAAAGATCATTATAAGGCATAAAATATTATATTATATTTAATTTATCCAAAGAGTTTGGTTTGAAATTTGAATTTGTTGTTTGTTTACATTTATAACAACTTTTTTGGTTAGGGCTCCAACGACCTGTCAAAAATAAATTCAACATGGCGGCAAGGGTCAAACATCTCTTATCTGTAATGTATAATAGGGAACTTGCACAATAAATTAAAAACTGGCTCATGGGTCGTGACGTCACAAGGCAGTAATAATCGAGTCGCGCCGCCGCCACGCCAGGTGCTGCTGGTATCGCCATTGTCAAATCTATCGTGAATGGCATACATAACAACATAACCATAATCTTAAATCTACCTCTCGAAGTTCGAAGTGCTCGTCACTGTCAACGGAATTTTGGTGCCGAGTGACGTCAGACTAATTGTTCGTTCCATATGGCGACGTTTCGAGCGTAACTTCAAATATTTATAAAAAATTAACGGCTGATTTTTAATGCTCGATATTTGGTATGACTAATGGCCGTTTCCACCAACTATTTCAGGGGACCGACCCTTAACGATAAGGGCGAGTTCTCATGAGCGTAAGTTGACATTTCTGGCCTAATCACGTGATAAATTGACTAGGTTTTATTGGTAAAATATTCGCCATGCTAGATATTTTACCAATCAAATTACACCATACTATAGCCGCTTTCCAGCTGTGTGCTTCAAGCACGGTGCAGCACAGTGTTCTGTGTTTGAAACGCAAAAGTTAGCAAGCTCTCGAAGTGCAGTACGGCTGGAACACGATCAAGCGCTTGAAGCATTTGCGCGCGCAAAAGCTCGATTGCGTGCTCGAAAGCGTCAGCTGGAAAGCGGCTTATAAATATCACGTAATTACGCCAGAAATGTCAACTTACGCTCATGAGAACTCGCCCTAAAGCTTAATTCTCACTTGCGCGAAATTCGCTCTTTTTTGACATTGCTTCGAAAATTTGACATTTGATTCACGCAAAAAACGTCAACTTGTCGAAGCAATGTCAAAAAAAGAGCGAATTTCGCGCAAAAAGAGCGAACTTCGCGCAAGTGAGAATGAGGCATAAGTATTCCTTAAAATGACGTTTTTACATGGAGAAATGTCAGTTTAGGGAATACTTATCGTTAAAGGCTCGCTTTCCTCGGATGCGGGACGGAGACGGAACGCAAGCGTGACGGAGTCGTAGCGCGCTTCCGGGCGTATCGCGCTAGGAAGCTAGTGCTTTCCTCGAAGGCGACGCAACGTGAGCGGTTCGGCAATCCGTGTGTGAAAAAAGGCTATTTTTTTATTTTAATAGACATATAAATAGATAAATTATACAACACAGGATACTGCCACACTAAAATCAATCAACAACTCACTTTGCTCTTCTGTAAAACTCGACATTTTTAAATTTATATTCCGTCCGTGTTGCGCTCCGTCGAAGTTGCCTGTCGACCGACCGGTGGCGTGATTCCGCTAGCGTCAAAAAAACTGCGCTCCGCCGCCGTCGCGTCACCGCTGCTTAGGAAAGCACATCTAAAATTTATTTTTTTTAAAGATAAAATTCAAAATGACATTATGTTGGCAATACAATGTAAAATTGTCAATGCTTTCAATTTTTTTATGTAGAAAAGGTTTGTGTTGCCAACAAAGTTACTAAATTTTTGACTTGGGGAATTATCTTTAAAAAAAAAACAGAATTTACATAATTTTAATGACGGCAACGTCTGCGGCACCCGTTCCGTCTCCGTCCCGCATCCGAGGAAAGCGAGCCTTTAAGTTGGAAATACGCCTGTAGCTACACTGTTTAAAAAAAATCTGACAAATTCTAAACTAAGACAGCCGGCGCAAAGAGCTGACGACTTCTGGCCGAATTTATAGTCGCTCCTTGAGGTTTCCTCAGACCTTAAGGGAACCTTAAACGTTTAGAAATTAACATGACTAATTTGTCAAATATTAGCAAGTGTCCATTCTAACCTCACGACCTCCAAGAAAGAATCAAGGAATGACTATAAATTCGGCCCTTAATGACGTCGGCAATAGTGCTACCACAGCTTGGTGGTTAAGCTGTGGTGCTACACCAGTATGGCGGCGATTACCAAAAACCAAGGTTGTTTGAGAGAGATACACTTTGCTTCATGAGGGTTTATACTTTTGACATAATTTGTCTTCCTTTTTTAAAAAGTTCACTGAAACAAATCAATGACGTCAAAAACGTTCGTCGGTTCTTATGCCTTATTCTCAATTGCGCGAAATTCGCTCTTTTTTTGACATTGCTTCAACAATTTGACGTTTGATGTGTCAAAAAAGAGCGAGTTCTCATGAAGTTGACATTTCTAGCGTAGTCACGTTATAAATTGGTTGGGCTTTATTAGTAAAATATTTGCCATGCTGGATATTTTACCAGTAAAATTATACCATATTATCACGTGATTTCGCCAGAAATGTCAACTTACGCTCATGAGAACTCGCCCTTTTAAACCAGTCATTCATTTTAATTTGTCGAAAAAATTGAATGTGTCATATGAATTAGGACGTTCCATAAGTTAACCAACCCCGTTTTCTCGCGTTCACTTTTTTGACATTGGTTCAAAACCGGTTTGAAACAGTTATGGCCGTTTGCACCGACCATTTTAAGGAGGCCTTAGCGATAAGTATTAGTTAAAGTGACATTTCTTCATGTAAAAATGTCATTTTAAGGGATACTTATCGCTAAGGTTTCCTTGAAATGATGGGTGCAAACGGCCATCAATGGAAGCCAAGGTTCCTTAAGTTAATAACAGCTTATCTGGTAATGGGTAACTTGATGACGCATCTGGGATGCCTTATGGTCTATGCTTATGGAGAATTGCATTATATTTAGGCATACAGATGACGTCATAAAAGTTATCAGGCAACTTACCTCTCTCAAACAACCTTTTGAATGGAAGCACCATTGCCTGTTTCAAACCTGTTTTGAACCAATGTCAAAAAAGTGAACGAGAGAAAACGACTCAAGATTCTTGGTTTTTTCAGTTCCCGTTCCGTAACCTAACCACTCCTGAAATCTGGTTAGGTTATGAAACAGGGTTCCTGAAAAATTCGGGCTGGGTTCCGTTGCCAACCTTGGTTACGGTTACACGTTCCATAATGTCTGGTTTCTGAAATACCGGTCTATACGGAACGCAGTTGTTTATGTCAAACATGTCACAACGCAACCGGCGGCGATTCTGCGATTGGAAAAGCGTTCCGTATGAAACCGAAATTTTTAGCAACCACTTGTTAATCGTTGTCAACCGCTGTCAACCGACGTTGTACCGACCGGTTAACCAGGTTAGGCAACGGAACCCACCCGGTACCAACTGTCAACCGAATCTACCGATCAAAATGCTTTAACCCTTTTCACATGGCTCCGGTTTAACAAACCGGAACATACCGCTCAAATTCGAGTGGTAGGTATCCATTAGGCAATTCAATCCATCTGTCATAAAAGAAAATTCAATGTGGCGTGGCGGCCAAGCAAGTTTGCTTTGAATATGTTTTTATGCGTATTTTAAATTATTTCGTATACAGTTTTGTTTACAACTTTGATTTTCATTATTTAATAAAATATTTGTTGACTAGGTATCTAAACTATTAATTCGGGTAGAAACCAGATATTTTTTTGTGTTTTTTGGCTCATGTGTAGCCGCCACGCCATCTTGAATGTCACGTGGTTTGAATTGCCTAATTACGTCACTTTGTAACCGGATTAGAAAACGGTATGTCATTTCTCTAACCGTTTTGTAACCCGGTTAGTTAAACCGGAGCCACGTGAAAAGAAGTTTTGGTTGTTTCGGTTTGTTTTCAATTTCTGACATTTGTTTGTTAAGTTAAAGTGTGTTTTTTTTTTAAAGATAAAAGTCAAAATGACATGTTGGCAATACAATGTAAAATTGTCAAAGCTTCCAAATTTTTTATGTAGAAAAGGCTTGCGCTGCCAACATAGTTACTAAATTTTTGACTTGGGGAATTATCTTTAAAAAAAAAACAGACTTTAGGTGATATTTTTTTAATGTTTCTTCCGCTCTCGAAGTGTATTTGCGGTGAAAATGGAACAAGAGGTAAATAATACGTTCATTCGTGACGATTGCTTATTACAAATCAAATATACATATTTTCAAGAGTATAATATTCTATCATCTAGCATCCAAGCTGAACCGAAGCGTTCCACATGTAAACCGCATTTTCAGGAACCAGACTGTCACTATAGACGAACCGCTTCATACCGATCGGTAACCCTGGTTAAGTTACGGAACGCCGCCCTAATCTACAACAACCATTTATTTTCAAGTTATGACGTTTTCGATGTCAAAAGTATAAACCCTCGTGAAACGAATTTTATGACGTCATCTGGGTGCCTCAACATAATGTAAATCTCCATAAGGCCCCCAGATGCATCATCAAGTTACCCAGACAGCCTTTTAACTTTAGGAACCTTGACCAAAAATGAGGCCATTAAGCAATCCGGGCGTGTATTATAAAACTATTTTGACAGGACAGAATAACTAAAAGTTAACTTCCTGGAATGACGTTACTTCTCGTGATTCCAGGAGTGCGTTCGAAATCAGTCTGGGCGTCACACAGAGTGCACACCAGCCGTTCCAAAGTGAATTGGTATAAATTTTGGTTGACTTTCACGCTAGTTCGAAAATATCCGGGTTCCATGATTTCATGAACACAAACGCTTTCGCGAGAAACCCATGACGTCATATTGAACGTAGTTTGACGGAATCATGGATGCAGCTTCTAGCCAGCGTTCAAACTCATGACGTCACAGATGAACTATGGTTCGTCCTTGGATGAACTATATTCGTCGCGTCGCGAAATTTTTTTTAGTCGGATTTGTTTATTCCATTTTCCGTTTCTCGGAAGTTGATAATAGATACAAACAGATAAATGAAATGCACAAAAGATTGGGCTTAAATGTTAGGTTTTTATCAGGTTATAATAGACCTATCTATTTTACCAGACAAAGAGGTGATAATACGAAAACTTCATTAAATAAAAAAAGACACAGAACGCTCATTGCGCAAGACGAGGCAAAACGTACCAAATTATGTTAGACTTACGTCTAGCAATCCGTCCTTCTTATTTGCACAGGATAAAAAGGAAAGAGGAAAAACCGCGTGTTGTGCAACGTATTTGTCAATGAAAATGTCAAACAACTTTTGAATGACACTTGTCAAGTTGAATATCAACTTTAGATTTATTTTTGTCAGACCACGTGCAATGAACAAGGATAAAGAGATGCCCAGCGTGCAAAACGATCACCTCACACCTTGCCTCGTGTTGCGCGCGCATACCAGGTAAAAATAGATAGGTCTATTATACCCTACTGCGTTCGAAAACACACCAGATAAAATTTACTCTTCTGACCACGTGACCATATACCCACTCTCACCCTTCGGTAAAATTTAACCCTTTTTCGAACGCACTCCAGAAGTGAACTTTTAGCTACAGTGGCTAAATAAACCTTTACATACAGTGGCGACAATAGAGGTCCCGCCGCCATCTTGTTCCCAACCTCTTGTTACTTTTAAAATATAAATATATAGGATTTAAATGGACATCTATCATAAAAAATTGAAATAGACGTATTTCATGACCATTATAATAGGTCCATCAAATGCGTTGTTTTCCATGATTTATGATGGATGTTCACCTAAATCCCATATATTCGTATTTAAAAGTGACAAAAGGTTGGGAACAAGATGGCGGCGTTTTCAATATAAATATATGGGATTTTAGAACCAATAAAAAATAAGACAGCAATTGTCGCCACTGTGGTAATAAAGTCACTGTACTTTTAGCTATCTGTCAAAATAGTTTTATAATACTCAGTAGTATGTATTATCCTTGAATATGGACACCCAAAAATCGTAAACAGAGCTGCTTTCCAGTGACGAATTTTAAGGTGCTCCACACCCAAGGTTCATAAAATTAATACTTAGGTTATCTGGTAATGGGTAAATTAATGACGTCATCTAGGGTGCCTTATAGAGATTTGCACCTCACATGACGTCATAAAAGTTATCGGCAACCTACCTCTCTCAAACAACCTTGCTCCACATAAGTTGCCTGGTAATTTTATGACGTCATCTGGGGTGTCTCAACATAATGCAAATCTTTATAAGGCACCCCAGATGCGTCATCAAGTTACTCATTACCAACTTCACACCATTGTCCACACCTGTAGCTTCACACTCTGGTGCTCCAAACAACTGTTGTTTCAATGTAATGAACCCTATTTTGATCGTCGCGTTTTTGATGCACCCATGAATACTAAAATTCCTTGTTATGTTATTATCAATGACATCTTATTATTCACAATAATAGGAAGGTTCGACATGTTTTGTTATTCTTCTATTTAAACTGAAATCGAGAGTATTTGTGGGGTTTCGCTGGCTTTTCTGGCGTTCTGATGGACTTTTTTATCCGGGACGCTTCTGATTTGCTACTGGTACCTACCACTTTCAGGGCGAATTCTCATGAGCGTAAGTTGACATTTTTTGGCGTAATCACGTGATAAAATGGTTGGGTTTTATTGGAAAAATATTTGACATGTTGGATATTTTACCAATCAAATTACACCATATTATCATGTGATTACGCCAGAAATGTCAACTTACGCTCATGAGAATTCGCCCTGAATCTTTGAACCCACGATTACAATAAATTTTTTGATTATACCCCGAATATTGTAACGGTTACAAAAACGTCGCCGTGCCGCGTAATCGTTCGATTTAAAAAACGCTTCGACCAAGAGTTTATGAGATTTGAGCGTGAGCATTCACACCAAAGTAGCGTGCGACTTGCTGCTAGAAAGCAGAAAGAACGCACACTATCAAAATGTACGGCGCATTTTTGCGACGACACTCCCGGTGTGAAACCTGCCACATATTGCTGCTTTCTAGCAGCAACGCACGTCGCATGATTCTTTGGTGTAAATACCCACTCCAGAGTAGGAGGGTTAATTTGTTTATAACTCCCTAAAAAATTGATGTTTCCTATAAAAGTGTACAAATTGGCCCACCCCGTACATATTCACAGTAGACATAAAAAGCCAGAGCTGGAACTCTAACGGATAGAGATCGTTATCCCTATCGCTATGGCACTTGCTGTCTTCTTCTGTCTTGCCAAAATCAATAGAGAGGAGACGTCAGTAGAGATCAAATCAAATCAAATCAAAATATACTTTATTGTCCGAAAAACGAAAATAATTTTCCATTGACAAAGCTTTAGTTCCTAAATACTAGAGTAAAGGAGCATTTACATTCACTTCTAACTTCAAGTTAAATTTGACGCTTGATATTTTATCATTTACATTGCAGAACAAAAACGTCAAGTCAAAACGTCAGAATTTTATGAGAATCAGACGGATAATCTTAAAATTTGACATTTTCACAAATTTCTGCTTGCCTTCGGCAAGCAGCTCGCCCAAATTTAAAGTGAACTTCAAATTTATTTCAATGTAAATGGATCTGTACTGTCGCCATATGACAAGCACATTGATTTTAAGGCAAATTGGACTTTGAAGTGAATGTAAATGCACCATAAAACATTTAAACAAGTGACTAAATAACGTAATTACAACAGTCAAAATAAATACATAAAATTAAAAATATCCAAGCTAAAAAAACAAAACATAAAATAAAATTTTTGGTCAACAGCATCTCCTAATATTTATTTATAGTAAAATTTTTATACAAAAAATACAAACTATGTTATCCTAAACTATTATCATCAAAAAATTCTTGCAAACTATAATATGCTATTTTTACACAAAAAACTTTTCAAAGCGGTTTTAAACCTTCTTAGTTCTTTTCTTTCTCTTAGGTGAACAGGTAAATGATTAAATATTTTTTTTACTTTTATAAATTACTGAGTTCTGTGTCAAAGAAGACCTCGGGATCGGCAACGAAATTTTTAGTTTCTGTCTAGTTTCGTAGGTTCTTGAGAGATCTATTTGGTCGTAAAATTTTTTGTGCATTAAAATTGCTTCTAGGATAAAAATGCAGTAAACTGTCAAAATTTCATGTCTTAAGAATAGTGGTCTGCAATGATCTCGATATCCCCTTCCACACAGAAATCTTATTGCCCTTTTTTGTACAATACACCGAATCAAAAAGTGTCTGCGAGCAAAATCCCCAGAAGGCTATGCCATACCGGATGTGAGATTCTACTAAAGAGAAATATACCATTTTGGCAGAATTATGGCCAAGCTTGTTGTATACAGTTCGTATGGCATAGCATCCGCTAGCCAGTTTATTGTTAAGGTTGTTGACATGCGTGGAAAATTTGAGCTGGCTGTCAACATGATAGAGAAAATATCTCTATTCGTTACAGAGTCCCAACTCAGATTTATTTTCCAAACCAATAAATTAATATTTAGTTTAGAAGAAAGAAAAATCTAATACAAAGAATTTAAAAAAATGTATGGAATACATAAATCTATTGAAAACAAAAATAAAATTAGAACATAAGAATATTAGTTGCTATCTCCAGAAATCACAAACCAGTCAGAAAACTGGATTTGGACGATTTGCATTATTCAAAAACAGTTCGACTGGTTTGTGATATCTGTGTGAAAAATCAACTCAATGATTGCCAAATAAGCTCATTTTCAAATTTTCTACGGATTGCTCCGTCATGGGGGAAGAGTTTTTCAGTCACCCTATTGGGCACAAAGTAAGTGTTGTGGAAATGCGAAAAATATCTTCCAAGAACACCATTATCCTGTGGCATGTTGGTGTCTTTGCACAGCATAAGATTTTCTAAATAAATAAAAATCGTTTATAGTAATAACAGAATAATATATAAAACAGAAATAAATTTTACCTTGGGCAACATATCGATGCGAATAATCCTCGCCTATAACGTTATAAAATGGTTGCTTGGTGCCATATTTTAAATCTGCAATTTGATTCTGAGATATCCATGTTGGTGAAGCTACGCATTCTTTATCCCAATTAAAGATCACACATCTATAAGAGAACTTTTTGTGCTTCATAACCATACCCACGGCAAATTGTACGTACTCTGGACGTTTAACAGGTTCTAATAATGTATGGTATATATCTGTCGGGCAATGTGTCCTGAAATTTGGGCGCTCACAAAAAACTCTGAAAAAAAAAATAAAATCTTGTGTGAGAAAATTGTTTTCATGAAATATACGCCCTTAAACTTACAGAAATTCCTATACAAGTTCCACTAAATCCTCTTACTGACTTGATAAAAACACACAAACTTCTAACAATTTTTTGCAAATTTAAAAAAGAATATTTTTAATGAATCCAAAATGAATGATTAGAAGATTACACACGTCATCATACCTAATTAGCTCATAATAAATATTTTGCAGTTTGTTTAATTCTGTAGAATGCAAAGAACTAGATTGACAAGCTAACTGCAGATGCATTTGAAAAAAGTAGATCGAAAAAAAAAGAAAAAAAAAACATTGCAGTCGTATATGTATTTATTATGAGGTATTATTGTCAGCAAAAGTAACTGGGACCGCATCATATTAGCTCTTGTACTATATGATTTAGTGTCAAATATTGATATGATGAATGATGGTAGAATTAGTCCAGGAGATTATTATGAACTATTTATAAATAATTACTTACACTAATCTAGAATCTCCATTTTGCAAATCCACAGCAGAAATATTAAGCCGCAAATAGAGAGCTGCGAGATTATTTCGGATTCTGTGATCATTTGGATCTATAACTTGTTGAAACTCCAAAGTTGATCTTAATGTAACATAGTCAACACTGAAACGGTTGGTGATATTGTAGTTTTAGGTTTTTGACAAATAAAATAAAATCTTACACCAATTGGCGAAAGTGGGAAACCAAGAAGATGATGATGTTAGTAGCAGGAGTAGGTGGATGGTTTGCTTCTCGTGTGTTATGGATTTGAATATGACATTTGGCGTTCCTTGAGATTTTGCCTTCAGCGGACAAATCGATGTAGTAATAGACTACTGGTTCATCAATCATACAAAACCTAGATATGTAATTTTTTCGGACAAGATGTATTGAATATTTTGATTCTACAATACCATAGAAAGCAAAGAGGCGAACACATAGAAATTTCGCATCTGATTCCCAATCTTCTAGCCACTGCATCATAAATAATCGCCAACAACGGTAATGTTGCCCGTTTTGTTTGTAGGGCTATATTCAGAAAAAAGTCACCACAATTAAAGTCCTCGTACTGGTCACTTATTTGAAAATTGAGACGATGAAATAAAACCTTGAAAAGTATAACCAAACATACTGATTGATCAAAGCACTACGGGGGTTCATTGTAATTTACCTGTCCAATTGTTTTTAAAACATCACATAAGTCATTAAAATTCCAATTATCATTGTCCGGTATCTTACTCGTTCTCCAAGCATTCAATTGTTCACTGCATACCTGTGACAATGGAGAATTAGGATAAGTTATTTGAACCTGTTTTTTCACCATGTCAGCAATATCATCCAAACACCAAGAAATTTCCTCAAAATCACTGTCTCTTTTGCACTGGAACCATTCAGCCATGATGGTAGCCCCCTCTTCTAAAAAGCATTGTTCAGGTGGTTTTGCGATGTATTGACGCCACATTTTTGACAAGTAAGTCTGACGGATTCCTCTTAACACTTTGAGGGCATAGTATTTTTGAGTTAAGTGTCCTGGCGTACTGTAAATAACATAGTCAATGTTACATATTAATTTTTTGTAACCATAAGATAGGATCATGTATTAAGCTATTTTTTCAAGCTCAATTAAATTATTGAACATGGTCCTTACTCTTTGGAACATCAAATTTTATAATTAGTAACTAATAATTGGCTGCAGTTATTAATTATTTTCATTGCGATTTTATTTGATAGTCACTTTACCTGAGCACTAATTTCAACAATGGGAACAAGGATGGAAGGTTTTAAGTACCAGAAGGAAAAGGCACAAGTCATTAGTGCTATTAAATACCTTATTTGCGTTACCTACCTAAAGTTTTGGGAATTGATTACCAATATAGAAACGTAAACACTTACTTAAAAGGAATCATTCCTGCACTCTCAATAGGATTAAATTTCCCATCTGACATTTCCAATAAATCTTGGACAATATAAAAGTAATTATTACAGTATTCTTGAACAAAATCCTCCCATTCCTTTAAATCGTCATGTGATAATTCTTGAACTGTATAGAATTTTTCAGACATGTCTTCTAGCATTATCATTATTCGCTTCTTTACTTTATATAAATGCTTTAGTTCATCATAGTAGGATTCTTGAGGGACTTCTAGTTTATTTTTTAGCAGAGGATTCCTAAAATTGGGAAATATGGTTTATTAACACTTATGTACAAGTCAACATTTTCAACAATTCCTACTGAGTAATTTTCTAAATTTGCAATAAAGAAAAATGATTCCCGTTTCTGAGATTTGATAACGAAATCTTCGAAAAAAGGAAGTCCAGAAAATTGAAAAATTGAAGAATTTATCCCACATTGCTCAACGCGATTTTATCTCTGAAACTATAAGTTCAAATGAGCTGAAATTCCATGGATTGTAGTCCTTCACCAGGACACCAGGATTAGAATCGCTGAAAATTTCAGCTTTCTATCTACAGTGTGTCCAAGATAAGGATGGGATAATATTAAGAACTGGGGAACGGATGGAGTTACAATGTTGGTTAGGTCAGGGAGTTGGGCAAAGTTTGGCAACATTGGTCGATTTGCTCCAAAAAAACTATTTTAGATAGTACAGTCGTGAGCATAAAAAGTAGGATACCCGACTGACAGGTCTTGTCCTGTCATTGCTGTAGGTATAGAAAAAAGGGTGTCCCACTTTTTATGCTCATGACTGTATAAGCTGTTTTTTTTATATCGGGTCTTCAAATAAAAACCAATCAAAGATTGCTTTGATTACGAAAACATACGTCGCATTACTGTTTCTTTATTGGTCAGGATTTTTGACATGACATTTTGACATTAAGTTCATTGACAAAATGAAAGAAAAATTTTGCTAAGACATACGTTTAAAAAACCATAGCAATATTTGATTGTTTTTTTTTTTGAAGAACCGATATAATGACACCCCACCTATGCCCTTTACCTTTACAGGTAGAAGAAAGGTGTAAATACAAAAGTTGTACAGGGTATTTGATTATATTTGGACCCATACCTACAGCCTTTACTATTTAAGATAGGAAAAAAAAATTAAATACAAAAATTGACAGTTTTTTTTCTATATTTTCTTCTCGATTTTCTTTTAACTTTATCAGAAAAAACAAAATCGTAGCGGAAAATGGAGAAACGTAGACAACTTCAACTTTTTCAAATGGAACACCCTGTATATTTTGCGATAAATTGAAAGATCTTTTCTTCCTGATTCCAAATATACAGGGTGTCCACTTAGTGCGATATCGGACGATATCTCCTTACAGGGTGATGCAAGAAAAAAAAATTAAATTACAAAGTTGTTTGATACTCTAATATGCATTAGTTGAAAATATTTTTGAATATACAGAGTGCTCCGTTTATGGAGTATGCAACAGAACTTTGTTATTTCAAATGGAACACCCTGTATGTGATTGCATATTTGAATTCTACATAAAATTTTGAGCAGATTTCATGTAATATACCCTATACCTAAGTTCAACTGTTTTCGAAATATTGACAGTTGAAAATTGACTTTTTGCAACTTTCACAGGCTGTAAAACCTAAATGGTTAATTTTAGACGAAAACAGATTTTACATTCCTATCTTAGATTTTTATAAACTATCATTTGACACCAACTTTGAATTTAATCAGAAATTAAATTTAACTGGAATTTTTAATCATGGATTAGGTAAATTCAAAGTTGGTGTCAAATGATAGTTTATAAAAATCTAACATAGGAATGTAAAATCGGGTTTCGTCTAAAATTAACCGTTTAGGTTTTACAGCCTGTCAGAGTTGCAAAAAGTAAATTTTCAAATGTCAATATTTCCAAAACAGTTGAACTTAGGTATAGGATATATTACATGAAATCTGCTCAGAATTTTATGTAGAAACCAAATATGCAATCACATACAGGGTGTTTCATTAAAAATAACAAAGTTCTGTCGCATACCCCATAAACGGAGCACCCTGTTTATTCAAAAATTTTTTTAGCTAATGCATATTAGAGTATCAAACAACTTTGTAATTTAATTTTTTTTCTTGCATCACCCTGTAAGGAGATATCGTCCGATATCGCACTAAGTGGACACCCTGTATATATATTGATCACATTTGAGTGAGCCGAATTTGACATATTTTAGCTTAAATTTTAAATAATTAGCAAAAAAATTTCATAAGGATGTCAAGACATTCAAATCCTTATAAAATTTCTTTGGATTTTATTTATAATTTAAGCTAAGATATCTCAAAAACGGCTCACCCGAATGTAATCAATATATATGTATTTGGAATCAGGAAAAAAAGACCTTTCATTTTATCGCATAATATATAGGGTGTTCTATAAAAAAAAGTCGAAGTTACCTATGTTTCTCCCTCGGTTTCTCCATTTTCCAATGCGATTTTGTTTTTTCTGATACCGTTAAATAAAAACTCGAATAAAAATATAGAAAAAAACTGTCAAGTTTTGTATTTAAAATTTTTTTCTATCTTAAATAGTAAGAGCTGTAGGTATGGGTCCAAATATAATCAAATACCCTGTACAGTTGTTGATGAATTTTTAGGATCCATGGTCAGAAACAAAAATTGAATGTCAGAAATGAGAAATGCATGCTTCCAGCTTTTTTCAAATGGGTTGTCCTATATTTGGTTCTTCTATATTCTTAAAGACAACAATGCTCCGATTCCAAAAATATATAGTTTGTCTATATTTGATTGAGCAATGTCTTGTATATTCGGCTCCAAAAATTGTAAAAATACTATCCAACTGATTAGATATTGTGAACCAATTTACCTGTCAAGGTGAAAGCTGCAGGTAAAATTTGAGGTACTTTCGTTTCTCTGATAGGATTTTCAAAATTTTTTAGAACCAAATATGTTGGAGACGGCTCAATCAAATATAGACAAACTATATACTTAGTACTTACAACTGATAAAACTTGATATTCCAAATACCATTGTTGCTTCGGATTGCGTCCTGAAGCCTTCTACAAGTTAATGATAAGTTAATGGCATCTTGGATACTCAACCCATCGTCTACTGATATTTTCTCAATCAACTCTACTGGAAGCCGCTCCATCTTTAATTATTGATAGGATATAACACCCAAACCAAAACTTTGCAACTGACTCACTGCATTCTACATTCTATGCTCACTGCCACTGCCTTAGTGCCTGCAACACAATACAACTATAAGTGAGTACCAAGTACTCGTGAATTATTGTGATTGAGAATTAGGCACCTACCAGAAAAACATAATTACTTCTATTTGCTCAAATGCAATCAGAATAATAACAATGACAATCAAATAACAATCAAAATCAAAATTCATAACCATCAAAATATAAACAAACTGTCATTTGTCGATTTGTCAATTTGATGTACCGTTCGCGGACGATGTCGATTTCCGATTCCCATTGAGCCGATTGGCGATTCCCAAACGTGTTGGATTTTGGAACCAGTAGGGTTACATGCTTATGGCGTTTTTGGCTGGTAGAATAGGTGCAAACAAAATCTTTCTCTATTTAGGTTTATTTGTTTGTGTCGCACTAAATTGAACTGAACGCGAACTATACTACTTGTTAATTTCTAGAACCGGCATTCTAGAGCCGGTAGAACTAGTTCAGAATAGATCCGGAACCGATGTTAGTTGAACCACGAACAAAGACTGTTCGGAACGACATAATTTGAACCGAGGAGCGTGTTCACAAATGACGAAAATGAAACAAATCGTGACAGCATTAGTGAATAGTTGTATTCCTTTCAAGAGCTTGAAACACTCGAGCTACTCCCTCCGGTGTTTAGTCGCCCCCGATTTGCAGGGAACAGATGCGTAGTGCAACAAACACTTTTCGAAAGGAATAAGCGCGTGAAGCCCCGGAGCTGTTCCGGAGCTTCTCCCACGTGTGAAAGGAATACAACTGGGGCGAGTTCAGGAATGACACACCCAGTGTGAGTGTGACACCGGTGCGACGCCCTAGCTGTTCAAAAATGCTAGACGGTGATATGGACCCAATGGCCAATTGTCAATTCAGGCACACCCATAAAATCGCACTTGCACCCTGTGCGTTATTTCTGAACTCGGCCCTAATCATAGCCGCTTTCCAGTATGGGAGTGTGACGCTCAGAGCTACTCGGAGCGTTGAGCTCCCGAGCTATACGTACGGACAAACGTCATACGTCATGATACTGGAACGGTACAAATCTAGTGCGTGGCGCTTCCGGGGTGCTCTAGAGCGCGCCAATGTGCATACTGGAAAGCAGCTTAAGTTTTATTCCTTATGCCTCATTCTCACTTGCGCGAAATTCGCTTTTTTTTACATTACTTCGACAATTTGACGTTTTATGCATGTATCAAACGCCAAATTGTCCAAGCAACGTCAAAAAGAGCGAATTTCGCGCAAGTGAGAATGAGGCATTAGAGTTAAGTACACTAGAGCTACTCGCTGCGGTGTTAGTCGAACCCGATTTGAAAGGAACACATGCGCTGGCTTTCGTTCATTATGGTTTGAGTTCGGGCTTGAGCACTTCAGTTGCAAAGTTTGCAACAAACACTTTTCGAAAGGAATAAGCGCGTAACGCCCCGGAGCTGTGCCCGAGCTCGTCCTAGATGAGAAAGGAATACAACTATATAGGAGTCGATAGTCTTGCTCCAGAGCAGATCGAACTGACACAAATGAATATCTCGTGTAATATCTATAAAATATCGTAGAAGTAACTACACTAGGAATGTGTTCCTATCGAATATTTATACAACTAACGATTTTGGCGATAAACGGTTCAATTTTTTGAAAAGAGTTTCACAATAAACATCTCACACTTCTTATGGATTTCGGTCACCGACAGATTTTGTTGAAACTTTAGTATATTATTTAAGAAGTCGAGATAAGCATTTTCTTTCATTGCACCGACCTTGTAGCGATACAGGGTGATACTGAAAAATTAGGTCAATTTTTTTTTTCCCATTATGTCTACTGGTAAAATATTGTAATTTAACTTTGGTTGATAAAATAAAAACAATGTATAGGTACTCCATGAAAAATGATATTTTAATTTCTAGCATGTACAGGGTGGACCAATTTGAGCACTTTTAATAGGAAAAGCTTCATTAGTTTTTTATTCATGATGATAGGTAGGTAATTGATTTCCATAAAAACTTTCTAAAAGCACTTTTTCAATCAGAAACAAGTGATAACCTCAGTGTTTTTCTAATTGACCCGATTTCGAAATATCGGGTCCGATTTTTTTTTAATAGGACACCCCATATATAAATTACTTATTGGATAGCTCTGCTTTTGCTGATTCGAATGATATTGCATAAAATCTTCAAAGATCACAATCCACTTGAGCGAAAATCCAGTTGATACTCAGTCAGGAAAAAAGCTTGGATGACTGATGAAATCCTCGACTTGATGGAAGAAAGACGCCTGCAGAAAGACCCAGCCAGCATATCTTCAATTGAATCGTGAAATAAAAAACCTCGAAGCAAAAAATTACAGTTTCAATATGCGTAAGAAAATTGAAGGAGCTGCTGGTGTATACAAACTTCGACAGACTGGCATTCTGTTGGGCAGTCAAGGGTAAGATAATTCTTGATGTCAACGACAAAGTAAAACAGGTGCGCAGCTACATCAAAATCCGGTTTCGAGACGAGAGATCGGACATTCCTGAAGACTGAAGAGTATTCACGAGAAGGACTAGATATAACTACTAAGGAAGAAGCCCAACACGCCATTCAGTTATACAAAAACGGGAAAGTGGTAGGTCCAGACAGTGTCTACTCAGAACTTATTAAAATCCTAACGAATGAAGAGTCACTATACACGCAATGGTGAAGCTTTTCAATATGGTTTACCGATCGGGCATTATTCCCTCTGACTGACTTATTTCAATATTTGTGACGCTTCCGTAGAAAAGCCCTACAAAAATATATAGCGATTATCGGCTTAATGTTAGCTTGATAAGCCACTTTGTCAAGATTTTTCTAAAGATCATCCATAAAAGAATATATGCAAAATGCGGGATCAAAGATCTAGAGATATTTCTGTTCCTGTACAGGGTGTCCGAATTTGGATGGTTTTAATAGGAAACGTCAATTTCTGAGCAAGATACAAAAAAATGAACCCCGCATTCCGAGGCTCAAATTTCTTGAAATTTTGATTGGTGCAAACCGCATTTTGATATCTTCAACCGTTTAGCCTCTAGAGGGCGATTCTCGATTTTGAGCAATACTGTGAAATCTTCATCACTTTTTTGTTTGTGAAAATAACTGATTTCCGTAAAAACTTCCTAGAAGCACTTTTTTAAGCAGAATTCAGTGACGTTTTCAGTTTTTTTCTATTGGGCCTCGGTTTCAAAATATTGACCAAAATCCGATTTTTTTCAATGGGACACCCTATATATTAATAACTCTTTAGGAAGCTCTGCTTTTGCTGATTTCAATGATACAAATTTCGATGGGTTTATCTAACAGTTTTCCAGAAAAAAAAAATATTTTAGTTTTTGTCATAAGAAACAATGAGTTAGAAAGAGACCTTTCTCATTTTCCTTACAAATATAAAGACCTTTTTTAACACATTGTTTCTTATGGAAAAAAACGAAATGATTTTTTTTCTCGAAAACTGTTAGAGATAAACCTATCGAAATTTATATCATTGAAATCAGGAAAAGCAGAGCTTTTGAGAGAGCTATTAATATATAGGGTGTCCCATTGGAAAAAACCGGATTTTGGTCAATATCTTGAAAACGAGGCCCAATAGAAAAAAACTGAAAACGTCACTGAATTCTGCTTGAAAAAATGCCTTTAGGAAGTTTTTACAGAAATCAGTTATTTTGATAAACAAGAAAGTTATGACGATTTCACAGTATTGCTCAAAATCGAGAATCGCCCTCTAGCGGCTAAACGGTTGAAGATATCAAAATGCGGTTTGCACCAATCAAAATTTCAAGAAATTCGAGCCTCGGAGTGGGGGGTTCATTTTTTTGTATCTCGCTCATAAATTGACGTTTCCTATTAAAACCATCCAAATTCGGACACCCTGTACATGCATGCTTCGTAGACTATGAGAAAGTGTTCGACAGGGTACAACATGAGAGGCTTAGGAAAATTCTCAAGGATGTAGGCCTAGATGATAGAGAACTCAAGATAATTGCAAATCTCTACTGGAATCAGACTGCACAAATCAAGGTAGACCAACAAATGTCTGACGAAGTACGGATAAAAAGAGGTGTCCGGCAGATTTGCATCCTTCTACCATTACTTTTTAATATTTATTCGAACAAAATATTTGAAAAAGCATTAGAAGACTGCACTGACGGAATTTCTATCAACGGCGTGAACATTAACAATCTTCAGAAAAACAGTCAAGAAACCGCATGAAAAAATTAACAATCTTCAGTATGCCGACGATACGGTTTTAAATGAAAGTCAGTTTTTGACTTATTGGACATTAATTTAATGATGAAATCAATGCCGACGTTTCGGTGTACTCTACACCATCTTCAGGGCTGTAATATTAGAAACAAGAACCCTACTTAATTTACCTTAATATGACAGCGAATATTCTTTTGAGACAGTTTTATACATTTCAACTGCAATTATAACACCGAACAATATAAAGAAAAATACAACAAAAAAACAGTATAAAAATAGAAAACATACCTAGATTATTAATATTAAACAAATAGGTCCATTTTTCACAAACATTTCCACAAAAATTGAACATAAGAAACCAAAAAACACGTAAAAAAGGAAAACCAAACCAAAGCGGTTTTAGTCGCTGATTCTCTGGAAGGTCTTCAAGTATTACTTGATCATTTGGCTACTGAATTTGGATTAAAATTAAACGCCAAAAAAGACGGTGACTAGTGAGAACTGGTTGGAGGAGCTATTCTCAAGGTACAGAACCAATAGATCAATCGGGTCCAATCATACTAGATAACTAGGATGTCAGGCTAATGATGACTGGAATAATATGCAGGAGGTTCGTGCCAGGATTGAACAAGCCAGAGCATCATTTGTAAAAATGAAGTCCGTGTTGTGTAGTCAGGTCTCTCCGCTATCCGTTCGCACTTGAGTACTACGTTGATACGTCTTCAATATTCTCTATTATGAGATTGAGGCGTGGACTCTTACAGCCGCCATGTGTAAAAAGCTAGAGGCTTCTGAAAGGTGAACAAAAGACGAATGTTAAAAATCTCTTGGATGGACAAAGTGCGCAATGATGATGTGCTAACGAGAATGTCACAGAACTTGAAGTTATGTTTACGCTTAAAAAGCGATGAGAAATACCTACTTTTCAAGCTCATAATCGAGGGAAAAATCTAAGGCAGGAGAGGCCCTGTACGTCGTAGAGTATCTTGGCTAAAGAATTTGCGTCGAGTCACTGGTATGGCGAAACCACGGCAAATCTATCAGAAAAGCAGTCGACAAAGTACAGATAGGGTCAATATCT